ATTATTGCTCACATTGCAGTACATATGTGCCAGCCAAGTGAAGTTTCACATACATATACATACATACGTGCAATTAACACATATAATGATATAACTGGCTATAACAAAGCCCATGATGGTAACTTCTCATTTATTAACGCCCTTACTAAGCCACATTAGAGCCATGGAGCACGGTCTCCGGCAGGCCCAGGATGCATGATGATGGATGGCGGCAGCCGCATGCATTGGAACTTCATCATTCAATGAATCCATTCAAAGAAAGAACAATTGTGGTTAGATTGCATGCCTTTGGCAGCAGGGCAGCCTGCGTTTGAGTCCTAGTGACATGACATGGAACTAAACTGAAGACCTGCGCAGCCCTAGCAAGCTGCAAAACCAACTCATTATATACGGTACCCCGGTCGATCCGCCGCCGTGGTGGTGCTACTAGTAGTAGCGCCCAAGAAGAATGCAAAATGGCGGCCTCAACATCCTGGCCAGTGCAACTTGATGCAAAATGGAGAACAGAGACTTCATGAAAATTCGAAAATCAATGAAGCGTGGCTCACTGAGCCCAGCTGGGTTTAATACAACAAGTGACCATTGCTCGACCATTGAGCATTCGACTCCAATGGAAGCGGACTAGTAGCAATAAGCAGAATGACTCATTGTTTACAAGTTATATAAGTAAGAAAGTAAACTCTCCTGAACGTTCATGCAAGAGTGGCCGCCCTTACGGTGGGTCACTAATACATACTCACATACTAACATCACATTATACCTAATGCCTTAATAATAGTGAGACCGTGGTGGGAGTCGAGACACACGTACACCCCACGTACAAAAAGCTCATAAATGTGAAAAGTTCCTGAGGTCTGTGCAGTGCATGCGCGTCTCTTTCGAGAATCGAACCATGGTGCTGCAGTGCCTGCCAAATTCCAATGCCATGGCCGGACGTGCCGGGAATCTTGCAACCACGCACGTGTAGGGAACGTTGCGGACAGCAAGTGAGGCCAGTGAGAACTGGCCCTTTGGAGCCACAAGCGAGGAATCACATGGGTGACATGACGTCGAGGGGGAGTTTTCACACGTTTCTGCTGACTCAGCTGAATCTGAGCTCTCGAGCCTCAAGCACAGGATCCAGATTCCAGCAAGCGATTCGTTGAGAAGATTCAAAACTCCACTCGAGTCGGAACTTGGGGGAAGCTCTTCTCCAATTACACTTTCCAAAGCGTTTCCTCTGCGCAAGAAGAGCTGTTTGAACCGGCTGGACGCCATGGCGCTCATCGAGGCTCTCGCGAAGTATGTGCCAGGTGCTGCTCCACATGCTGCTCCTCAGGCGGCCTACACTCTCATCACCTCCCATTTTGTGAACTGGTTCATCCCAATCTGTGGACTCATTGGCATTGCCTTTGCGCTCCTCCAATGGCACATTGTCTCCAAGATTAAGGTCTCACCGGAAGCAGGGAGGTACAATGAGTATGTTGCGGTTGAGGATGGTACTGATGATCAGGGGGTCATCCACAAGGTGGCGGAGATTCAGGAGGCCATCTCTAAAGGTGAGCTCGCCAGCTTGCAGGCAAATGTTTGAGTCCTGCTTGATGCCTGCTGGCTGGATGGTCATTGTAATGATTGTTGAAGTGTTGCGCTTCCCTCTAATCAATCAGAAACCCTTCAGTGAAATCAGATAGAATCATACAGTTGACTTAAGAGTCATTTATAAACTGTGACCAACTTACATTGCCGGATGGAGGTCTAAGGTCTGGCGCACGTGAATGGTATCATTTTTTAGTGTGCTGTGACGAGCACTATCCTGTATGGTAAAGACCGACTCTGCCTTTATCAGGTGCCGGTCTGGACCTGGCCTATCACATCATGGGCAAACATTTTAACTTTGCCGTTGACTTTTTGACATTTTCAGCTACAATCAAGCTGAGTCAATCGTGTCCTATGGCCTTGTTGTCTCTCTTGAAACCGGCTTGTTTTCAGTGCATTCCCCAAATCTCTGCTCCCGGCAGCAAGCAGTGCTTGGATATGACTGGTTCTATTTTGCGTTGGATGGACCTTAAATCCCCTGCTTGCGCGAAGCGCCCTCAAAGAATCTCATGTGAATTGGATTGGTGTACAGTAAGTATCTGATGGGTGCTGGACCTCCACCGCGCATTATTCGTTTGCACTCCAGCTTTCGTACATTGCAAAATTGCTCGCCCAGAGTGCACCGATGATTCCTATGGACAATCCCTGAATGCACATAGCAATCCCCGTGACTTGTTGTATTGCACACAATGACCTTCTCATCTCTTGTTAGTGCTTTTGGATTTGCTAGCAATCTGGTAACGGTCTGTCAGCACTTGCTATTCTTTACTGCGTCTTTCAAAGTAAGGAAGGCCGGCAGTAAACTGGTCATTTTCCTAAGGTGCAGACACTGTGATGCGAAAATCCAAATCATGCACTGCCAGGCTTTTGCCCTGGAATTCTGGTTGTAATGATACCGATTTGATTTCACTTGGTTTAAAAGGTCATCTCTACCACTAGCTAAATTTCATTTGGCAGCTATTGGTTGTGTTTGGAGAAGACCTTCGTGATGCATACCAGAAGGCACAATGTCCATCTTTTTGGATACTTGCGGTTCTTCGCATGTTACCCATTTATATCAGCGCAGGTTGGATTACTTGATGCAAACATCTCGGATGGATGTTCCTGCTTCTTGATGACGATGTCCAGCTAATTGCTTCCAGGCACCTTACTTTAAGGTTCAATTGAAATGAGGTGCTCACTCTGGATCCATCTAATGACGTTCTTTCACATGTGCCTGATCAAATTGCATTTGTGTCCTCAGGTGCCATCGCCTTCCTCAGCACCGAGTACTACTATGTGGGGTGAGTCTGAGCACGCTCTTTTGGGAGTGGTTCAAACATCAATACAGTTACTCGATCTATCCATGACAAGCGGTACTATGTCCCAAAGCATTGCCCTGTTTTGATTATTACGTAGATGGATGTTGGTTGTCAGGATGGATCAGAGACAATGTTTGTGAAACTGTTGATTCTCAGCACCGGCTCAAATTGTCTTCTGAACTTTGGCGGAGTCCTCAATCCTTTTTGCTGACACTCTTGCAGGATCTTCATGGTCATCTTCTTTGTTGTCATCTTCCTATTCCTGGGGTCAGTTGACAACTTCAACACCAAGTGGACCGCCTGCGACACCAACCCGAGCGGCTACTGTGCCCCTACTGTCGCCATTGCGTTCTTCAGCGCTTTGGCTTTTGCATTGGGAGCAGGCACCTCTCTGGTGTGCGGTTTCCTTGGTAAGCCTTATTACTGATTATTGATGTAGTGTTCTGCCACTTGATGATTCTCTTGGTCTGTGTCAATCATGGAATCTGGACCCTGGAGGGGTTCAATCGTATCTTGCTTGATGCAGGTCGTGAGATTGCTGTCATTTCACAGGAAAAGTACTCTGTGGAGATCAAATTGTTCTGATTGCTGTACGCCATCTTGGCACTACTGGCAAATCAAAGGCCTTTCACATTTCGCTGGCTAGCTTTCTCCTGCTCCCAATTGCCCAAATCCCATTTGAGTACTTGCGAGGTGAATATAGTGGTCTAAGCATGGCACTTTGTATACAGGCATGAAGATTGCTACCTACGCGAATGCTCGTACGACGTTGGAGGCTCGCAAGGGTGTTGGCCATGCGTTCATCGTCGCATTCCGCTCTGGCTCTGTCATGGGCTTCTTGCTTACCAGCCTGGGCCTCTTGGTGCTCTTTGCTACCATCACCGGATACAAGTACTACTTCGGAGCGGACTGGATTGGTCTGTATGAGTCCATTGCTGGGTATGGTCTTGGAGGATCCAGGTGAGGGCAGAAAGTCAAGAGGAGAGGAGAGGAGAGTTGTCTGGTATCTGTCAAGCGGAGTGGAGAGTTGCTCAATGACTGACCGACAGAAAATTGTGTACTCTGGACTTGCTTCTCAGTTCTTGACGCTTCGTTCTGGATTCTGTTGCAGATCAATCAGCGCCTCATTGCGTGCTGTTTGGCTAATTGCTACTCTATACGGGCCAGAAACGCGCTTGATAGGAGTAGCTGAATACAATCGTGTTCATGTAACATGTGCAACCTCAACGTATTTTCTCCTCACTTGCACTTCTCCCTGTGTTTTGCAGTGTCGCTCTCTTCGGTCGTGTCGGTGGTGGCATCTACACCAAGGCTGCGGATGTTGGTGCTGATCTTGTTGGCAAGGTCGAGCGTGGCATTCCAGAGGACGATCCGAGGAACCCTGCTGTGAGACTCAATCCATAAGGCATTTTTGGACTGTGGCCTCGGTTCACATGCCAAGATGCTCTTGCTTGGAATCCCATGCTTAATCTCACGCTGCTTCAAAACTTCTCCATGTGTTGTATTGGTCTTCGGAACATTCTTCGTAGTGCCGTTGATCCTTCTGGTTGTACTGTGTGGCACTATTTCTTCTCTGTTAAGTCGCCCTGTAGTTCTGACGAGGAGCTTCCTTGCAGGTCATCGCTGACAATGTGGGCGACAACGTCGGTGACATTGCGGGCATGGGCTCTGACCTGTTTGGCTCCTTCGCTGAATCCACCTGCGCTGCGCTGGTCATCTCGTCCCTCTCCTCGCTGGGCCACGCCCACTCTTTCGCCGCCATGAGCTTCCCCCTCCTGATCACCGCCGCCGGCATCCTCATTTGCCTGATCACCACCCTCTTCGCCACCGACTTCCACATCATCAAGACCGTCAAGGAGATTGAGCCGTCCCTGAAGCGTCAGCTCATCATCTCGACCCTGCTTATGACCCCCACCATCTTTGCTGTCGCTCACTACTCGCTCCCAGCTGAGTTCACCATCAATGTCGTTGGACATGAGCCCAAGCCTGTCAAGAACTGGTGAGGGGAGCTGACCGTGGAGCACGCCAACTTGGCCTACTCTTGGAGCCTTGAACATGAGGTCGTCTTTTGGTCACTGAGGAGTCCGGAAGTGAAGGAGTGGCTGCACGAAGGGCATGCGACATAGAATCTCATTGCTTTCCTCTCTCGAAGTGTATGAGGGCTCATCTTTGCTTGCTCTTGACTTGTGACACATTGCCATCCATCCAGTTTTGTGATCCTATGTCCTCCGTGCCTCTATTGCGGTCCAATCAAACCAACCAAAAGCGATTGCAGGACTGACTTTTGGTGCGACCCTCCAGGTACATGTTCTTCTCTGTGGCCTCTGGACTCTGGGCTGGCCTCATCATTGGGTTTGTCACCGAATTCTTCACGAGCAACGCCTACCAGTAAGTGAACTGCGCTTTGGGTCTTCTGTGATTTCACAGCTTAATCTGCTCCTTCCCTTATACTGAGCGCGCTGAATGCTGGCTAAACGAGACCCCAGTGGCAGCAAAGACTCGGCTTGAGATGGCAGGGCATTATTTCACTGGAACCGGGTTTTACGACTAGTTTCGAGCTTTACGGGATGCACATTCAGAGTGATTGAAGGTCTAGGTGGCAAGTCTTTGTGTGTCAATCGAATTCGCATCTGCAAGTGCCCTCGTCATCATCCAAAGTTCAAGTCTATTGTTGTTTGGAGAAAATCTCTGAGCAGGAACGAAAGCACCATCCTTGCAATTTCAGTAGCATCTGGCCAGGGAAAGGAACATTATGCTGCAGACATCTCCGTACAAGCACACTTCACTGCAAGGCAGGCTCCGATTGGTCGACAGGACCTGCTTTTGAAGCACCCCGGACGGAGATTCCCCCCTTCTCCCTGCAGGCCGGTCCAGGACGTCGCTGACTCGTGCCGCACGGGCGCTGCCACCAACATCATCTTCGGGCTGGCCCTGGGCTACAAGTCGGTGATTATCCCCGTGTTCGCCATCGCTGCGGCCGTGTACACGAGCTACCAGCTGGCCGCCATGTACGGCATCGCGTGCGCGGCCCTCGGCATGCTCAGCACACTTTCTACTGGGCTCGCCATTGACGCTTACGGCCCTATCTGCGACAACGCTGGAGGAATTGCGGAGATGGCTGGCATGGGAGAGAGCATCAGGGAGCGCACTGATGCGCTGGACGCTGCTGGAAACACCACCGCTGCCATCGGCAAGGTGAGGGGAATAATCAGGGACAACTGCTGTTGACGAAGTGAAGTGTTCGCAGGTGCGATTTGTCTCTCACTCGTGTAAGTGTCTCGTACTTTGTATGCATGAAATCTGGTTACTTGGCCTTCCGCAGACCACAGACTTCCATGGGCGCCACTACTTGTTTGTAGGTTTAACAAGCAGAGCTCACTTTGTGGCTCCTTGATGAGGCGTTGGTTTTGAGGCTCAGCTTTACGAACAGAACTTCTAACCTCCTACTGGCAGAGATTTCATAACTGCCCCGCTGTAAAACCCCTCTTCGTTTTGAATATTGACAGAGCTTTTTGGTTGCAGGGCTTCGCCATTGGATCTGCTGCTCTGGTGTCTCTTGCTCTTTTCGGTGCCTATGTCAACCGCGCGGGTATCTCTGTTGTCAACGTCATCCAGCCTGAGGTAAGTCTCGCTTGTCATACATGTCGATGCAATCACAGCATTTAGCACTCAAAAAGAGTCGAGCAGGACATTGTAATGCCAGCCTGTCTTCAACATCGCCCCTACGTGCACATTTCTCTGCCTGCGTTGCATTCCTTGTTCGTTTACATGCTCGTCGCCAACATTCGCTTGCTCACTGTATGCCACCACATTGAAACCAGTTCTGTAAAGGAAGAGTTCGCTTGTGCCACGGGAAGAATCAGCCCATCTATCGCTGCAGTTCTTGCGCTGACTCGTTCCGCTCCCCCTCCGTTGTGCAGGAGTTCTGCGGCCTGCTGGTGGGCGCCATGCTGCCGTACTGGTTCAGCGCCATGACGATGAAGTCGGTGGGCAAGGCTGCGCTGGCCATGGTGGAGGAGGTGCGCCGCCAGTTCAACACCATCCGGGGACTCATGGAGGTACGTCCGGGTTTCGCTGTCGCAACGGTGGCTGACCTAACTTTGACGGTTGCCTGGTTTCGAGACAGAAGCCAAATTTTTCCGGCCAAGATTATGGTTTTTTTCGAGCGCCCGAATTTCCCCCTTTTCAATCAAGAGGGAACGTTGAAAAGGCAGAAATCGTCTTTTAAGCAACTTTCTGCTTCGGAAGCCAGCCTTGGCAAACTAAAGCGTGACCTAAGAGCGCTCAGCAATGGAGCGCAACAATGATTGCGACCGTGTTTGGCAATTTTCTTGCTACAGCTCAGCTTAGGAAACTACTTGTCGGATCAAAGCTAGGGCAAGATTGATTGTCGGTACTCAACAGATCTCCAAATCCTGTTGCCTCATTGAATCCTACACTCTTCCTTCATGACGCAGGGCACCGCCAAGCCCGACTACGAGCGGTGCGTCAAGATTTCCACGGACGCGTCCATCAGGGAGATGATTGCCCCCGGTGCGCTGGTCATCCTGACCCCCGTCATCGCCGGCACTCTCTTCGGGACCAGGGCCCTCTCCGGAGTCCTGGCGGGCGCTCTCGTCTCTGGCGTGCAGGTTAGCATCGCATTCTGGTCTACGTTTTGTGCGCACCTTGCTCTACTCGTTTTCATTCAAAGGCCCGAAGGAGGCGATTGAGGTCGTAGAGCCCGGCTGGGGAGTCCTGGACGTTCAAGAGGGAGTCCTGGCCGTTCAAAGATTTTTTGAGGGTAATACAGAGAAAATTTAAAGAGAAACGACTGCCTGTGTAGAAGGATCTCCCGGACACTATCAATGTATTGCGACAGTGGAGGGGTCCATTACGAAGAGCAGATTGATTGTCGGAAGTCGGTTGCGACTGTGCTTCGTGTTGCAGCCCATGCATTGTGCTGAACACCACGTTGGTTCTGCTCTCAGATCGCCATCTCTGCTTCTAACACCGGTGGGGCCTGGGACAACGCCAAGAAGTACATTGAGGCCGGCGCTTCCGAGCACGCCAAGTCGCTGGGCCCCAAGGGATCAGACGCCTACAAGGCTGCTGTCATTGGTGACACCGTAGGTGACCCGCTCAAGGATACCTCCGGTCCTTCTCTCAACATCCTGATCAAGCTCATGGCTGTCGAGTCTCTGGTTCTAGCGCCTTTCTTCAAGGCGCATGGAGGCATCATCTTCGGAGGGAACCATTAAGCCAAGTGCGTCAGAGTGGCAGCCTGGCGGTTCGCAATTTTGGAAAATGTGAGTCGAGCAGGAGACTGTTGAGGTAGGGCAGGTCGAATGCAGAGTTGAGCAATGTCTTTTCTTTGCACAGTCGGAGGTTTCGTGTCAGTAAAACGCTTGTTTCAGCCACCTAGGAGTTCGGAGATAGTGAACTGGTCGAGCAGATTGTTCTAAGAGTGTGAACGTGCATTTGAAAGGATCTGTTGGATTCTGATTACAAGCATGTGGAGTGTCTGCAAGTGTGTTCGGTCAAACAGTTTCCCCCAAAACGGAAAGCGAACATGTCACAAGTAGCTGTCAATCCTGATAAAAAGTGCATTAGATCAACCCCTTATAGACGCCGCTAGCTAACAACACTGCATATGACATTTTAGACTGCAATGGTTCTTGTAGCCGCATGTGGCAACAGCCAGTTTGACTACTACTTGCTTGACTAAGTGAACACAGCAAAGTGCATGCAGCCGATAGCCGTGAGCTTGGACGTGACCCATCCTTCCCCAGTGGTTCCACAGCAATGTCAAATATTAAGTGATTCACCTTCGCATTAGTTTATGCACGATCTCCAATGAGCTGGCAGTGATGCCAACGTGCAGCCAGTTGGAACACTGTGATATAACTGAAATCTTGGAAAGGATTGTCGCCGGTGCATATGCGCACATAATTCAGCAGTATTTGGTCTGACTAAGTGACATTTTACACTGCAGTGTAAAATCTCGTCAATTGCGCGCCTAAAGTTTTATAGGGTCTGATCGAAGCGCATACACTATATATGTGGCAGACGGTCTGGCCGCGCCTGCTTAACGTTCATACATGCCACTATATAGCGCGGCGGCATGCGCTGCAGCCGGCCGTGCCGCGGTCGCGCCACATCGAATCATGCATAGCAGAGTCAGCTATAGTGCGCGCTTAACACTAATATCTGCAATTAATTTGAGATATTTAAGATCTATGTTGTATAAACATGACTTGTAGTTTGAAGCTGACACGATATCTAGCTACTAACTTAAGCCGGGCGGCATGAGCAACTTGCTTGCGTACAAGCTTTGCCGCTGTCCAAATAACTTGGTTCATGCTTTGCTGACTCATGCCAGCACATGCAGCGGCCGCCGGCTCTGAATGCTGCCTACGCAACCGTTGCTTGCAGGCCGCGGGCCGTTATTTGCCAGTTGTTGGAACTTAGCTGTAGCTAGGCTCAGGCTTCGTAGGGATAGCAGTGCGGCCCACGGCTCGGTGCATGTGCGTAAACTTAATACATCACTAACAATAAACAGTATCAATAACCAAAGGCTTCATAGATTCCGAAATTCGGAGTTGAAAGCTCATGGGTATGGCCGTCTCATCAGCATTTGTCCATGGGCAAAGGTAGAGATCGGTGGATCGAGCCGAGCTGCATTCAAGTTTGACTATCACAAGTCTCAAAGCGTAGGAGAAAGCACCTGAGCAGACAAATCAGTAAGCGGCAGGTTCAGCTTACTAGTTGACCTTCCCTGCAAGTATCAAGCCTGATCTCCGCTGTTCTCTCGTCAATAATCTCAACGCTTTGACAACATTGTCTTCGAGGTGCGAGCACCCAAGCATCCGTCAATGGTGGGGCCACAATCCGAATCTCAGTCACCTCCCTCTGTGGAATATGCACTTCTCCCTCCGAACATGCCTTCGACACTGTCCGCATCCTGCCCCCCCTCACCGGCCCCTCCTCTGTCGTGCTCTGTTCCGTCCAGTCTGTAACGGTCCGAGTATAGGTCGTTTCCAACAGAAGTTGCCCATCCACCCACCGCGAAGCCGCTCCTGACGCGTGAAAAAGCGATGGTACACGACACGTCGTTACCGGCGTGTTTCTTGTATCCATATCAAAGTCAAACGGTTCTCGGCCCCGGTTCCACGCCCGGAAAGTCCGCTGCGGCCTCTCCAGATCAGTGGGCCGGATGAAGTCGGGGTACCACCGCACCGAATACCCCCATGCGATCGAGATGGAAAACTTCTCCGCCTGCAGAAGAACAGGTAGTCAGAATGAGGCCCTTATTGAGCCCACGTTCTCAGCAACAATATTTGCGTCCGCAAGTAACGAGGGCGCCTACTCTCATCTAAAACGGTCTTGCTATGGTCCTTCTGGATGGCACAGCATCGGACTCCTAAGTGTTAACGTCAGGGCCAAATCGTGGTATGCCTTCCGCAATCCTTGATGACATACCAGAACACCGAAATTGTAACTGTTTCCAGTCGTGTAGGCCTTCTGACGGTTCCAAGGTTTGCGTGTTCTTTGTTTAGCCGTTTGCTTCAATGGCCGGGATCATCATGCCTAAAGGCCGACCGCAGGCTTTTGCAGCAATACGGTCTCAACATCACACATCCATTCGCACAAATCAATCGTTCTGGGAGCATGTATTGGCAGGGAGTCGAACTCGAACTTTGTCAGTTCTGCTGCAGGTAGGTGTAAATCTAACATTGGTGCAAAATCTGCCTTACCTCCCGTCCAACCTCACCTGGTCGAGGCACATGGTCGCGGCTGCAGCAGGAGTTCGAAGATCCCCACCAACCCTCAATCCTCACCTCAATGAGGCACACAACTTTCTGCTGAAGATGTCACTTCAAGACCCTGACTTGATACAAATATCTTCCACACCCCCTCACCTGGTTGAGGCACATGGTCTGCTGCAGGAACTCGCGCGGGTGGCGCTTCATGGTGGCCGTCAGCTGTGCGAGGGCGGCCATGGCGCTGCGCTGCGGGAACACCGGCTGGAACACTGCCACGTGGTGCATCGACAGGAAGGGCGTCACGGGGTGGCCCTCCAGAGCGCCCGCCACGTTGCCCAGTAGGTCGTACTGGTGGAACCCGCGCTCTTTGCGCATCTGGGGGGGTAAAAATTAGGGGTTGAGGAAGGGGGGGATGCTGTCAAAAAATGGACATAAAACCTCGTGGGTTGTGTTTGGGGTTCTTACGAACGCAGCCCAGTTTTGAAGAATGAGGGAGTTCTCCTATTCATCCAGTACGGAAAAGGCATACTCAGTGCGCATCTGAGGGTCGACGAAAGGGAACGGTGCACAGTAAGATAGACATCGAACCGGCCGATTGGGTTGCACTCGTATACAGCGACGAAAGAGCAAGGAGAGTCCTCTGGAACATTCGCGGGCAAATTTGGCGTACGCGGCAGGAGAATGTCCCTTCTTGTCACACTTCTGCGCAATGAGTACTAAGTCCATCGAATGTGGGCGACCATCTCTTAAACGACGCTCAGTCGGCAGTCAACACAGGCAGCAAGAGGGCCAAAAACACAGTTGAGGCAAGCGTACCGCAAGCCGGCAGACTGGCATGCACTTATCAATTGGTGTCTCGTGATCAGAAACGAGGTCGTATGGGAGAACCCCAGAACGAGCTGCTCTTCACTTGACAACGTTCAGAGTCCTTTCACGAAGACCATATCCAAAGCCATTGAGACCATACCCAAAATCATCGGAATCTCGGAATGACGTCACCCCGCACGTCACTCACATGCACGCCGAGCTCCGCGAGGCACGCCTGCACGCGCGCGTCGCTGCCGTAGACCTCCGGGTAGCGGTGCAGGCACTCGTCCTGAATGTCGCTCAGCCGCGCCGCTAGCGCGACGCTGATGGCGAACCCCCCCCCGCCGTAGCCCATCTCATTGCTGAACTCGACGTTCTGCAGGTGCGACTCGCTCGGCGCGCCAATGTAGACCAGCTCGCGGGGGTCGTACTTGGAGAGGACGGCGGCCAGGTTGGGCGGGCAGAACACGGTGTCGTCATCGCCCATCACGTACCACAGCACGTCACTCTGAGTAGGGAGAGTCAGCATTAAGTGTCAAGATAAGATTCTGGATTTAAGCAAAGAGCGTAAGAAATTCTCCGCACTTGAGGTTCTGAGGTTGTGAGCGGTTACAGGTGTCGTCGTCGCCCCTCACGTACCACAGCACGTCGCCCTGGGCAGGCAAAGGCGGCACTGATTGTAGGTCCATGTAGTCTACATGAAAGGATCGTAAAAGTCGAATGGTGTCACGAGTTGCGGGTTTTCAAGCGATTCCATGCAGTGTCGTTGCCTATCACGTACCAGTGTACGTCGCGTTGGGCAGGGAGGGGCGGCACTGATTGTCAGTTTATCAATTTGCAATGCCCTTGATCCTGCGTGAAGATACTGTGCATATTTGTTGTTTCCGACACTCTAGAAAGCTGGAATGAGAGGGTTGTAGGGTGCGTATGACAATTCGTCAGAAGATACCGTCGAGCAGCACCACACCACCGCGAATGAAGGATCAAGCCCACAAGAAGCGCACGACACGAAGTAATGAAAACTTCACGCCCTAAGTTTCCATGCTTAGAGCGATAAAAGAAAACCAGTCCGACCACCCACGAACGGACAATACGAAGTTCCAACTTGCAGAATCACGGCCAAGCCTCCGAGAGCTTACTGTTTCGGCAACACGAATAGGCACTACAGATACGACAGGCTGAGCTTTCACCTGGTGATCTTGTCTGTACATCTCCACAGCCACCCGCGCGACCCGGATCGCGCTCCGCAGCCCCGTCGGATGCGTGTAAGCGTACTGCGAGAAGTTTGCCGAGTACAGCACCGGGGGCAGTTCCGGGTCGGGCACATCCATCCACGAGTAGTCGACCTTCTTCCCGGTGCCGCACGTGCGGTTGAGCGAGCGCAGGGTCTCCGTCAGATGCGCCTCCCAAAGAACGGTCACTTTCGCAAGCGAGTCCCGCGCTGCACCGGCGTTTGGGGAGCGATGTCAGTCAAATGCTTCATTTCCTCCGTCTTTCTATTCCGGTGGTTCCGATCGAGCGAACCGTTGAAGCTCGGCTCAAGTGCCCTTGTCACAGACTCAATCTTGGAAAGCGAGTCGCCCACCGTTCAAGGAGCCTAATCGTGTCAACGGGAGTCGAGCAAGCAAGCTGGTTTGCAAGGGGTCGCAGGGCGCACAACGGACACCCGTCCTCAGAAATGAGGGTCCGTAGAAGGGCTACTAGACCCTGATCCCTGGAAAATGTTGACCTACGGCTCACGGAGACCAACTCCTTACCCAATCACGTAGAGCTATTCTCAAAGATGTGGCACATATGCAGGCGATATATAATTGAGAATCGAGCAGACTGGGAGAAACGCCTCGATGGCAAACTGAATCTTTCAAGCGACAGGCACATTTCGCTGATTATGATTGAACTCATTCTATGGCATAAAGCTCTACCCCAAGACAAAGAGAGACAGGTTAAAAGAACAAACAGGTACCATAAGAAAGGCGATGACAGATTGAAGTGGGGACGACGACCGTCTGAATCTTATGATGAACAGGGCATGAATGACAAGCGACGTGAGGAACACAAATATGTTTTACGGCTCAGCTGAAGACTCACTGCTAACGTTCATACAAGGTGGTCAGAATGTTAGAGACACCTCCCACAGCACACAGCGTGGTGGGTTTTCCCATTCTGGCCACTCTCCTTCTCTGAAAGCCGAAGGCCCCTTGACATTTCAAACGAAATGTCGAAGCCGAAGCGAACACTTACACCGCCAGGAGAAGCGAGGAGCCGACTAAGAGAGACCGTCACCTGTCGTGGCGCTCTTGGTGCAGTTGTTCTTGGTGAGATCCGGTGTGTCCATCCACACATAGCCCCGCAGCCTGCGCGCATCCCACCACAGCCGCAGGATCTCCTTCCGCTCGCTCCACGTGGCCGCCGTTGCCGCGATGCCAAACACCAGATTCCTCAACCTAGTTCTCGGGTGCGGCCGAGTGACCACTGTCAGAGGGTTTCCGTCCTTCCCCAACGTTACCACGTCCGTTACGCCCCGAGAGCGTTCTCCGTCTTCCGTCTCCTCCCCGGCTTGCAAAAGTCTGGTCGCACCCTGGTGCAAAGCCGTCAACCCCTTGCCCGTCTCAATCCAATTACGCCCTTCCTCAGATCTCTGCAACCGCCCCGCCGCGCTTCGTTGCCCCCCTGTTAAATGACTGTCCAACCGGTTACCGTGGATGGCACCCGTACCTACAATCTGACTGTCTACACTGCCCCCCGTTTGCATAGATAGCGCACGCCCTGACCCGGCACCGTCGATAAATGACTCCGTCGCCTGTGCGCTCCTATCTGTCCCCTGTCTAGTTCCTACTCCTAAGACACCATTCTGTCCACTCTCGCTCAGTGCGCCTCCATCGGTTCCGCTCAACTCCGTCGCTGAGAGTGTACCGCTATCGCTATCCTGGTTTCTCAAAATTTGCAACCCTCTGCCAACCGCCTCGCCCGCTTTTCCTGTGTGCTTGACGTCAATACCTTCTAACTCATGATTAAACTTGACTGTCGTTTCTTCTAATCCCACGATGACCTGCTTTTCCAACTCCGCTCCCCCTTCAGCTGCCTTGTTCTCCGTAGCCCCCGTTCTCTGTAACAACGACCGTCGTTTTCTTCGGAACACTGGTCCAGTCTCAGAGGCCAGCTTTGAAACGTGCTTTCTTCGCGCTTCCTCGAGGCTGGCATTGAAAGGGATGACCAATGAACCATTGTACCGACCAGAAAGTCGGACGTCGATGACTTTGTGACTGCCGTCTGCAAGAACAACGAGAAAAGTCGGGTCATGATCTGGAGATTGCCAGAGCAACAGACCAAATTTCAACCGTTTCTTTCACTCGAACAACTAACAGCTTCTTCTCCTGCGTGATGAGGCTTTGATTAGGACCTGTCGCCCTGAGCTTGAAAACGAACTCCTTTTTCCTGCTATGCCTCTGTACTGATGACAGCATCACCTCCCATTCAAACGAATCGTCTTTGCGCAAGGAATGAGAATTCGTTCAGAAGCGGCATCAACAGAAACCACCACTCAATCCTGAAGCCTGTTGCTGAAGCTCGTGCAAAAAGCATCTGAGACATTCGGCTAAAACCTTTGGGTATTCAGAAGTCACTCTTGGAGCCTTGGAGCCTTAGAGCAATCACTGGATAAGGCTCCTAGCAACCAATTGATAGAACCCGGGTTCTCAACTAGTTTAGATCATGTACTGGAGGATAGTACGGCTCCCGGTTTCAAGACGCCTCACTAACTTGGCACCCATAGAGTCTGAGGTTGTGCAGATCCGCGCATCGCATTGATTCATCCTGAAGGTGCCCTGTCAAAGCCTGCGGCACCATCCGACTGATCATTGCCCACGGCTTCCAGTCCTGCCTCCTCTGCCATGGTTCTTTGCAGTTACAACTGTGATCTTGAAAAGCCAGCACTGCCATTTTGAAGACCCACCTCTATGCCTCCATTGGAGCAGCGCCCCTGGCAGCCAGCAGCGGTTGGTCATGCTGCGCCCAATCAGCATCATCCACAGCCACGCCAGCAGGAGGCCCATCAGAAAGAAGCCGCCCCTAGTTAGCCCCTCCTTGACCACCCTGCGAGTCCGCGCACGCCTCTCTGGTTCAAGACTGAACCATGCCCGCAACCGCTTGGCGAAGGAAGCCATTACGGCTAGTGCCTTCTGGGGCCCCACATCGGACCAGCGAACGGAGACCCCCATGGCCGACAAACTGGCAGGGCCACCTGGGAGTGTCGGCACATGGTCAGACTTTTGAAGCTTTTCTTGATGAGAGTTGCTAGCTTGAGTGCGCTACAGAAAGTCAATTGTGTCCTTGCTTCTTCCCTGAACTTTTGGCCAGTGTCTCAGCGCCTTGTTACTGCGGGAAAAATGAGCTGATGGTATACGAGGCTTGTGCGGCATCGCCTTCAATACTGCTGAGTATTTGGAGGGCACTTCACCATGATTCTCAGCCACTCAATTGTGAGAAGCTCATACTCGCTACTGAGTGGATGCAGCATAGACAACCGCACATCAAGCCACTTCAAAGGTATGCTGACAGAATGGCACGTCAATCTGATCACCTTCTCACTGTTCTGCCATCTCTGAGGCCTGCTATAGAATCACATGTTGAAGTACTGCGGTTAAAAACACCTCATGATTCTTAAGAAACATAACGTGGTCTACTCTTGTTCAGAAGGCAGGATGCTATTTCTCAAAGCAGGGACTGAAATATGTTGAAAAATAGCGGTCGACACAAGCTTGGTTAAAATGGTGGTACTATCAACAAGAGTGCAGAAAAAGGTCCTCTACAAGAACGGTTTGGAGGGATGTGAAACAAGGTTCATAATCATTGGTAGTACCACTCAATATATGGTTGCAGCACGCAGCCTTCATGTCAATTCGAGACGACAGTTCCAATTTCGTTACAGGAAATCTAGGGCCTGCTGAGGTGCCTCACAATTTGCAAATTGACTCAAGCTGAGCTCTCTACGAGCCTCATTGTTTGATTGATAATATCCGAGAAGGATAGGAAATGTGTAAAAGCCAGCTGAAGAGGCACAGGCTTTTCTTTCTAAGGGCGACTGGACTGCCTCTTTTAGCAGAGAACATATAATGCAACTGGTTCAGATCATCTCCCAACACTTTAAGCTAATGCTGCAAAACTTACCAACCACATTTCAGCACTCTTGCATTGCACTTTTCTCCCACCCCTTCGGCGACTCCCGTTCATTAGTACATAGAAGTGTCCTACTTAGATCAAGCTGGCTAATCGCTGCTTAGATCTTTCAGCTACACATTCTTTCTCTAGCTTCTGCCAGAAACCACAAAGACGCAGCAATCAGGCCTTCAGCTTCAAACCGCTCCTTCTGTTTGCCTCTTCCAAGCTTGAAGACTTTGATTTCCGAAAGGACTGAAGCCACCACAGATGCTACCTACTTTTCGCGGCACATCGCACGCGTATTAGTCAAACGTGCCTGATCTGTGCAAACGCCCCTGCCGCATCCCTGCCAGCCATAACTTTCAGCACCCATGTCCAGCAGTGGACTGTGGCCACAGGGAATGCTTAGCTGGGATACAGTTGAGGTACTGCAGCACTGCTACTGGACTCTGCAACCCGTACTTGTACTTGGGTACAAGGGGAAGATCACTGTCAACTCTCCGTCGTTCGATAAGGAAGGTATACAATCTTGACGGCTGATTTCGCCCAGATTGATCTTTGTTGCTCGTACATCAGTGCAATGATGTCAGCTCGGACCTGAAGTTGGACTCGGAGTCCGAGCCGAGGCAGCTAGACTGGCCGCAGCGCCTGCCTCTGACTCCGAGTCCGAGCTTGTGAACACGATTAAACAAAGAGCAAAGCGCACGCTGAGCTGGGGAGACGCAGGGCGAAGGACGGCTAGGAGATTTGGTGTTTGGCGACTTTTCCGAAGGCAGTGATTTGTCAGGACGTAACGCATCAATGCAGGCTTGAAACAGATTAGTCAAGGGGTTGCAAGGGGCGCGCTGGAAGAATGTTCCGGGGTTTGGGGGCCTGATTGAGAGCGGAGGCGACGGTCGTCGCTTGTAGCGCGCGGATACCATGGCGACACAGAATTTCTTTGCCCTCTTGGATGATGAGGAAAATGACGACCCTCAGGCCCTGCTAGCCAAGGCGGCCGCCGCCCCTGCAAAGGAGCAGGCTGCCGCGGCCCCCCCTGCCAAGAAGACTGCACCCAAGGCAGCGCAGGCGGAGGCAGGTACGACAAGGCAATCCTTCTTTGCTACCATTTTCGAATGTTTGCCAGTTTGTCAAGATATTTCTGTGAAGTGTTAAGTCTGCTTTTCCTGGCGGTAATGGTTAGTGTTGTTGCAATTCGCTGATGCAATGCATGCAGAAGAAGCGGTCTTTGAACTTTTTGGTCAGGGGGCACTGCATGACTTGTTTTCTGTGCTTCTCTTAGAGAATGCTGGGAAGCTTCGGGTTTCTTCGTCTTAAATGTCATGCATCTCATCATACTCTAGATTCAAATGATGAAAGTCAGCGCCAAGTTGCATACTACATCAAGTTGCATACTACATCCTCGCTTTGGCTTATCGCCTCATAGCAGTCCGAATCTAGTAAGTGTGCCAGCAGACAGTGCCAAAGGTGCCAAAGGGTGTCATTGCGGATCCTGTCTCTCCAGGCAATGGGTCCGTGCAGCAACTCACCAATTGCAATACATTAGACAAACAGGCAGGCAATGCGAATGCAATTAAGTAGTTCAGAACGGGATGCAGAGTCATGGTGGAGTCGAGAGTTGGAACGTGGTTTCCATTTGTGCACTGGGATAACAACTCTGAGGAAATGCAATCTCACTTTCTAAGGTTTCTCTTTCTGCAACTCACTGGCGTTTGTTTGTGCTGACAAAAGAGACCCCTGGTTGACCAGCAGGGATGCTTAGAGATACATTGAGTAGGTGGCTTGTTCTGTTCCGGTGTTTGCAGCCGTATCTTCCACAGAGGCGCTTGGGTGCTTACTGTGTTGTCAGCCAATGTCACTTTTCTGACAGAAATTGGCATGTGTCTTGCATAGTCTAACTTAATTGCTAGTTCTTTTGGTCCACCGCTTGCATGGGGCACACTGGCATTCCATGGTACTTTGGTAAATTGCTGGCAGCATCCTAATGCAGCTGGAAGATTAGCAGATTTTGCAGTTGTGATGTTTTCCTGCATTTACAAAGTGCAGTGATCCTTGATTACCACTTCGGACACCAGTGTTCCACATTTTGCGACATGTCACTTTTATAGTTGACTTGGTGAGAACGATGTTTGCGCTGCTGCTTCAACAACCCCTAAGCAGGGCACATATTGAGGCTGATCTTGACCACATGTTGATCCTGTATTATGTTGAAATCGCTGCTGCTGATCGAGAGTTTCAAGACATGGGCGTCGTCCAGTACAATTAAGACGCACATTGCATCCTATCTAGTTGGTGCCTTCCCCAAATTACTGCAAAACTTTCTCTCCAATTTTGGTTGCTTGACCATGAATCCTCGTGAGGGGTGCCAATTGTATGTTTGCTTCCTATCCTCCTGAATCCTCCCCATGCTTCTCCCTCTCTAGTTGCGCCCTCCCCGCGCCAGGTCGGCAACGGTCCTCCCCGTGGTGGACGCACTGGCCCCCGTGAGGGCGGTAACGGTAACCGCGCTCCGGGCCCTCCTTTCCGAGGCAACAACCGCGAGGGGGGGTTCAACCAGGGTGGTTTCCCCAGCCCCCGCCAGAATGAAGAGGGCGGCCGGGAGGATCGCAGGAGAGAGCCCAGGGCCCCCCGGGGCGGTGGCGGCGGCCGTGGCGGTGGTGCTGGTCGTGGGGAGGAGGGTGGCCCCCACCGGAAGCGCGAGTTTGACAGGAGGAGCGGAGCTGGGCGCGGGTGAGAATCGATCTTTATGGGGACGCCGCTTGTAAGGAGGTGTGGGAGTTTGCCACTGTTGCGTCCAAGTAAATCTGCTGTGCTTTGTAGGTGTCAAGTGGAGGGGAAATGACTGTCCCCCCTTCGATGTTAGAGGGCCTAGAAGAGCACCAGCCGTTGATCCTGTAATAATGAGAGGCGTGGTATTGTAGCATCTGAAGAGCACATCTGAGGATTCCTGAAGGAGAGCTGTTGCGTCCGATCATCCACGGGGTTTTGGGAATTAGTTGTCTTTGTTGTAAATTGCAGGACCAGTCACTGAAGTTGGCGCGAGTGTAGGCAAGTCTATTTGACGCTGCAGTTCCTCCTGGAGAGCCTGCATGTCGTCTGGTTTCATTGTTCACAGACTTGAGCTATTCTGCAACCTTTCCTCATGTTTGAAGAAGGTTGCGGAGCAGGCAAATTGGTTTTCAACGGCGCTGTTTGCTCTTCTTTTCAGTGGTGAGGTGATGAAGAAGTCCGGCGCTGGCAAGGGCAACTGGGGGACCGAGTCTGACGTGGACGTTGCACCAGGGTAAGCAAGCTAGCTCGTTCTTCTCGTCTTGTCAGGAGTTGATTTTGATTCTTACCACTTTCTTTCAATCATGCATCTTGCAGCTGCTTTTGTTGGCTGTTGGCCAAATCTGGTGATGTATGCTCAAACTGGGCAGATTGCAACAGAAGCAGCGGGGGTCGAATTGGGGGCTGCCTTCATTGACCTATTGCCTGATTAGTTGGTTGGATGGTGAAAATGCAAGGTGCCTTTGAGGAAAGTTGGATCGTTGCCTAGCATTGTCTGAGCTCAAAAGATGAAAAGGTCTTGTTTTCGTAGGCAGGCTGTTGCTTGTCATGTGCTTCCCTCATCAATCCCTTTCCAAGCACCTCCGCATGGTTATACTTGCTGAATTCAGCGGTTGCTCCCCTCTGCCTCCCTTCTTGCAAAAAGATCTCTTGTCTTTTCTCGCTATCAGTCTCCCCACTTTGTTAACATCTGTTTCATCATTCTCTGGGCATCTTGCTTCTCACAGCAGATATTTCCACGTGTTCCTTGAGAAGCTCCCATGTTGCTTATCTCAGGGACAAGTTACTGAACCCTGAGCCCCAGAACCCTGGACCTTTGCTGCATCCTAAACCCACCTCATCACTTTTCCGGGTGCTCTTGCATGATAGATGTTTCAATCATCCCCTTTTCAAACTTTTGAATATCCAAACTTTGCAGCACCCCCGCCTCTGAGGCCGTATCCACCCCTGTTGCGGAGGCTGTTGACGAGAAGTCCGCTGAGGACGCGCCAGCTGGCGAGGAGGAGAAGAAGGTGGAAGAGACTGCAACCGAAGAGGCGCCCGTTGAGAAGGAGCTCACGGAGGAGGAGAAGGAAGCGCAGGCCGAGAGGGAGCGCGAGGAGAAGGTAGGAGAGTTTTGGGATGTCTGTCATGGGTTTTTAGTTTTGGACTGTTTTGGCAGGGTTGGAAGATGCAAGGTTTGCCAGCTGGTAGGATTGGGCTTGAATGCATGATCTGAGGGCCTCAGATTCTCAAGTTGGGGTAGGAAGCAACTGGAAAGAGGTTTTGGGAAGAGTGGTGGGCTTGCGAAAGTGCAGCTGTGCTTGTTTGGTTTTAGACTTATGTGGTGCACACTTTGTCTCACGCTTCAATGCAGTAATTTTGACTCAGTCTCTCGTGAAACGACCTGTAGATGTTGAGAGGACAAAGTTGGTGAAGTCAACCACAAATGTCGTTTGGTCGACACTGAAGTAGTCAATACTCAAACTATGTTGATTTGAAGAAGCTGTATTGTTTCAGAGGTCCGAAACTAAATGATATCCTGCTCAACGTCAACCTAAACTCCAATGATGGAACCCTTCTTTTAGAAACTCAAAGCCGCTTTCTCTGCGCAGGAGATGACCCTGGAGGAGTACGAGAAGGTGCGCGCGGAGAAGCGCAAGGCGCTGCTGGAGAAGAGCCGCACCGAGGAGCGCAAGGTGAAGGTGGACAAGGACCTCGCCAAGATGCAGGCGCACAAGAAGGCAGAGCCCGAGGACATCTTTGCGCTGTCGGGCGACAAGGCCAAGGCCAAGAAGAAGGACACCAAGGACACCAAGGCGGACGAGAAAGACGCCGCCGCCGCCAAGAAGAAGGTGAGGCCCCAGGGGGTTTCCTGGGGTGGTGTGTGAGGACTGATCTACGGTTCTGAAGGTTGCAGAAATGCATGAAAAAACTCTCAGACCATCCTGTATGCATTTTGTAAACGGACACTCGTGATTGGAGGGTAAATTTTTATGTTTCCGGCTGTAGCCTCGGCCTGGCCTGCGGAAATCAGGCTTGAGGCTCCCACTGTTTCTTTTGAAATTTCCAGAGTGTTCTTGTTGTGGTGGTTGCATCTGCGCCGCATAAAAGCGTTTCTCTCTCCGATTGTCCTTCATATATTGCGAGCAGGAGAAGGATGTCACCGCTTCTGAGCCGGAAAGCTCAAGAGTGGCATGCCTGGTTCTTTCAACAAGTTCGATTATGCCATGCTGCCGAGCTCAGCCGTGCTTAAGAACCGGCCATCGCTCGTCAATTGATTAAGCAAAGACTTTCGAGATTGGGTCAGAGTCAGAATGGATCATTAGAGTGGTTGTACAGAAGACTCTGCAGTTTTGTTATGGCGATATCAAAGCACACTCAACTCCTGTGTATCAGGTGAACGTCAACGACTTCCTGAAGCCCGCCGAAGGCGAGGCACCGCGTGACTACTACCGCGGCGACGCGGGGCGCGGTCGCGGGCGTGGTTTCCGCGCCGAGGGCGGCCGGGGGCGCGGCAGCGATGGCCGCGGTGGTTTCAGCGGTGCCCGTGGCGGAGGATTCGGAGGAAGGGGCGATGCTCGCGGCTTCCAGGGGGGCCGTACCGCTCCCGCACCGAAGATGGACGAACAGCAGTTCCCAGCCCTAGGCGGCAAGTAGGCGGTCTCGGGACCGGCATTGGACACCATGTAGCGGAAGAAGACGGGTGCTCAGACTTGGGCTGAGCTTATCATAACGTGGACATGGGTATTGAGTGGTTACGAATCATAGCCCTTGTTTTCGAGGTTCTCAGGATCGGTCAGAGTAGAGTCCTATGCGGGAAGGAACTCGACTTGCCTTACATGGTGCTTTTCTCACGCCAGAGAGTAAAGCTCTCGAAGGCCGTTTGCAGCATCCTAAAGTAGTGTTGAGGCGGTTGGCCGCAAAATGGCGGCATGTGAGTGCAGTTGATGACGACGTTCTGTAGTTTTAGCAGATTCGCGCTTCAAGTTTGTTGCAACCGATCAGTGAGTCCAACGAAGTGACCAGACTTGCATGCATCAGGCGTCAAGCTACCGAATCCGAAGCCTTTCAAGTTATGAGAGATCAGGCTTTGCGTGATGCATGCAATGTATTGGACCATGACTGAGCACCTGCTGTGACAGCAGCCCTGCTGAGCACAAATACTTTGGAAAGTATCAGTGGATTGACGCGGTTCAGAAGATCAGGCTAGTGCGTTTTCCTCCGGCCAGGCTAACGCGCCCTGAACGCCATATCTGATTTAATATACTGTCAACTGATTCTGGACTCGTAATTTCTCGTGACATGCTCAATTTATGTCCCAGTTCGACGGTGGTTTCACGTACTAGGGTCACCGTCTGCTAGCATGTGGCACGGCCTATGTTTGCTCCCCTTGTATAGTTGGCACCTGCGCATATAAATTATAACATGCTCTAATGATAATCCAGATGGATTGATACTATATCAACATACTGTGGCAATACTTGATGGCCATGCAGCTACGTCTGGCCATCAATTATATTGGCCAATGGTTAAGTTGGATCCATATGGAAGCTTCCATGGATCCCATGTACAGTTAGTATCGATCGTCTCATGATCGATATATGCCAGAGAGTCATGGTTGTAGTTGGAATAGACGATCATTCTATATTCGTGGACGGGATTGGTCACGACACTGAAGTGCAGCGTACGTTCCACCCGGTGATACATGTGTGTATGCAAGCACTAGCCTGCAAGCAAAGAGCTGTGATCGACATCTCCGGCGGCCGGTAATTGATCGCCAGAAATGAGTCCTGGAGGAAGATTGCGCAAGCAACTTCGACGTCAGGTTTTGCAGCGAGCTCTAGCTGCAAGGGCCACGCCACGATGCGGCGTCGTCTGTTAAAACCTAGCTGTACCTGGTTTGTGCTACTAGACCTGATTGTGGTACAACGTTCCAGTACTCAATCCCTGAATTGAACCATCCGGTCAGCTTACGGATTGCTGTCAATCTGGAGCATTCAAGCGTACGCTTATTGTCAAGATTAATGGCTGCACTTACTTTTCGTATTGGTGGTTGACAGACCGTTTGTAAGAGTAGCGTTCCAGCTACTCTTACAAACTCGGGCAATGATCAACTTCGCCTTATCTTTGACGACCGCTCTACTTTTTGAATGGTTGTTTCACTGATCTACGTATGCAGAAGACCGACAACATCGTGCTTCGTGTCAATGACGGTTGCCTTGCAAGATGCACCCTTATTTTGGGCATGGCAGTTAGCTACTAATAGACGAACCGGTATCCCTCCACCTGCTTTTTCTGAACCCTGCTCCGGCCAACGAACTTCAACAAGATCTGCTGCAAGTGCTGCTTTTGAAGCGGCTTGGGCTGCATAAAAAGGAAACAGATTTTGGAGACACAGGTACGATAAAATCAGCGTTAAAATGAGGCCTTAGCAAGTGGAGCTGTTACCGGCATGATTGCGCATTTGAACCTTTGGTTTCGTTGCCTCGATACTGTCCACTCTCAATCCTGGAGACGGTCACAACCCTTCCGAATATACACAGGTATTGCAGATGAACAGTTGGCGCTTCGAAAGCGAGTCAGCGTAAGGGAACAGCAAGCCACGTCCGCATATTTCCTGGTTCTAACGAATCTACGGAAAGCAGCTCGATTGCCAGCGTTGAGATCAAATCAAGCCACAACTTTTGCGGCAGACGACGTTACTTTGGACGTGAGCGCTCGTGTCGTCTCCCTTCTGTTTCGCATCATAGGTGTGCTGCTTTGAGGAGGCGGAAAGAAACTGACATTACATACAAAGAACCGCTTGTTTGAAGCGCCTCCTTAGTCCTGGACAACCAACCGCCAAAGCCGAACGAAAAGATACCGACTAGCCAAGCAATTCTGGCACACCCAGTGTCACCTTTCCAAGCGAATCAGGGTCCAGATAACGTCTGAACGTGAGAAGGGAACATTCCGATTGCTCCCAACACGAACAGCCCCACGTCGGACTGAAGGCTAGCCGGAAAATTCAAGACGGAGCTTGGCTTCGCCTTTCCACTTTCGAGCGCTTGATCAACGGTGCTGAATGGAATTGAATAACAAAAGTAATGACTTGCCCACTTTCGACTGAGGCTTGTAACCACTCCAACGTCCGGCTCAGAGTGAGATCCGGTTGCAAGTGCGGTCCGGTGTGCGTCAGACTTTGCAAACGCTCTTTTCTAAAGCTGGCTTTGAGGGGTTGGGCGAACTAACCAGGTAGTCGTCCATTCCGGCGGCCATGCACTGCTCCCGGCAGCCCTTCATGACGTCAGCCGTCAGCGCAATGATGGGCACCCGGCACCGCTCGCACGCCGCCTCCGCTGACGCGGCGCTGACAGTTCCTTGCGTGACGTCATCCGTACGATGCCGTTGACGGCAGCGCTTGACCTCGTCCAACCGAATCAAAGTCGTGGTTTCGTAACCTGCAATTGAGGCAGTTTGGCAACTTTCCAGGATGCGTCTCTCAACACTGTCGCTTCCAACAGTCTCGTGACCTACACATGGTCAAAACTCGACGAAGAGTTTCTTGGCTCATCTGAGTCCGGAATGCGCTGGTTGACCGTTATACTTGCGGCTCAGGCTCCAAAGCTGTATGCGATTAATCTGGTTTTGAATCATAGTCACGCATTCCCGAGACACGCACCCTTTCCGCATAGAGACAGCTGTCTTTCAAGCCAACAAGGCCATCTCACTTTCCATCTCCGTTTGAAATTGAGCTCACAAATCTCCGCCTAGCACTGCCACCGATGACCGGCGAGAGAATTGCTACCCTCATGTTCCCCATGAGACACCGAATAAGGCGCAAAATCGTGGATCTCGACCAAGAGGGTCGTCGCATCCTCGATAGAACCTCCGCTTATGAGCAGAGACTGAGCCCACGATAGGCCCGTCGATCTGTCTTCACGTGCGCAAGTTACGCACAGAAAGAAAAGCGTTGCCACAGGCGGACCACAGCACTTGGCACCTCAACCGCAAACGCTATGCTAATTGCCATAGCCGATGGGCCATAAGCGGGCGCTCACCGTCCATTTCCGGCATCTGAACGTCCATGAAAACGACGGCGATGCCCCCTTCGCCGGGGGGCGCTTCGCCGCGCATCACTTCCAATGCCTCCGGCCCTGACGCAACGGCAGCGACCTGGCAGCCCATGCTCTCCAGCAACTTGGTCGCCACCTTCCGGTTGATGCTGCCGTCATCCACAACCTAAGAAAACGTGCGAAGTGAGATCCTTGGGTTCCCTCATCAACCAAAGGATTGAAGGGATCGACGGACTCTATGTACAGAATTTGAGGAACGAATCGATGGAAGGAATGGAAGGGATCCAGAGCTTTCTCACGGACTCAAGGACTAGATGTACTGATCTCCACGGATTGCCGGTTGAGTTCGGATTCGATGATATTGCGACTCCGACTGAAAGTGAAACTGTCGGTTCACGCTGTTCCATCCAAATACCAGCAATTGCTCGACCATATTCACACTGGCGTAAAATGCAGAATGCTCTCGCCCGCAAGACAGTGCCCACTTGCGTTGACACCAGGCCCTACATCGAAGACGTTAAGCTGTCACTCACCAGCGCCCGCGCTCCAGCCATGCCCACTTCCGCTTCTGCCAGGATTTCGCTTTCCGTTCGCACGCCCCGGCGGAATAGTGCGGCTTTCATGGCCTCTGTCAAGGCGGTCCGCCGGAACGGCCGAAACACCACCGCGTCAACCCCCCCCTGCTTTGCCTCACTTTCGACCCCCCCGTCTGGACTGCTCAGCAACCCAAAGACAGCGTCCGCCACTCCTCTTGATCGAGCGTTTTGCACGAGCGACAGCAATCGTGCGTTTTCTAAGCGGTTGTCTAAGGTGACGAAAAGAGCGGTTTTCTTATCGGGGGGGCGAGTGAGTAGGTGGCTTGAGGTTTGCTCGAGGTGGGTGAAATGGGGGACGCTGCAACCCAGCCAGCGCAGAGCGCTCGCAAGAACCTCGTGCCGGACGGGGTCTCTGCAGGAAAAGAGAACAAGTGCTTCAAGGAATCATCAGAGCCTCCGCCTGTAAAGAGATGTTGGTAATCCGAGAACCTGGTCGTGAAAATGTATTCTTTACAAAGGCGCCCTGCTGCAAGTCGAGTGAAGATTCAATATTCGCTTGCCCTGTCGTTATTAGTTGATGAAGCGAAGTGACCATACTACACTACTTGATCGATGATTGTCTGCTGAAAGGATACTTGAGTCCTAGCAGAGTGTAACCAGGGCGAAAGCTGTAGCCCGTTGCTGCGCTGCTCAAAAAGCTGGACGAATTGGACTCTGGACGAAAGGAAACCAGTCAAGAAAAACTCATTCAAGATCCATTCAGATCCATCATATTCTTGCTCGAGCCCGTATCTGTCTTGGGCTTCTTCGAGAAAGAGTTGGCGGTTTCAAGCAGCGTTTGGAACAGGTTAAAAGGCTCCTTACCTTTCTAAGATGGTCGCACAAACCCCTTCCATATCCCTGTCCCTTTTCTGCGTCTCCACGACCCCAACACGCACATCGAACTGGAAGGTGCTCCCGACCCCTTCGCTCGTCGCCACTGAAACCTGCCCCCCCATTAAGTGCACCAGCTTTTGACTAATCGACAACCCAATTCCGGTTCCCCCATACTGACGGCTGGTTGCGGCATCGCCTTGCAGAAACGGGGTGAAGAGACGGGACTGCGCCGCAGGCGAAATCCCTATTCCCGTGTCGGCGCATGATATGACTAGCCGCAGCCAATTGTTCCCTGCTTGTCTTGCGCTTTCAAAGTTTTGCTGACTCCTTTCTCTGATTGCCAAGACCTCTTCAGCTGTGCTGGAAACGCCGGCCTGCATGCGAGGCGTCTCTAGCTCCACAAAGTCTATCCAACGTGCTGAGGACTGTTTCGACTGAGCATCATTTACCGGACTGCCGCCATCGCATGTTACACTATCCCCTACCTGTACACACAGCAGTATGCCTCCGTGTTTGGTGAACTTGATCGCGTTGGATAACAGGTTATTCAAAACCTGCCTTAACCGGTTCGGGTCGCCCGCTAACTGTCGGGGAACCGAGTCCTGAACCAGCTTGTTCAGTTCCAACCCCTTTTGGCGTGCCGCCTCCGCAAACGAGTTGAGCGTCTCGCCCGCTTCGAAGCGCACGTCGAATTCGACCGAGTCTTCAATCTCCATATGCCCCGCCTCGATCTGCAAGGAGGGTGGGAAGCGATTGAGCGGACAAATACGAAACCGAATCACAGCTCTCAAGCCTCCGTTCTGGCCCCATCACACAGAAGACGGCAGAAATTGATCTAGCTGCAGGGCGACATCATGTGTGTTTCCGCAATGACAAATAAGCGCCTGCAGATTTGGGTTCCGCAAGTGAGAGACTCGACTGGAAGACAGCACAAAAATATGTCGCTGCCGTCGACTTTTGGAAGTCAAAAGAATGGACGCTTGGCTGCACTTTGTCTGAGAGGAACAATCAGGACTGGAGGAACAACCAGAAAAAGCACGGAGTGGCGTAGCATTTATCCTGAGGACGATAAACAAACCAACCGTTGACCGTCTCTTGGAGGGGAGAATTGAAAATATTGTTTGGACAATTATTCAAGCAACACGCATCGGAAGCAAGAAAAGATGATTACATGCAACATGGTGATGCAAAATGCCCGTCCCCCTGTCGAGCATGCGGTGCTGATCTCTCTCTGAAAGTACTGCCGGATTCAACCTTTCTGCTCACGAGAATAAAAAAAGAATCCTCAGACCCACCTTAGAAAAATCTAGCACGTCCGAGATGAGCGACAAAAGCGCGGCCCCCGACATCTGCGCCGTGCGCACATAGTCGCGCTGCAGCGGCGTCAGCGGCGTGTCCAGCAGGAGCGTGTTCATTCCGATGATTCCGTTGCACGGAGTGCGGATCTCGTGCGACATCGTGGCGAGAAAGGCGCTCTTGGAGCGGTCCGCGGCTTCGGCCGCGCTTTTCGCCTGGACCAGCTCCTGGTTAAGCTGCTTAACCCGGTCCATCTCGGCCTCCACCATGCGGATAACCTGGGGGTTTGGAAAAGATTACGAAGTTTAGCGCCAGGTTTGCTACGGGTCAATCTAGCGGCATGTAACTCGTCAGAGGGAGACTGCGGAATTTAGTATGCACGAACGATCATTATGCCCAGCAGAGGTGGAAAGCAGGTAAGCTGGAATTTGCTTCAAGGTTTTAGCTCCATGATTCCGCCAGAGTATCCGGCACCCTGAAAATGAGAAGCCTATGCCCATATGAAAGCGCAGAGAGCCCATCAATCTATGGAAGCTGCGCCAACAAGGCAAGCACAGACGTAAAATCATATGCGTCGAGCTGGGGGAATCCGTACCTGGAACATGAGCGCAATGATCACAATCCCCGAGACGACTGTCCCGAGCACGACTGTGGTCCAGCCTAGGGCGCGCTTGGTGCACGTCCATGACCGGGGGGAAAGGTCCAAGCACCTGGCGAGACGTTAGGCGACTCATTTAGGTAGCATAAAGCGAGGTATGTTGTGGTGACGGGTGGGTTAGGGTGGGGTTTAGGGTGGGTACTGCTGCGGAGCGGGTACATTTGTTCGTTTAGCTTTTCTGTTTCGTTTGACTGTTGCTATCCTACCTAGAAAGTACTCTACTTAACAATACATGAATATGGTGAGACGCGAAATTCTGCGGCCTCACATCTTCGGGACTGTTCGGCCGGAGAATCAGGAAGCAAAGCATCTGATGAGCTACTACAACCTTAGAAACAAAGGTTACAACCCCCATCGTCTGGAGGCCTAGGCGGGGCGTGGACAGGAAAGCAGAAAATAGGTAACGCAGCATTCACCGTGACAAGGCCCTTCATATAACCCACAACTTTGGCTGGATCAAACACGATGACGACAACAGCGCAAGTTTTGGCAGCGCAGGCGAACGCAACCCTCTTCCTTGTGCCCCTCACCTGATCTCATAGTTGCGTTGTCCCTGCATGTAATCCACCACGTAATCCCACGTCACGCCGTTCGTCAGAGTGTCGTTAGGTGACGCGTACAGCAGCCCTGCGCTTTCCGAAAGGCCCTCCGTGACGTCATACACCCGCACCTGCGCATAGAGTAGACTTTGTATCAATTGACGCACCAATTGTGGCGTTATATGAACAAACACGAGAGAACGATAGTTTGAAACCCTCCAAGGTCGTGCAAAGGCGAAGTGGATCCCCAAATAACCCTCTGATCTAGCCAGCTCAATTGTAAGGCCTTGGGATCTTAAATGTCTGACCATTTAAGGGCAGAGCGGACATGACCACCGAAGCGCTGGGTCGTTGTACAACGATGACAACGCCCGAAAGTTGCTCTCTCATGACGACGTCGAAGTACCAAACATCATCGTTGTTTGCAGCCTGGACAAATGCGACATTGGACAACCTGGAGCCTAGTGAAGGTAGGAAGCCCCAAGTTCTAGACTACCCGCTTCCGGACTTTGTCGAAAGTACAGGGATATTAATTCGGAGTTTCCGCACCAGAGCCAAAGGTTGGCCCACGGGAGCCCAGAAGAAGTACAACGATAGCATTTCAAACCTCCGAGCTTGTTTCGGAGCACAAAGATGTTAGATCGATCTTTGACTCCTCACCAGGATCCCCTCAATGTCCGCCAGCTTGGCAAACGCCTCCTCGTGCACCACGGGGGGCAGCGTACCCACAATCACGCCGCGCGCGTTCGCCCACCGCTCGTCGGGGGTCGCCGTGCCGCTGTCAAAGCCGTCCGCATAGACTGGGAAATACGTCGAAGCCTTGCGGCCGCCTGCACAGCAGTCTCGGGTCAAAGAAGCACCACGCGTTTGAGAATTACAAAGATGTTCGTCCTGTCAGTGACCGTTGTCGATCAGAAGTTCGAGCGAAACGTTTGATGCGGTCCTCTGTGAAAGGCCGGTTCCCAATCAACGGAACCCTAAGCCGGTTGAGAATCGCAAAAATCGGGTGCCAAAATGCAGAATCTGCACCGGATTTAGACAGAAACGCTCCGCCGTCATTGACGTGGAGGCTGTGCGTAGGAATTACTCCGTGCATCCGAGCCTATCAACAGCAGTGCCATCACTCATTCCGGAACGCTTCAGCGAACAAGTGACGAGCAGTCGCAGAAAGAATCACGGCAAACAGATGAAGGAAACCGAAAAGGCAAGGGACTCGAAGAGAAAGTATCCTGACCCGCGATGGGTGTGTACGGGGGCCCAGCGCAGTCTTGTCCCGTGAGGATGGCCTTGCGGATCGTTGCTTCTAGAATGTTGGTCAGAACGTCGTACCCCAGGTAAGTCTGCACCAGCGGCGCATCGGAGAACATCCTGACAAACCGGAGGGCGGGTAAAGTTCGTATTATTTGTCAGTAGAGAGCAGATGCAGCATGCGGGAAGCCTCTCAACGACGTAAGGGTTCGGAGGATTGGAGGGGCAACCAAATGAAACGTGGATCTGAAGACATGCCTTATCCCTCTGGGATGGGGCGTAATCTGGAAATCTTCAAGTTTTGTGGTTCAATTTGTAGCCCAGATTGGCAACCCAGTCTGCTTGGACTCAGGGGTATCTATCGAGTAGAAAAGATAGGATCTTTCAACAGAACATCATGCTCAAAATGCTTGAGGAGTCCAAAAACATTGGGCCGTTTTTTGATGCGGAGTCGAACCTCTGGTCAAGCACGGCAAGAAGGGAATTGCTGCATCCGAATAATGGGCTCGGTACATTGAAGATCTGGTTACCAGCTTTCCGGTCAACCCTCACCATCTTTACGATCCCCAGAAACCCGGAATGTCAAATCACTCAAACTTCACAGTTGATTTACCTCGTCCTTCAAACATCTTTTGTGACAACATCAACGAATTTTTGACAAGGTGTTTACTCGTGGTCACAGTACCGTCGGGCGTCAATGATTGAAGCAGCAGACTCACCGTGCGACCACATAAACCTCCGCAGCTGGCGCATCCAGGGTCTTTTTCGCACTGAAATCGTATGTATAAAACCGCCTCCCGATCTCCGCTTCTACTGCGGCCCGCTCGTGGCCCCTGACCACTTGAAGCCTGGTCGGTCAGGATTTCACTGTTCAGTTTGCTTGTTCTCCAAAATTTGGTGGGGTCTTCATAACACGGGGCAAGTAATGCGTCCAAACGCCTAGGTATTCTTCATCGGACTGCTTGTGCGAAGCTGCAGATCAGTCCTCTTGTTAAGTTGATAAGAAATGGCATATGGTGATGTAGGAGATGGAACGTCTCAAAAAGCATTTACGTGCAGAGACAGCTCTTGGCAGACCCAGCCTCGAACTGCTCCACAATATGACATTCGAATGTTTGGAAACGTTCACCCTAATGAACCTCTCCTTACTGACTGCTTTGGCTAAGATGATACATAGCCGCTCAGCCAATGAAGGTTGCAAATTCTGAATTTTGTCCAATACAGGGGCAGTAAGCGTTTAAAGTAGAGATTGCTCGAATTTCCAATGTCCAAACTTACGTGCCTCAATCCCAAACTTACCCTGAAGCGCCTGACTAACCCCACTTTTTAGGGTATGCCCCTACCTCAGACCCAAAGCTTACCGCATCAGACTGAATTTTGGAGAACTATGCCCCTGGCTGTAAGCGAGTCGCACACTGTGGTTGCAATCACTGAAGCCATGTCCACTTGACGAGATCTAGATCCCAATAGTGGCAACTCAGAGAAAGTAAAACATTGTCCCTCCAAATCAGCCCTCTTCGACATGGCACCACCATAAGTGTGTTCTCCACAGAGAGGACTAGAAGTCAATCAGAGAGAGGCCGTGTCTCACCATGAGACCACGAGCGTGTTCTTCAGAACCCCCGCGACTGCGTCCGAGAACTTAGCCCAAGCCTCCTCTGTAAGCTCTGCCTGAGTGGCAATAAGGCCCGAGTACATGTTGGCCAGGTCGTAGCGAGCCACTAGATCAGAGGAGAGCACCTGCACCAGTAATGTTGTGCCGTCAGCGAACGGTGCCATGGTGTTGTCCTGAGGTTTGGACCTCAGAGCCAAAAGACACTTTTGAATCTGTAAAAAGTCCTGGTGACGGTCTTCCAGGGCAATTGGCATCATGAACTCTGAGGTCAGTGGTGGGAAATCCAAGTTTCTGCTTTCACCATTGCCCCCACTTTTGCTGAGAGGAAATCTTTCCCTCACCCTCTGGGCATAGTACCAACAGAAGTTGCAAAGCAGATACAAAAGAGACGGAAAAAGTAGTGAGGGCACGCTGATGCAAAGTTGATGAAGCTGAACGGTGGTGGAGAAGTGTTCTTGGAGCAAAGAGAAAACGCCTGCCACAAATACAAGAATGTGCGCCAAAGCTCTGCTCTTTAAGCACACTGCTCAGAAGAAATCCTCAACTGCTTCACAATGCCACCCCGACAAGTCAGCTATGGCAAGACCTGCTGGTAAACTCAAATCGCCATTTTTCAACTACACAATCTTTTCAGACGTAAATGCCACTCCGCCTCTGAAGTTTTGCTGCAATCGCATTGGCATAGTACTAGCTCTACTCAAGTTCCTGAACTCTTTGTAAGTCAAACTTTGGTAACTGATGCTCAGCAAACAGCGGATCCAGGGATATTTACCTGTGCCCTGTTGATGCACCGCAGGTTAAACGCGCTCTCTTCAAAGAGGCTTGCCTGTCTGTATAGCATCCAGAACACAGTCACCGCAAGACTGCACCCGAGCAACGTCCACACGAACAACACCGCACGCTCCGCATCTCGTCTCATTGTAAACGTTTTCAGGGTCTCCCTGAGAAAACCCGACACCCTCCGATCCTGTCCCATGTCCAGCGTTTCTTATCAGCTCGCTATTTGACAAAATGCGACATTTGTGCAAACGAGCTGACGGGGGGCAAAGTTTGCATTTCCATATCAGCTCTCAGCATCATCTGCTCCTTTCAGAATCAACGAGGAATGCGAATCCTCCCTGCTGCCCAGTGCCCCTGTGGTGGAATGTGCATTGTGGTTCACCATCGTCGTCGACACTCACCCTTGTCATTGGGCCTTGATGTCAACAGCTCATGAATGTCTGCGACATGCATACCCGATGATACCGAAACTGCCACACTGGCACGCAAAGGCTGGCCGCTGCTGTGACTCTGGGTTAACCCTTGCAGGTTATGTCCCTAGCTCGTTATCTTCGGGCTGTAAAATTCTGACATCACTAGAAATTCTGGCAGCCCGGGTGGTTAAACCGACGGAATTAAGACCGAAAGGCTGGGGCCTTGGACCGGGCGGTCGGAATATGCGGTCTGCAGCTCATTCTGTGTGGGTTCCCTGCCCGGTTTGCGGTCCCGACGACCGAAATCTGGAAATCCCGGTTAAGAACCGCAGATTTAACGGCCAGCTGGACTGCGGCGCGCGGCTTGCGGGAAGAAAATTGAACGGCTCCCAGCAGGGTGTCGTTACAGCATGAGCGTTCGTGCGACTAGCGAAGTCCGGCCTCCCACATCCTCAAATTCCGCCGGCCTTGATTTCAAACGGACAGGAAACCGGAAAGGCAGCTAGGCGGGCAAGGAAGGCGCGCGACACATCATCTCGCGACGTCAGGCAGGCCTGCACGGCTCGAAGCCTGGGATTTGACAAAGCGATATCATTCAATCTGCGCTAGGGGTGGTAAGATTTGTAGCTGATCATTGGACAGGCTCTCAGCCACAGGTCGTTATATATGAAAGGAGAAAGGACTCCAGGCCCTCGGGGAGAGATAATATACGGCTTCGTCGAACAGTCGAATCGGTAGTCGTACCGGCGTGTTGATTTGTCCGATCGGTCTGAATGAAGCACACAATTTTGTCTTTCTCAAAGCGCAGGAGGGTGATAGCCTCTAGTGGCGCCGCAGGACATATATAGCAGCATGGGAGCAGCATATGAGATGTCGGCAACATGAGATACGAGCTCCTAGTACATACTAGCAACGTCTGAAAGAGCGGGTATTCGTGAACAGGGTGCTTACAAGAGTTCTTATATGTTACTGTGCACATACGGGGCCATCATTGATCAGCGACAAGGCGCATAGCCTGTCGACTTGATTCACTACGTACATTGGGAGCAATTGACTGGCCACATGAGTGTATCAAACCGTCAAGCACTGTTGTTTGTGGGAGCACGAGGTTCCCCGCTTCGATGTATCAAAAAAAGCGTGCGGCCATCAACGAATCAGTATGAATAATCCAGACCTACTTATGCAAAGCTCTACTGCTCCTCTGAAACGCGTTGTCGAAAATCTATAATCAGCCACTTTAATCGTTATGACGCTGATCAGGCATCAAACTCCCTAGAGTACCCATCCGCAGCTATCATCCGTCCAAGTAGTCACTAAAAAGAAACACCATTTCGACTCTGCCCCTATATACACAAAGCCACCGTCGCTAGCCCCGCCAAAACGGCCACGGTTACGCTAACCCACGGCCGGTGCCCCGCGGACGTGGGCGCAAACTGCGGCATGGCGCACTCGTAGCCGTTGAGCAACACGCGCGTCGGGAAGCCCATTGTCCGGGGCTCGAACCCCGGGTTCTTGCCAAAGAGCAGCACCGACTGGATATTGCCCGGGGTGCCCTTTTTGTCCACCCCGAGGAGCCAGTCGTTGTAGCTCGGGTAGCCCTGGAAGAGCATGTTGTACACTGCAGGGAAAACGTAGGTGTGATGTCAATTCAAAAGAAAAGGTAAGTGTAGCGTACAGAACGAATTTTGTTGCTCGGGTTGGCCCTGGCAGACCATGTCGTAGAACACTGCAGGGAAGACGAAGGGCGTGACGTGGGATCAAGAACTTCGGCAGTTCGAGACCATCTATCGAAGAATTGTTCCTGTGGGAAGATGTTGACGGTCCGTCAAAAACTTGAACGGCGGTCCGATGATGTCAAAAGTCGAACGGAAGAAAGGGTCGCACCTTTTTGGACAAGCCACTTCGCCTGCTTTAAAGATACCTGGCATCTCGAGTTTCAAACCTCGCAATCTCAGAACAAAAGTATGAACGGTGATTGAGATTGAGACTGAGATCATAACAGAAAGCCGTTCCAAATATTGCCCCGGGGAAGCCAGGCGCCTTTCCCCGTTCGCATCAAACAGCACTCGCCTTCTCCCTCTGACACCCATCTGGCAGCCCTGAGAGGAAACTGGCGTCACAAACAGTCTGCCCCGGTTCTGAAGGATTCCGGAAGGTGGGAAGTAGGAGTGCTTTCCACGAGCTTAGCCACACAACGCAGCGGTTAGGAACGTTAACCCGGTCGAAAACCCACCTAGGTCCGGCGTAAACTCCACCGAGTAGGCGGTCGAGAAGTTAGCGAAGCCTGGGTGCTGCACCACCGCGTACCAGTCCTTGACCGGGCTAGACCCGCGGTTAAGCATAACCATCTTCGCTGACCAGCCGCCGAGAAAGTCTTGCTGGATGTGCCAGTGGAAGTTGACCGGGCAGCCGTCGCTGCAGGTGAGTGAGAACCAATCAGCCATATGGAGCATTCGTCCAATCCGGGAACTTAGCCGGAGCAGATCTGCAACGAGCACGGTTTGTGATTGTGATACTTTGGAGTCCGCATCGGGCTGCGGCCGCTCCATAATATGCACCGAGACGACTCCGACCTCGAACCTATCTACTAATGGGGTTCGGTATTTCCTCGTCGTATGCGAGGTTGCATCTGCTGGCAGCACATGGCAACTTTGCCAGAACGCTGGTGGCCTTACGATTGACTGTACCTAATCAACAGGGTTTCTTCCTCTCTGCAGGATGTTTGATGCATACGGTTGGAAAGAGTTGTCATAGCAGTTTTCCTAACGGCAAAGCTTACCTGCACGCGGGAAGGACCGGCAGCGTATTGATGACGCTAGTGTTGGTGGCCGCCAGGAGCGAGTTGACGGCGTCTGTCGGATCAACGGCCAGGATGTACGGGTTGGAGGAGACCGGCTCGGGAGAAACGATGGCCGTCGGATCGCACGTGCCCGCCGCGAGCGTGCTCGCGTTGCAGCCGCACGCGCACGTCGCGCAGGGCGCCAGCGTCTTGTTGAAGAAAGCTGGGGAGGATATGTAACAATGTTGGTTAAAGAGTCGTCGGAAGAACTTAGGAGGCGGCGGTAAGAGAAGGGATGACCGGTTTTGACAATGCATCATTCACACCGTTGAAGCAAAGAAGGGGCTCGAAAGGGATAGGCATGACCCATCTATTGGAACAAACTCTCAGATTGCGAAATTGCTCTCGACTGTTCAGGGTGAACGCTTGAGACAGTGAGCGCGGCAGAATCCACCCTATTTGCCAAACTATTTTTCAACTCTAGAACTCAATATTGCATTCCTGATGAGACACAATTACGGGTCCATGACACCGAAGCGTGCGTCACGAACGACTGTGAGCACAATTCTTCGAAAAGCTGCATGCACCTATAAAGAGGGGTCAGGTCGGCAAACGGAATTCCACTGCGCGAGAAAACATCCGCTCACCTGAGAAGGAGACGCAGCACGACACTGGAGGGACGTAAGTGGGGGCCTGGTAGCACTGGATCGACCACGTCACTGCAGCACGAGGATGACGCCATCAGCCCCGCGGTACAAGCTCGCTCAAGCCCATCTTCTCTTGAAGTTCTCAAGTCCATAGGACCTCTATTCCTTTGTGCATTCCGTGCTTGCCCACGACGGATCTCACGAGTGGTGCCAGCAGAAGAGTTAAAATCCAGCAGGCACGCGAGAGTGTGAACTGTCAAGTGACATCAATCTTTTTGGATAAGGTCGTGACACGGGGAGTCGGTCTCCCCGACAAAGAACCGGGAAACCCGTTGTCCTGATGTCTTTTAAAGCTACGTCATCTTTGGGCACAAGGAAGCCAGCGTTCCACGGCTCATTTCGCGGCCTCTGCAGAATTTCTATTGTAACGTGCCCCTATCGTTAAGCAGAAATGAAACGAACGCTTCTGATTGAAATTGCATGCGAGCAAGCTTTGTCGCTCACGGAAGGCCTGCCCGGAGCGCTGCGAGTTGATCTGGAAGACCGTCGGCGTAATGATCTTCGCGCGCGTGCAGATGTACCCCGGCTGGTTGATGGTGAAGTTGTGGGGGGCGACCACCGAGAGGCGGTCGAAGTTGGCCAGGTTCTTGCCCTGGGGAGAAACAGGCACGGGTGGAAATGATCAGAAAGGAGCAAGCAAAGTTGAGAAAAGAGGCAAAGGCGACAGTCCCGACGATGTTAGGCAAGGAGCCGCATGACGAGAGACCGTCACGTACGGCTCTCTACGGCGGTAGCACCCCTGTCGACTACGTTTATAGCTACACCCCCGGTATGATGTTTAGAATAGGTGGGCCATAAAATGGATATCGTGAAACCCATTTTTATTCTGGGTGGGCCTAAGTTTAGGAGTATGGTTAGTCCCTGACAATCGTACTCCGTGGAGGTCAGTAAGTCTATCGAAGGGTTGACTTAAGGACAGACACATGCTGCCAGATTCTTGAAAAGAAATACGAAACAACTCAGCCGTGCTCAAAATCCCTAGTTGAACATGACCGGAACATTGCGTAGGGCCTTGCTAAAGGTGCCTGCAAAGGTTCCTGTTCCAGTTTTTGGCCTCCAATCATGAATCCGGGGGAATCGAAATGGCGTCAGTCGGCAGGCACTTAGAAGACCCAAGCGTTGTCACGCATCAGCAGTCTGCGCTCTTGTACACCGTGAGTCAGTCTTGTCCCAGATGCTAATCATTAAAAAACCGCATTCAAATGATACTGCTATCCGGAAGTCAGACTTTCCGAGGCAAACAGCTAACCGTAGTAGGAATGGCCCCTTCACGTGCGACGTGATCTGGCCGACTCTCAGGATACCGGAAAGCCACAAGGCTTAGGATACGGCTGCTTGCTCAGAACTCGAAAGCTCACGAGTGTGCGCGCATCCGCTCACCACTTTCATGGTGAACATGGCCGTGTTCTTCGTCTTGTCAATCGCCAGCGCCGACAAGCTCCCGTTCTTGCTGCAATTGCAAAAGCAATTGATTATCAACCGTCTTTTAGGAAGGAAAGGAACCCTTTCAGCTTCCACGCTTTCCATATCAAGTTTGCCGAATGGACTGTTTTCAGTTAAAAAGCATTTCATTAGGTTTCAGCTGCCCTGTATTCTTAACGTGGTCCTAAGTCCACGTGCTATGTTACGTACACATCCGTAAGCGGCAGGTATGCAGCACAAGGCTCATGCTGCCACGTGGCATCGTCAGATAGGCCGGATTTTCTTACCAGCAGTTGGCCACCCCGGCGGCGTAGATTTGGTCGGGCGGCAGGTCCACGATGGTGGGGGCGGTCACGCAGCTGTGCGCCAGGTTGATCGAGTCGCCGTACGTCTTGGCGTTGGATGACCGCGCGCAGTCTGAGAAGGGGCGACCGGACGTAGAGTGGTGTCAAAGCGATAAAGGAAGCGCCAGAGAGAGTACAGATCTGAGGATCCCTGAAAATTGACTTGCTGTGCGTGCTTCTTGAAGGAAGAACGCGCAATCAGAATTCTCACAAAAGACCTTTTACTGACTGCCCGGCAGACCGGGACACACCGGGACTGGCTTTCACAAAACCCGCCTCGATTGCAGGGGGGTGAGAGGGGCGACAACGAAGCAATGAAGTCCAGGACCTTTCGCCAGAAAGCTTTCAAACGGAAAGGTGGATAAGCGAGAAATGAAGCGACAATAACGCGCCGAGGTCCTTGAACTCTTGACCAGAGAAGATGGCGCGATTGCAGCGCTCAGGACTTCAAGACTCCCCGTTACCTTGCGAATGACGGAGATTGAATCCCAGCAGAATTGGATCCGCGTTGCGTCAAAAACAACGGAAGAGAGCTCTCTGTGTTCTTACCGCCGACCAGGGTTGCCTGCGCGCCATTCATTGACCAGATGAACCTGCAAACGAAAGCAACCCATCAGACCGCAAGGTGAAGCTCGGACTATCAGCCTTTCTCTGCGACTTGCAACCCTGCTACTAAATATACATCGCCCTTGTGATGTCACTCATGAGCAAAGCAACCTGGTGTGGCCCGCGAGTCCTGCAGTGGTTTTCAACAAAGAGACAAGTACCTCCCAATCCTGACGCCCAGCGATTAACCTTTGTCAACGATGGTGAATCTAATTCCTCATTTGAATCTACGAGGCCTCTGATTCGCGCCGTCAACACTGTACAGGAATGCCTACAAAATTGCGAAAGGCCGGTGAACCAAAAGCAGATATCCACGAGGCCTTGTTTTTGCCGCCTTGGCCAGAAATATCCACTTACTCGCCCATGGTCCAGATCCACGACAAGGCCCACCCGGGCCCCTTGGGATAGCTGTCAACGCTCCGGTACCGCTGGTTGTTGGCGACGGTCACTTGGGCCTGCGGAAACGGAACGCTTGTTCAGCGGAAGCGGAAAACGCGCATCCAAGGTGGACGGCGCGATCGCGAAGAACAGACACGCGCACGCGCAGTTGGGAAACGGGGACTCCGCATGGCTTCAGGAGGACAGGCACGCATCGCGCGTTTTGAGATTGGAATACATCATTTCAACCAAAAAGTACAGGTTGAATCCTTCATGCGACAATCTGTCTGTCTAGAACCTTTGGTGGTTTTGTAGCGTAAGCTCCTCACCGTGTATTGCGACGTTTCTGACGTGATCACGTCCCACGTGATTTGGATGACACCCAAGGCGTCCAGAGGCTGGTCCAAGGCGGAGGGAGCTGCACAAAAGGGTTTGGAGACGGTCTGACTTTACCGAGGAACGGACAATGCGAATACGCAGAACACAGCGAGAATTTGCAATGGTCCGATTGTGCCATGGTCACGAAGCCGGTACGTCTGGAAAGTGGTGCTGTGTTATTGTATTTTAGGTCCCAGAAAACGAGATGATGGCGCGTTCCTGTGACAAAGCCGGAAGGCAGTTCTTGCCGAGCAAACACTTCAGACCATACATGTGCATATCAGACCACGCAACACATCAAATCTTCACAACACATTTGGATCGCAATGGATTTTGCGTCTGTAAGAGTTAGCCACAGGTGTGCAAAGCATGGTACAAGAGGGGGCGCCTTACCGGGTGCTGGTGCCAGTGGCGTCGTCCTTTCGTCGCAACACACACGGAGGCGGTTCGCTGCAAAATAGTCAGACAAGCGTTCTGTCAATTCTCCGTCTTTTCTAAAAGTAGATGGAAAACTTCTTTCCCTCATCTGGGGCCAAGTCATGCACCACCAAGCTCTCAGGCGGCGCATTGCGCGTCGAGTTGCAAACATTTTCTTTCAAACTAGAACGAGCGGAATAAAGCGGTGGAAGCATATTGTCGAGTAGATCGAGCGTTCCGGTTCCTCACTCGTTCCGCTGGGGTACGTTCCGGGGCGGCATAGGTAGCTCGGATCCACTATGGTAAGCGAGGCGGGTAGTGCGTCCCCCTCATCCGCGGCGCCAAATTCGGTGCCCACGATGCTGACGCTGCGAATGTACTGCGTGATGTCACCCGCCACGTCGATCGAGTTGGGCAGGTTGGGCGTCGAGATGGGTGCGTTGAACAGGGTCGTGTTGCCTGCAGGCGACATCCGTCGGTATTTGAAATTTTTGAGGTTGAGAAACTCTCAAAGTCGAGGGGACTTGGTTTGTGAGGCTGCAGCCCAACCGTGCGCACTTTGCGCGTGGCGATAGGCCCGTCATATCAATGGTCTTGTTGCGAAGAAAAACACGGGCACTCATACTCTTCAAGGTGTCAGAAGTCCGAAGTCCTGATGTTCCGCGCCGTCGCACCCGCAAAGATTGTGTGGTTCAGAGCAAGACCGCGAGGCGCGAGGAGATATTTGGAGACTGGGCAACATGTAAGAGAAATGTCGGAAAACGAGAGTGACGACTCTTGAAGCTTACGAACTTAAGCTCTGAGATTTCTAACTTGAAGTATCCGAAAGCTAATTGCCAGGTGTCAAGCTTCGCGCATTAGATACTCCCGGAACCCAACTCTTCAGATCTTGCGGTCTGAGGTCCGTTCATTCACATGTCCGGTGTTTCAGGACCCACAGCACGCATCTTCCGCTTCGACAGCATTCCGGAAGCGGCAAAGTTTAAATCTTCTTGTAAAGGCGGAATGCGGAACAGGGCGTCAGCTTGGTGCGTGACGTCAGCGCTGACCTTGCGCTGGCAGTCCCAGGGGGCTGTCGATGTCCGCTCCGCTAACGGTGGTGATGATCTCATTCAGCTGGTATCCGATCTGCAGCTGCCAGTTCTGCAGACGGGAAGACGTTACGATGACGTCAGCAAAGTCGTGCTTTACTCTTAAACCATTTTTTCTTGGGTTTCGGAATCGTTTGCGACGACAACGAACTTGCAAGGTGCTAAGAGCCACTAATCGCAAGACCCCAGCAGGCAGCAATAAAAATAAGGACAGACGCGCTTAAGTTCTAAGAAGCAACCTTCATTTTCTTGTTGAAGTCTAACGAGTGCAGTACTTCGGTGCAAAGCTGAGGTCTGATGGGTAAAGATTCACGCAGCCCACCTTGAGCGTTTTGGAGCCGATGTTCTGCATGGTCGCCGTGGCCTCGAAGCGGAACGGCTGCGGATCGGCGACCGGCGGAATCATTGACACCGTGTTCACCGCGTAGTCGATGACCACACCCGTGCACGGGCCGGTTGCCACACTGGTGGCGTTGGTTCCGTTCACGGAACTGCCGGGGGTGGCGGAAGAAGGGGCTGCAAGCGGAATGGAAAGAAATGGTTGCTTTCGACGCCGCTTTTTGACACACAGATAGAGTCGCGTGTCTGGGTAAGATAAGGAAAAGTAAGCTTGATCTGGGAGGATGAAGTTCCACACTCCAATTTCTGCAGTACCTGAAAGTTGCGTATTTCACCAATATCAACGCTCGCCTTTCAGAGGTGCAACCTCTTTCCCTCGCTTCAATTCTGAAACATGCAACAGAAAGTGATTGCCGCAGAGTACCAAACCTTTGAACTAGAACATGCGTCTCTTCGAAAGCCAGGTCTGGGGGAATATCAAGACTCTCCTGATCAATTGGGTGCGACTCCTGCAATCCCGCAGGACAGCGCGCGCGCGCGCGCGCACTCACGCGAACGGGGCGACACCGCGCAGCACATCCTGAGCCTGGTGTCGCCCGCTGTGCTGAGTACATATTTCTAAATTCTTCTTATCTAATTCTGGTGGCGTCTCGCACTTTCCGGGTCGCTATGAAGCGGCGATCCCATTAGAAAGCGCGCGCGCGCACACTCACGCGAGGGCGGCGACACCGCACAGCACATCCTGAGCCTGGTGTCGCCGAGGTAGCTGGTGGCCTGGCCCTTGGCGATGCACGGGTGCGCGTTGAAGAAGAGCGTCATCGCTGACGGCAGCACGCCGATGCCGGACGGCTTGCCGAACCGCGCGCCGGTTAGGGGAACCTGCAGGAGGGTTAAATATTATCACACTGATTGACGACGAGCTTTGAATTTGCGTCAGGATTTTCCAGAGACTCTGATATTGCAGCACGCCGATGCCGGACGGCTTGCCGACTCACGCGCCAGTTAAATGAACCTGCAGGAAGAAAAATCTTCTTTTGACAATTCCATACTCTCTGACCGACGCACTTTTCAGATTTGCGTCAAGCTTTGCAAAGTCTCGTACCATTGCTGGTCCGATTCTGTCGCCCGTGAAAGGCATATCTGATGCAGGGAGTACTAAACCAACCGTACCTTGTTGCCCGCTTTTGATTGAACGGACCAAGGTTGATCTTTACGAGGACGCTCTTCGTGTTGTGTATTGTGCTTTTGTTTTCACCGGCCCTCTGCCCGCGAGGATCTGCCGTCATTTTCTTTTCGACCTTCGAGCATTTCGTGCAGGACAGCCGTATTTGGTGCTTGAATGGGAACTTGAGAATCTTGACTGGTCGCTCCTTGTTGGGCAATGATTTCACAGCGCAGCTTGCCGAATCGAAAGGTCACAAAGCGCCGACGCTTTAAATGATGAATCGGGCACAAAGACAACACGACAATGTTGACATGAAGGGAATTGGATGTGCAAAGCAAGGTCGTGGCGGATTCAGCACCTTTAACACCCTAGACCGGGAACGTACCTGGATTTCGTACTTGTTGGTGTCACCCGCCGCTTCGAGCGACGTCGGTAAGTCGGACTGCCAAGGGGGGCTGGAAATGGCCAAATTGTTGCCTGGACATGGGAAGACAAGCTGTCTTGATGCGTGCAGTCTTGAGCGAGCTCTAAGTATTTCACTCACAAATAATACTTTCGAACGACAAGCTGTCTGGATGTTGTGCAGTCTTGAGGACCTCTAAAATTTTCCTACAACTTCCAGATTTCAAGGGTAGCACAGTCGAGAAACAGGGACACTGCAATCAGCCGGCGAGCGAGGTTCCAGTCTTCATCATCTGGCCGTATCATTCTGATAGGTCGGGCGGAGATGGGAACGGTATGACCGTGTTAGTAAAAAAGCCGTGTAATGTGAAAGCCACGACTTCTAAAGAATCAGAAACTTGGAAGGAGAGTTGCGAAAGAAGTACGTCCGAGTCAGAAAAGCGATCAACTTCGGCAAAGAGCTCAGTGACCGAGCAGAAACGGGGAAGACGGCGAGAGAGCAAATCAATCTTTACCATTGAGCCAAACACTTCTGAATGGATAGGTTCGAGCAAATGTAAAAACGGTGACTTTGTATTTCGAAAAACATGCAACTTCTAGTAAGCCAGAACGCTCAAGGAGAGCTGGAAGTAAACACGTCCGGTTCAGAAACCACCCAACTCTGACAGACAACTCAGATACTGACCTGAGACGGGGAAGACAGACGGGCTAGCCGCCGCGTTAGCCACGCTTGTAATATTCTCATTGTTGACGAAGTTGAAATACGCGGCCCATTTGTACACGTGTTGCGTGCCCACGTTCGACAGCACCAGCCGGGAATTGAACGAATACGTGGTCGTGCCCCCCCCCGGGAAACTTTTGTCGCCGTCGTATATATAATCCGCCAGCACGCCGTTGCAGCTGGTCGCCTGGATGGGGGCCGGGGTGGGCGCCCCGGTCGGCGGGTTGGCGATCTCGTTGCAGCACAGCCAGTAGGAGGAACCTGCCCGGGGAAAGAAGGACCGGGGTCAGACTTTCTCGCGCTTTAGGCGACCTTCGGTGAGGAGACGTGAAAAGCGTGCTCTCCTCAAGCTTGCAAAACGCTCGCTGAGTCGTGCCTAGTTGATCACGCTGATCCAAAACTCGGTCAATGCAGCTTGTTTGGAGACCGACGCACCACAGAGCCCCCCCTCGCTCGATCAGAAGTCAGACGCAAACTACGGACAACCAGTCACTCTTCTCTAAAGCGCTGCCAAAAGCACAAGCACGCTCGAATCACTCTCTCGAAGACCGCGTTCCGCTCTCTCACCGCTCTGCGTTCCGCTTCCGCAGGTGATGCCGTAAGCGGTAAGGGTGAGGCTGGAGGGGAACATGCTAGTTGTTGCCGCTGACCCAATCCTAGTTCCTGAGATAGTGATGTACTGGTAGTACTTGTTGGTGTCGCCGTTCACGGCCGTCGACGTCGGCAGGTAGGGCGCCCACGTGGGCGGGAGGAACGTCATGCTCGCACCTGGAAAAACGTAGTGGGTAATCAGAAGTGTGTCTGGGCTTATGAGAGTTCGGAGTTGGAATGCGGTTAGGAATTTGAGGGCGGGTGATGAAGCTTGATGAAGCTCCACAATCGCTTTCTGAACACTTCGTCCTGGCTCGTGGCAGCTCCTTCAGTATCAGACTGCAGGTGCGCTTCGCAAACGAACCCTTAGGAACCGGAACACTACTATGGGAAGTGCAATCATTGCATTAACCTGACAAGATGCTACGAATCCTTTCAATCTGCTCTGGAATCACCCACGCTTCACTCCAGGCGTTGTGCAGTGCTGAAGCAGCTCGCTTGGGCCGAAGAATAGAGGGAAACTTCCACCTTCAAGTAAGATGCCAGTAATGCTACGGTTTAGGCAGCCGGGCTCCTCTTATATGCTTACCCTTGTGGCACTGACCTCATGCGATGCAAACATCTTCAAGCAGAAACTATGCTCACCGTAGGCGGGGTACAGCGGGGTTGAGCTCGCGCCGTCGACGGCGGTCACGTACTCGTCAACGTTGAACCCGACTTTGAGCGCCCAGTTGGTCAAGTTGCGCGTGCCAATGTTTTTCATGGCGATCGTCGATGTGAATCGCCACCAGTTGGAGATGGCGGCTGACTCGATGGGTGACGTGTCGGGGTACGTCATGGTGTACTGCACCTGGATGGTGTAAGTGCCGGCCGTGCAGAACTGGGGGCTCGCACCTGGGCGGAACGTGGAGTTACCTTTTTGAGGCAATCTAAATCCGATGAAAGAGCGCTTAGCCGAGGGTCTTGGTTGCCGGATGCTGCAGAGAAGTGCTCGGCTTCATATACTGGGGGGCATTACAGAACGGCCTTCCGTACCGGGAGGTGTCAAACTTTGCTCTTAGTATCTGGAAGTTGCTGAGCAGACAGGGTCGTGAAAGTTCTTTACCGTAGCAGTGCAGATATAGCACCTGGATATATAACATAGTATAGTCGATCTTGCGCGCAAATCAGTAATAATCACTCTGCTTTGCGAAGCTCAGAAACATCACAAGGACTTGCCTTAGGATTTTGTCACGCATTGCTTTGATCTCGATGTGACAGTCCTTAAGAAAAAGAAGCCGGCAGATTCACAAGGTCGGCGTCGTGATCTGCTCTTTGCACCATGTGGAAAGCTGTGCGTAGAGGGTTCAGTCATGAATATACTCAATCACTTCTGATCATGAACATCTGACAAGTTCTTCAGACCATGTCCTCAGTCGAATGCGAGAATCAATCCTTGCTCCTAGCGAGGAGGTGGATCATGGATTGCATACCTGCAGCTATCCGGAGCAGGCACAGCAGACTCGCCCCGAGCAGCAGCAACCCGCATGGTAACCGGCTCCTGATGGCCATGGTATTGGCGCACGTTTGGGTCCAGAGCAAAAATGCTAAGCTCTTGACCTGGAAGAGACGAAGATCTCAGTAAGCTTTGGATGGAAGAATCAAGCCAGAGATGAAAGAAAGCGGCATCTCCTCAAGGAGATTGCCTGCGGTGAGAAGGACAGGAACTCATCTCATTGTCCTTTCTACCGATTATAAGACGGCTGAGGCAGCTTCTGACAGCTGTCGCCTACGGGCCACTTATTCAATCCTTGGCAAAAAGTTTCATTGGCCACAGAAAACCACTGAGCAGGAGGCTTGTCTTGCTAGCAGAAGGCTTTTGCAAGGGTTTACAATGCTACCTGTGTGCAGCGCTTACAATCAGCTCAAGACCTCTTGCCCTTCTGTGCTGGCCACGCACAGCATTGCAATCAGCAAGTCGGTACGCACTGCCGCTAAGAAATTATTTACAAACATGAAGAGTGCGTAGGTATTGAGCGGCACCCCGCTGGCAAACAACTTCTAGCTGCTTAAAAGGTACATCTTCTGCCAAAAGCAGCTTTCTTACGAAGAGCGGGCAATGCTGTGAAGCATGATTATGGGAGTGTTCAACTTTTCAAAATGTAACCTCTGTACATGACCAAGTGGATCCACTGGACCAATTTGCAACACTGAAAGCACACTAGCATTGGGCCGCCTTTGCGCATGCTGCTCGTTTGTTGCTGATAAGACATGTAGAGAGAGAGCACGTTACTGCTCAGGTGAACAGAAGGCCCGTGGTCTTGTCAACTATCAAACAGTGCTGCGGAAAGACTTTGCAATTGCACCCTGATCAATGTCGAGCAAGCAGCGCCCTTAATCTGCCTTCTCTTCTTGAATTTAGATTCAATTGGTCTTGAGCAAAGCAGAGAGGAAAAGTGGGCTATGCATCAAATGGGCACTTTGAGAAGCCGCTGCTCACCTGATACTCACAATGCCGAGACTCTAACAGCACCACATATTGTAAAGGTCAGGGCGCTGCAAGAAACCCCGCCTTTATGCTTCAGAGGCTTGCTTTTAGGACCGTTGCTGCTGTATATCCGTTCCTCCCGCCTAACTCTTCTGCAACTCGCTGCAGTCCGCGACTTCACATTTGCAGCGAGAGAGTCAAGGAATGCCAACCTTGCGGCGATCCGCCCGTCCTCTCCAAATTGTATTTCTGGCTGGGCATTGCTAGGCGTGTGACTTGCTTGACGTGCGTGATGATTGCCGCGCAGCCACCCTTCTCGAACTTTAGATTGGAAACCTGAAAGCATACTTTACCAGTATCGCACTGCAATGCATTTGTTGGCCAGGCTGGCCCGAGCCGCCAACAATCACATTTTGTCCGCGCACATTCACTTGACGAGCACCAGCCGTCCGATGAAGCATCTTCGAGTGACAAAATCCATCCGACGGCAGAAGCAGCGAGAAGAACAGGAAAGCGGTTGGAAGTCAAGGACATGTTTAACCCGTAGGCTGTAGTCGGTTTACAGAGTACCGTACGTATGCACATACGGTACGGTACATTGCCCAAGCTCAGTACATAGGTATCATCCGTAGGTGCAGCATGCAGCACCGTACTAGAGAGTGGAGACGCAATGCAGGCAGCTTCAACGTACACAGGCTAGAAAATCTAAGTGTCTGAACTGATGTGCGCTTGATAATATGAGTAGGCTGAGGATGCTCATGCACGCAGCTTGCCGCCGCCGAGTCAGCCTGTGGAGCTTCAGATTCTTTGCATATTCAGACCAAAGATGAATCATTCTCTCCGGCTGTTTGACATCTTTGCGCCTTAAGCAGGAGATCATTGCGCAGCATTCCAACAGCGCAGGATAGCCGCTCTGGAAGACGCCATTGCCTCCGGTTGCCGTTGTAACAGGTGCTTTCTTTCAATGAGGCGCAGATAAGTAATTGCAGGGGCGATCAGTCTGTGACAACCAGGGTTCAAGTGAGAGGCTGCAGCGGAAGGTGCTAATGAGAGCAAAGCAGTTGACCAGTCGTGTTGGGCCCTCCCTGCGCTGAGGCGCCTGCAGGGCGGATGGCTTCCAACAAGAGTTTGCATAGGCGGTCAAGCGGAGGCGCCGACGGGGTGCGTGAACTTTTTCTGGAATGACATGCTCCTCTATTGCTCGTGCATGGGCGTACGAGGGTGAATGCAACCCTTGCGCAGAAACTTTGGCTTCGCACCCTTGCTCAGTTGGTCTGGACAAGAAATTCCACATGCCTCAAAGCCAGATCTCTTTTGAGAGACGGAGTGATCATAGGAATCGAGGGGTTCATTTCGCAATGCTGCAGGCTAATGAAAATTTGAGTCAGAAGATATCTTGTTCTTATCATGGTCTGGCAAGGCCTTTGCTGGCAGCGTTGTCCAAAGGTGCTCCTTAAAAAAGCACTCTTGAGTAATTGGCACAATCCTGGAAAAGTGAGCATCTTTTACAGGTGTCAAATTTGCCAAAAACCCATGACTTTCAGACGGCTGCACTTGTTCTGCTGTTGACAGCGCAGATCTCATAGACAATGCCCCGGTTCATGCTTGCTGCCTGCAGAAGGCCAGCCACTGGGCAGCATTGTTTAAGAAATCCCCTCCTACTTTCAGCGCAACCAGAGTACTCTGTGTTCTTCTGAGATAGTGGCCAAGACCAGCAATACATCAGAGCAGCACGCACGCAGACCACACACGTCTGTCATTGCGCATGCACCTCAAAGTCCATCAAATCTCTAAAACCAAGGCAGCCTGAACGCTAACAAGCTTGATATGGATTCTGCAGATGGCGACAGCTGGCGCTGACAACCCCAGCCACTTTGATGCTGTCTCCCCATATGGAGCAGTCCCACCCCCTACTTCACACTTTGATGCTGGCTCGCCAATGGTGGCTCAGGTGAGGCCGCCATAGCCCTCTGCAAGTGCTCATGTAAGCGAAAAGCTGGCTGGCACCACAATAGGTTCACGCTTTATACAACTGTCTCCTTTGCAGTGTCACAGGGACCAAATTTCTGGATATATTGCTGGCGATGCATGAAAGGGAACGTAGAGTCCCACTGCCTGATATGCTTCATTGAGATAGGTAGGCTGACCCTGATTGGGCGGAAGCAACCTGGGTTTACTGACTCAGAGGGAGGGAGTCTTGCAAGAGAAAGGTCTATCCTCATGCAACAAGAAACCTTCTCGCAGATGTCGGTGCCATCCAACGTGTACCGGACTGCTAGCAACATGCGCCCCAGCGACAAGCCTCCCCGGGGCGCGGTGCTGTCTCCTGCCACCAGCAATGCCGCCGAACTCAGCTCACAAGATGGGGGGGAGTACAACGACCAGAGAACGGACCCCGCCTCGCCGTCCTCGGTGCCCTCAACGCACAGGTATGGAGCGCTGAGCTGGCACTGTACTCTTTGTGTCTTGCCTTGCTGATTGCGACTGAGAAGGTTAGTCCTAGCTGACAGCTGTCTGTCAACTTCTATCAGTTCTCTTCCGATCATGGAAATGCGAGGCGGACTACTGTAGAACCGGCATGTTTCAAGAAGTTTTGACCGAGACTCAGACTTACGGACAAGAAAGGATAAGAGCTCGGTGCACTCCTGACTGCAACACCAAGCTACCTGAAAGTCAGGGAGTGTATCAACCCCACCCAATTTCCACTCGCAACCTTGATAATCAGCAGATGAAAAGTCGCTGCAAACACACCCTCGAGCAGTCGTTCAAAGAGTTCAATGTTGACAGCTGCCTTGTAAGCATCCCCTCCGGCCCTTTTGCAGGACCCTGAGCCGCCTCTCCAAGGGGGACGCCGTCCAGCGCATGAGCAGTCTGCACAGCACCCCCCTGAGCCGTCTGGGCAGCCTCGCCCGGGACCCCGAGGGCCGCATGCAGCTCGGGCGCATGGCCAGCCTGGGGACCATTCCCGCAGGTGAGCCGAGCTTGGCAGTTTCCAGTTGCAGATCTGTTATGAAGCTTCTGTTTGGTACTCGAAGCCAAGGTCTGCAACCTCGTGGATTCGCAGAGTTAGCCTGTTGGTAAGTTTCATTCACCTTGTTTGGTCGGTACTTGCTCGACCACTCCAAGAACAGCCTTCGGTTTACAGCTTCCGGTTTGCAAGAGAGTGTTCAGCAGACTAAAGAACAGGGACCTGACAAATGGAGCTGCTTTGTTGATGACCAAGCTACTACTAAAGCTTGATTGAAGGTATTGGCCATGCTCGACGGCATTCCAATACTGTTTCCGAGCAGGAACGGACTGTTTGCGGAATTTCCAGAGCCAATGAAAGCTAACCACACTCTCAACAAGGCATGTTCAACTCCTAAACAAGACCTTTCAATCGTGTTTCCAGGCGCGCTCGATTTGGAGGGCCCCGCCGCGCTGACGTCGATGGGGTCTGGCACGAGCGAGAGCGACCTGGACTCCCCAGTGGAGGGCAAGGCGCTGAGCCGCATCAAGACGCGGACCGGGCTGGGGGGACAGCTGGCATACGGCGACAAGAGCAAGCATGCGGTGCAAGACTACACGGAAGCGCTCGCCGAAAACGTGAGGACCACTAATCTGGATAGCTTCTCCGTTGGCAAGACCTAGTATTAAAGCTGAACAAACGACGCGTTCTGAGCTGCTCTGAGCTTCGAATAAAGTTTCAAGACCACATGTGTAGCTCTCTACTAGGTTGAACGTTTTTTGGGCTCAGTTCGCAGATTGGATGATAATCTGCCTTGAATTGTCGGTATCCCCTTTCAAGCGGTCCTGTGAGCTTACAATTGTTGACCGAGACTTGTTGCCGGGAAAGTGGGCTGCTGGGAATCAAAATACTTGCCCTGTCATTCCTCCTTGCCATCCCCAAAAGTCGGCCGTCAGATCCTCCCTCTCCCTCGCCCGCATAGAGCGATGGACGACGCCTCGACCTTCTGTTTGAAGTTCCTCGAGCGGTCGCCCTGAGGCGTTCCAAGCCTTGACGCTAGCGAAACCATCGCTAAAGCTTCTCTTAACCCCTCTTTCTCCTGTAGGGCGACCAGTACGGCGACCCGAACAAGATCCCCGTGTGCAACATGTGTGGTGACACGGTCGCCGACGATCCCGACGGCTTCGTCCCCTGCGAGTGCTCCTTCCGCCTGTGCGCCACGTGTCTCGAGCACGTCAAGAGCTACGAGGGCAACAAGTGCCCCGGCTGCCGCAGCCAGCTGCGCGACAAGGACAACTGTGAGTGGATTAACCCCCGGGTTAGGCGTTGGGCTAGGCGGTGCGGTTCGACGAACCGCTTTGGGGGTACTGTCGCTCTTCTCTGCTTGCTTCTTCTACCAACCAGCTCTGCGAGGACAGCTGTAACTGGATTAGACTCTGAGGTTAGGTGCCATGTTAATTTAGGATCAAAACCAGAGAGGCGCCTACTTTGTTGATTTTTGTGTTTCCGGGCAAGCACCGTGGGCGGCTATGAACCGGGTTCGGGGAGAATTTTGCTGAGGCCGTTGACCCAACAAAGTGATCTCTCTGCACACTTGCGTTGGCGTTTGGTTTCTGAACAGGTCAACCTCCTAGTACCAATATATCGAGCAGGTTGGCCGATGCCGATGTTGGTTGGTTGTATATACAAGCAGCAAAAGAAAGGGTGCATAAGGATGCGTTGGAGAATCGGAAGCATCTCTACCAACGAAAGAAACAAATGCGAGTGAAAGTTCGAAGCTGCTTTCTGCATCTCGCAGGGCTGGCGATGCGGGCGTAGTACCACGAAGAAAGGAAACATATGACTGTGCGTTTAAGCACAACCGAAAGCATCTCAACCAAGGAAAGCGAACGTTACAAAAAAAGGAATGCTCAAAGCGGGTCTCTGCCTCTCGCAGAGCTGGCGATGCAGGCGTACTCCCACGAGGAAAGGAAAGAGCTGTTGATAGTGCGTTCAATGACATCTTGATCAAAGGAAAGAGACTGCTGCAAACAAACAAGAATCTGAAAACAAATCTTGGTCGCCGCGCGCAGGGCTGGCGATGCAGGAGTACTACCACGAGGAGGGCGACACGCCGCGCATGCTGAAGAAGAACGTCAGCGACGTGCGCATGCTCACCGCGCCGCCCAGCAAGCGCGTCAAGACCATCGACGAAGAAAGCGGGGCCATCACCGTGACCGTCAACGCAGGTGAGGCGCAACGTCAATTCTTTTGTAGTTTCTTGGTTGTATCAAACTGGTAGAAGCAAGCGTTAACCTTCTTGAAGCCTTTGCACAGCGCTTTGCGTTAGCCTTGCCACACCAGTTTCGAGCTCCAAGGCATGGTCCCAAATTCTAGAGCCGTCGGATGCCTCTCGATTGCCAATTGTAACGTCCAAGATCAGGAATCTTGTCCGAGACTTTGGAAAACGGATGGCAAGTTTGACGCCGATAGCTGTAGGTATATTGACTGAATCGCAGGGCAGCTTCGGATGCAGCCTTTTGTCGTAGTCACTGAATCGTTCGTCTTTGATCAAGCTGAGAATGCTCATCTGCAAACCCAAGCCTCGATTCTGGCAACTTCTCGTGGGAATCGCGCATTGAGACGTTACACGTGACCACCTGTCTCATCCCGCTGACGTAATCTTGCCTCGGCGCTGACGTCTCCGTCTGGCCGGTTGTGCAGAGATGGTCCCGGTGAACCTCGCCGACTACGGGTACGGCAGCGTTGCCTGGGAGACGCCTCCCGACAAGTCGCCCGAGAGGGCCGTGCCCAAGTAAGCGCGCGCGCACGCCCTTTCTTTCTCCTTTTTCATCTCCTCTCTCTGACTATTTCATCTTCTCTCTCCAACAATCTGCATCAACTTGAATCTATCTTGTTAGAAATCTGGTAGATTCGTTCAGGACCTGCTGTCACAAGGTGAACACCTTCTGTCAGAACGTTTCAGCGACACGGGTTGCACAAGCCCCGCAGATCGGCGTGTCCTTCCAAGCGAAAGTGCCACCTTCCTTCGTTCTTTATTCCAGATTTCAATCACTCCGCACATCCAACTCCTGGTTTCCGTTCCGCGTGCAGGGCTGACATCACCAAGAAGGGCCTCTTCCGTACGGTCCACGTGGACGGCAGCAAGCTGGGGCCGTACCGGTACGCACCGCAGCCCTGCCACGCACGTTCGCTTTCAGATTTTCTTGCTTTTCTACGGCGACGGCTCCTTGCTAGACGAATAACCGAACATGCTCAAACTTACCAAGGGCCGTGAGCAAAGTGTCACTTTGGTTCGAAGCCCACCTGAATGGCTGAAGACCGAATTTTAGAGAACCTTCACGTTTCTACAGCTGGTGTTCAAGCGACGGTCGGATGCGCATTCATTGCAACAAGATTCTCTGTGAAGATGAATTTTGCTCAGAGCTCACAAGATGCCTTGCCCAAAGCTTTTCACAGCTGGAAATCGTGTTCTCAAACCATTCAAAGGTCTCATTGATTTACGAAAACTCCGAATCTTGCAGGATCTTCACATTTTTGCGGCTGGTGTTCACGGCGATGTTCCTGTACTGGCGGTGCACGCACCCCACGACGCAGGGCTACTGGCTCTGGGTCTGCTCCATTTTCGCAGAAGTCTGGTGAGCCACGTCATTTTGACGTCATATACTTTTCCTTTGCGTCACTTTCAGTCCGCATCACGCGACTCCAAGTTCGCTCGGATTTTGAGCCCCTGTCGTGGATTCAAACTGCTGTCAGCATCCCATTCTTGGGCTAGCTTAGTTGAATATCTCTATTCGTTGGATGATTCGAGGATTTGACGCATCAGCCAATGGCGATCGACGGATTTCACGCATCAGCTATCACTTTTTACCCTAGTATTGGAATTTTCAAGAGTCCCACATCCACCTCCTTTCAAAGCCGAGAATAGCCTTTCCCTTCCAAGCAGCCCTATCTCACGATGCGCCTTCTTGTTTGTGTGACGTGATGCTCATCTCATCCGCCCTCCGCCTCCTCAGGTTCTTCTTCTCTTGGATCTTGGATACGCTTCCCAAGCTGTCCCCAGTGGACCGGGAGACCTACAAGGACCGCCTCCGGGCCATGTAAGCCAATGGACGACCATTTTATCTTCCTAAGCTCTCAAAATGTCTGCTTCGCGGGGAAGACAAACAGCGGAGAGGTAGGCCAAAAAGGCGAGGAAAAGGAGCAACGCGTGAAGCAGATCACTTCTTGAATGGGGATTCAAAGTACTCGAATAAAACACGCTTGAAAGCGGACTAGGAACGTTGTCCTTGATTTGCCTGGTCAGAGTCATTCTCAGTCGCCTCATGGATTTTGCCGGACCTAAGCAGTCTCCGGATATGGACTTGCACCAACTTATTTTTAAAAAATTGTCCTCTTCCTGTACCCTTTCATGGTCGCAAACTAATTCTTGCTTTCAATGTACAATAGTAGTCCTCTCGGTTGATCTCTTGGCCTTCCGCTTTTCCGCTGACCCTTTTCCGTTCGTTCCGCCCAGCTACGACGAGGGCGGCGAGAAGCTGCCGCAGGTGGACGTGTTCATCACGACCGCTGACGTCACCAAGGAGCCGCCGCTGACGACAGCGCAGACGATCCTGTCGGTGCTGTCGGTGGACTACCCGACGACCAAGCTGGCGTGCTACCTCTCGGATGACGGCTCTGCCAAGCTCATGTTTGACGTCATGGCCGAAACCGCCGGATACGCCAGGTGGGCGCCACGTGGAGTGCTCTGATTTGCAGACCTTTGTTTTAAGCTGCCGTCTAAAGCTTGAAGTTGGGTTCGTCCAGTTGCTCAGCTGCTGCTGGCCAGACAGGTGACATCTAGGACTGGATGCTTGCCCTGATTGACGCAATCCGCGAAAGCTGACCACAGCTCTACCTAAAGCAAGATATTTTGTAACGCTTTTGCTTGCTTTCATCACAGTTTTTGAAGACCAACTGTGTAAAGGAGCGTTCCCGCAGACTCTTTCGATCACTCTTTCTCCAAATTCCTGTCAAAGGCCTCAGGTTTCGAAGGCACAGTTTCTGTGTTTTTCAGCTTCTGACACGTGTCCTGCCCGCAGGCTGTGGGTGCCGTTCTGCAAGAAGTACAACATCGAGCCGCGCAACCCGGAGCAGTACTTTGGCCAGAACATCGACTTCACCGCCAAGCAGATCCAGGCAGACTTTGTCAAGAGCAGGAGAAAGGTCAAGGTGAGGGGTCGGCTGCATCTGACGAATCCAATGCGGGAAAAGAGTCAAGAGTTGCTATTCTCGAGATTGATCAAGAATAGGCCAAAGCTGGGGTATTCAATCTCCACGTTCTCAACAACCGAAACGACACACAGCCCAGAAATGTACAATATTGGTTGATCAAGATCTGTGTACGTATCAGCATGATGTGAGGAAATGTACTCCAAGATTGATTTCATTGACAGGAAACTCTACGAAACGGGAGACATCCACCAGCCCAGTTTCAGGAGCTTTGGAACATTACGAACGCAGAAAGCGCAGCTTGCTCACGCGAAAGCAACCGGCCAGCCGCAAAACCGTTGATTTTCCTTGCATTGTTGCGTCATTAGAATTGGTTTCTTTTCCTTCCAGCGCGAGTACGAGGAGTTCAAGGTGCGCGTGAACGCGCTCGTAGCGGCGTCGCGGCACCCCCCCCCGGACGGCTGGAAGATGCGCGACGGCACGCCCTGGCCCGGGAACAACCGCAGGAACCACGACGGGATTATCCAGGTAGGGGCGTTCGCGCCTATTCCCTTGATTGATGGATGTTACCTTTGCTGTTGAGGACTCTTGGGAAGCAGCTAAAAGCGACTTCGGGCGGAATGTTGCTGCAAAAGAACGACTGTGGCTGACATGAATCTTACACTTCAAGAAGTCTTTTTGGAAGTTGCTTGTATCCTAGAATTAAGAAGAGGCTCAACCCGAGGCTCCCCCCGGAAGCGCGATTAGTTGGTCTGAACTGCATGTTGTTAGAGGAGATTTTCAAACGCGCAATAAGCTTTCTGATCGCGCACTAAACCCCCCGCGCGCGCGCAGGTGTTTCTGCACCCCGACGGCGACGTGCGCGACGTGGAGGGCAATTTCCTGCCGCCCCTAGTTTACGTGTCCCGGGAGAAGCGGCCGGGGATCGACCACAACAAGAAGGCGGGCGCCATGAACGCGCTCCTGCGCGCGAGCGGGCTGATCACCAACGGGCAGTTCATCTTCAACCTCGACTGCGACCACTACGTCAACAACTGCGAGGCCGTCCGTGACGTGAGCGCCTGACGTCACGGGCTCCCTTGTGACTTGTGGCGTCACGTGTTGGAGCTGCGCGAGTGACTCTGACTGTTCATGTCTAGTACATTTCAGCGCGAACTGGGGTCAAAACAGCGTGGAAAGCCTGTCAAAAATGTTAAAATTTGAGTGCCTTTACGGCTTCTTCCTCTGTCCATGTTCCTTGTCGACTGCTCGCCCTCTTTCAACACCATCGAACCGGGATAGTGAGAATCTTAATTTCATTTGCGAGTCTTGACGCTTCCGCCAAGCGATTCTTGTCGGATATCCAACGGCCCCATTAAACAGAGCCGAGTGAAGGACTGGAAAATCAATCAGTCACTCTTCACTCTCCAAGCAGCAGTTAAGGGACCAGAAAGATTCACGCCGTAGTGCAAGTACTTTAAGCAGAGACTGTTAAGCCCACCAAACCAGCACGAGTTCAAGGATGATGAATCTCTCTAGTGGTATTCAGCAGGACTTTTCAAGCGGCACTGTTTTAAGTTGCCCTGACGACCTTTTTTCATCTCGCAGGCGCTGTGCTTCTTCCTGGACCCCATCAAGGGCGGCAACGTCGGCTTCGTGCAGTTCCCGCAGCGATTCGACGGCATCGACAGGAGCGACCGCTGGGCCAACAGGAACGAGGTCTTCTTCGACGTAAGCGCTCGCTCATCTTCACTATCCTGCTGACGTCAGGGTTCTCGCTAGAGTCTCTTCAAGAGTATCTTCAGGAGTCTCTTCAGGGGTTTTGCGTCTGCTGGTGTTCCAGACGCCGAAAGCAAGATGCCTCGTTGAGACACGACGATATAAAGGAGCCATGCTTCGATCTTGATTTGATGATGCAAAACCCGGCACTCCCCTTTCCCTCTCGACCGGCTTTTTCACCATAGTTGTTGGATAGTTTTCTTACCTAGCCACAGGCGTATACCCCATGAATTGACGGTATCTTGATGCACTTTCCAGTTTCAGAAGACTCCGCTTTCCTTTGGAGATCCATTTTTTCGCTTTCCTTCAAAGACATCCAAAGACAAACGCCACAACTTTCTGACGTGAGCTGTTCTCGTTGCAGGTAAACATGAAGGGGTTGGATGGCCAGCAAGGGCCCGTGTACGTTGGCACCGGGTGCTTCTTCCGGAGAAAAGTGAGCGCGCTTCTTCTCTCCGAGACACAGACAATCTTGCTGCACATACACAGAACGTCTCCCACTTCGGTTTCAGTATTTCTTGCAAACGAGAAGTCAATGTTGCGATTTACCATTGTGGGCGTTGTACGGCTAAACCCCACCACCGCGAAAGTCCAAGAGTAAGGCAACCGATACAGTGTCCAAAGTACAAACGGTGATTCCACCATTTTAGATTCGAGACCTGATGCTGACGTCACCGCCTTATTTCCTCCCCGCAGGCGTTGTACGGGTACTACCCCGCGAACGCGCGCAGCCGGAGCGACGAGGAGAGCGAGGGCGGGTGCTGCTTCGGGCTGTGCTGCTGCTGCGGGGGATCCCGCAAGAAGAAGCACGCGAGCAAGCCGGGGGCCGTCACCGCCGTCGCGGCCGCGGACGTTCTCACCGACGAAGGTGCGCGCGCGGGGTTTTTAGGGGTTTTTAGGGCTTTTCGAGATACCGTGCGCTCTGTTTTCAATGGGCTGATGATCGGTTCTTTGTTGCTTTCTTTTCCACGTGACTAGCATAGACTCTACTTGGGTTTTGCCATAATTGGTGAGGCAGAGCTGGGGGTGTGGAATGCTTTCAGGCTGAGACAAACGCTAGAGAATCAAATCAAGGTGCAACAATTGTCGAAGGCATGAATACGGGATCTCATGTGCGAGCATCGGGATCCTGGTGTGACCGGCTGCGTTTATGTAAACTCTCGATTATCTTTATTTGATGGTCTACATCGTCTGACGTGCACTCCCTCCGACTTCGTGCAGAGGCCGCCAACCTGGTGAAGGTCCCGCGCACGAACAAGTACCGCCTGGGGATGTGCGCGCACTTCATCGACACCGCCCAGGAGGATGACTCCATCCCCGTGCAGCCGGTGAGCCAATCTGTCCATTCTACTAGAAAGAAGACCTTAGAGATGCAAGCTTCTTAATCTGGCGAATAGTCAGGTCCGAGTATTCCAATCGAACTTCGGATCAAGTCCAAAACATGAGCACGAAAATGCTTTCTTGAAACACATCTTTCTCAGAAGTATGATAGGTCAGCTGCAATGAAACGTACTCTCCTTTTCATATATTTGGTCCTGCGATCATGCGATCCAGACGTGTTGACTGACACTTTTAAGCTTACATTTCCATTTGTCAACGCTGCGCTTTTAGCAATAGACTGACCGTCGAACGTACTTCCCGCCGTTGCAGCTGAGCCCGCGTTCGATGCTGAGCGACGTGGTGCTGGCCATCTCGTGCGACTACGAGGAGCAGACGGACTGGGGCGACAAGATCGGGTGGATGTACGGCTCCATCACGGAGGATATTCTCACCGGCCTGCGCATTCACACCCGCGGCTGGATCTCCATCTACTGCAACCCCGAGCGGGCCGCCTTCAAGGTGCGCCGGATAAGACCCATGTTTCATCATCCTTCATTATCTGGAATGAGACTGGGAGAGCGTCTTTTTCGGCGGCAACAAGTTAACATATCTCTTTGGATACTCAAGTGTTTTTTGACTTCTTTTCAAGCCTCGTTGTCGACGAAGAAGTCCTTTAGAATCCTTGGTTCAGCAACAAATATTCAGAGGAGCAATGCCTTTTGAACATCTGCAGAGCTCTCTGTGATCGCACATACCAGTATCTCGGCATCAATAAGATATAGCTTCGCCCCCCTTCGCTCTCCACAACGGAGACGGCTGATTGATCCAGCCATCTGAAGTACCTTCTTTGACGCGCCAGCACCCGCGCGCCATCTCAATTACTCTTTTCAAGCCAGTAAAAGCGTCCAAGGCGTTTACTGCACGCGGGCTTCGATCGTTATCCTATTCTCCTGTACAAAATATCTCCCTTTTCTGCGTCCTGTCTAACGAAAAGGCAGCGCTTCAATCATGTCAAGAAACCGCACCCAAATTCTTCGATGACCTCATCTCTGACTCCGCTGCCGTTCCGTTTCCGTGCAGGGCAGCGCTCCGCTGAACATGACGGACCGGCTGGTCCAGGTGCTGCGGTGGGGCACGGGCGCGGTGGAGATTTTCTTCAGCAAGCGCAACCCGGCGTGGACCATGTGGAACACCGAGCTCATGCTGCGCCAGCGCATCGCGTGAGCCCCGCCGCCGCCTCTACTTTACAACCTCGTATTTCTAGAAGAAAAAGGGAAAAAGAAAGTTGTCTTTTGGATAATTCGCGCGTATTTTTGGTAAAAGGAGACTGCCGGTCGCTCTCTTTGTGCGTGGAGCTCATGCTGCGCCAGCGCATCGCGTGAGCCCCGCCGCCCGCTCTAGTTACATCTCCCATTGTCTCTTTAATCAATTGGCCCTTTTATTTGGGAAGAGGTGAGTCGCTCTTTGGTGAGTCGAGCTCATGTCGCTCCAGCGTATCGCATGAGCGCGCCGCCCGCTCTGGTTGCTCAATGCTTGGCTTTTTGGAAAAGAGCCTTTGCTTCGCTTGGTCAAATGGAATACTTACCACTCGTTCCGCTCTTCCCCGCAGTTACGCCACCAACTCGTTCTACCCGTTCACCAGCATTGCGCTGTTTGTGTACTGCCTCCTCGCGCCGCTCTCGCTGCTCACCAACCTCTTCTTCGTGCCCACGGTGAGCGCACCCGTCCCTCACCCGAATCTTAGCTCATCTATTTGTCTGGGTGTCTGCTTGGTTACCGCTTCCGCTACGCTTTCGTGTGCGACGCTTTTGAGATACCAAAGTCAATAGGCGGTCTCTTACTTACCTTGTTGCCAATTGATATTGGCAGCCAGATTTGGTACGACGACTCTTCTACGAGCCGCCTCGCTTCAAGCTCTAGGATCCGTTTTGGAAATCTGCGTTTAGTGAAGTCCGGTGATCGGGCCACACACAGTGCTATTCCTGAATTGCGGAGAGAAGGTCGCTTGGGAATGCATGGAGGTGGATGAAGCAAAGTTGCCCAAGTACAGGTGACTTGATCAGCATTTCCGACTGTGCAATCGCTGAGATTTGCCCGCCGAGTAAGCTGGTTGATCCACTTCCAAACCTCTCGGTTTGCGCGGACTTCAAGGGTACGTCGACTATCTGACTGCTCTAAGACTCCCACGCTTCTTTTCTTTGCAGCTGGACCGTTACGCGACGGTCTGCTTCGTGGGACTGATCGGCAGTTTCTTGGCGTGCTCCATCTGCGAGCTCCGCTGGAGCAAGGTCTCCTTTGAGGCCTGGTGGCGGAACGAGCAGTTCTGGGTTATCGCCGGAACCAGCGCGCATCTTGCCGCCGTGCTCCAGGTGCGTTAACCAAACCCAGACTTCTCAAACCCTGATCTTTACAAAGCCTGGTCGCCGGAAAACTTGCATCGAGTCTTCAGCAGAAGCGGCGTCAACCTCTCTGCTTTGCGAGAAACGATTGTATCGAAGGGTGTCTGCTTTTTCTGGGACCTCAGCATCCGGACATCATCGAACGGTGCCTTCCAGTAACGTCTTGGGACTTGCGCCAGCATTGCATGCGTCAAGAAAAGCCGGTGGCATGCATGAATGAATGAATCAATCATGAATGACAAAGCCGTCTCTCCACAAAGCAAAGCGAAGACGTGTGGGGAGGGCAAAATTCCAAAATTTTGGTATGGAAGATCAACTCTATAAACAAGCTAGCCCACGTGCTGTATCATATCATCATCTTGCGCGCCCTTCTGTCTGTGCCGGTGCTTTCAATATTAACGAGGGCCTGGAGCTGCGCTCAGCACCATTCCTTACGTCATCTGCCGTCACTCTTCTCTCGCTCTGCAGGGCATTGTGAAGCTGACGGCCGGCCTGGAGCTGAGCTAGTCTTTGATCTTTTAGATCTGTGTTGAAGTTCAGGTCTTCTCGTTATTGGAAGAAAGTGCCCATCAGAAGATGATCTTACGTCACACCCTAATCTGCCCCTCATCTGACGTCATTTTCCTCTCGTTCCGCAGGGCATCCTGAAGGTAACCGCTGGCCTGGAGCTGAGCTTCACGCTGACGGCCAAGGGCAGCGAGGACGGCGAAGAGGTCGACGAGCTGCACACGTTCAAGTTCAGCAACCTGCTGGTCATCCCGTCCTTCATCGGGCTGTTCAACATGCTGGGCGTCGTGGCGGGCTTTGCGCGCGTGTTCATGAGCGGCGGCGGCAGCGGCAGCAAGGAGTGGGGCAAGCTCTTTGGGAAGCTGTGCTTCTCCTTCTGGGTGCTCATCCACATGTACCCCTTCGCCAAGGTGAGCGGCCCCAAACATGCACGGTCTGGACTCTTCGTTTTGAAGGTTTGATTTTAGACGGGTCGCAGATTTCTGATATCGAGATTTTGGTCTCCGCTTGTCGGTTTTGACGAGGAGCCTACTGGGGTTGGAGGAGGCCTCTCGTGACTCAGGCTAGCAAGCCTTTGCGAAACATCTTCCAAGAGTGTTGTGCAAAAGGTTTGCGTCGACCCCCTGTTTGACGTGAAGTCAGAAGTAGCTGGTAGGAACTGTCTGCTTGAGACTCGATTGGCGCCTGCTGAAATGGAGTGGGCTTCATTAGCACAGAAGTCCACAACGGCGATGGCTCCGTGCCTACCCGATGCTTTCGGCCGGAACTACGGCGGCTTTCCGGAGGGCTAACCTAAAAGTTAGCTGGCGGGTTTCGTCTTGACTTCGGTCTGCATCGGGGTGGACAATCACTTGTATGTCCTCCTGAAAGTTTTGCAGACATAGCAGTTGTTTCAAGAGGTTGACCTGGAGTCGCGGAACGGAATAGTTGTAATTTTATAACCCAGTATCGGGAGCTGGGGTGCATCAGGAACCCTGCTTTCGAGACTCGAAGGGCTGACGCGTGTGGCCATGTTTCGCAGGGCATGATGGGCAAGCGCGACCGGCTGCCGACCATCGTGATCGTGTGGACGGTGCTCATCGTGGTGACGGTCTCGCTCGTGTGGAGCGCGTTCTTCGGAGGGTATTAGGAGGCGCACTCGGGCCGCGCGTTCCTTTTTGTGGCTGGTAGCGAGAGCAAAAGGTGCTGGCTCATTTGTTCGTAGCGTAGTTCTAAAATTAGTTGCGAGACTGACCTGATCATTTGTTGGGCACACGCAGAATGCTGTTGATAGCTCTACATTTGAGTGTAGATTGAAGGAAGGATGCTGAGCGAAGTTGCTTCTTGAACGGGGCTCAGAGTGTGCATAGCGCATTCAGCCCCCTGAAGCTAAGGTGTTGTGGACCTCCAAATCGCCCGCGCGCACTTTTTTTGTGCCAATGTTTGAATGCAGACCTAGTACGTTGGCAGGTTGAATTCAATATACGATGCTGAGTTTATGCTGGAGAACTTCGCAACCCCTTCGCAACTCGTAACCGACTATGACAATTATGAAAATATGAAGGCCCGATGATACCGAAATCGAATGTGCAGTCACTTGCATCTTTCCACCTTCAAGACCATTGAAAGGGAATTGAAAGAAAGATGGTTGCAACTCGTTGGTCATTGAAAAGTCAGGCTCACAGCTGTTTAACAACAGATGGAGAAAGTCATTAGTAGTCATCATTGCCCGTAATACATCATACGTCACCCTCTGCAATTCAAGATCGATGGATCTTTCAAAGCAGATGATGATCGAGCTAGATATCCAAGCACCATTCTCTGGAGGCTTCATCAGACTTTCCTTGTCCGTTCCATTTAAGAACAGGTCAAGAAAGGCCCTTGTCATCACGGGCATCACACATCCATGCGAAATCTCAAAATATGCAGAGCATATGGAGGCGCGCAACCAGTGCCAAGCGAAGCTTCTTGACAAGGAAGAGGACACCAATGTGTGCAATGCATCTGGCACTTCGGTCTATGCTTGGCTCGGAATTAGTCGAGTCGGAGCTTGTTCTGCGCCCGATCGGTGGCCGCGGGCACCCATCTAGTATGATCTACAGCCTGCTAACCTGCAGTAGGAACCTACGGTATATAGGTTCCTAGCTAGGGCGTCCCGACTGCCCCCACGTGGCTCTTCGACTGAACACTCGTCGGGTACGTGTGTTCTTTGTCATCATCTTGAAAGCTAGTTGAAGCAACGTGTCGCTTCTCGCGGGCTTCTCGCTGCATGACGCGCTGCTGAACTTCCCGAGTTGTGACCCAAAAATATTGGTTTGTGGGCGACGGACGGAGGGGAGCCTCGGCTAGGTGGTCGCTTAGACGAGCGGTCCTCCCATGCACACTCGTGAGTATCACAGGCCCGGCGGCTCGGGTCAAGTTTTGCGCCGACGGATTCGCAATAGCCTGACTTCGTTACAAGTTGTTTTATCAACGGTTCTGCTGAATCATGTGATTCATCCTGCGGTCTTCGTGCTGCCAGCTTGTTGTCGTCGAGTTGCAAAATGTGAGTTCCGCTTCGGTGCGCCAGTTGGCAAGCAGCCGCGCAAGCCAACTGTCGGTCTGTTTGTACTGACAACTGCGCAGTCTGCCAGACTGGCAACTTGGCAAGCACGCCTTGACCGCCAGGCTGGCGCCTTTCCAGCCCCTTGACGACAGCGGCCAATGAAACTGCGCCACTTCGGGCGACTGGGGATCTGCTCAATCTCCGCCTCAGGGAGAGGGAGTCCTCTGCTGGTGACACGGCCAGCGTCTACATGCAGAAAGATGTGCACACACTCCCATCCTAGACTGCAATGCAGGACTGGACGCAGGTTCCAACGAAGTCGTCCCTCCAAGCAGCGGCAGAAGTTCTAGCTCAGCGCTGAGGAGTTCATAAACCACGAAGGGCCAGCTTCAGTAGTCATTTCGCAAACGCGTCTCCTTGTTCCTAAGTTGTAAGCAGCTCGCGTATACCCTCAAGAACGGACTGTCCCTAGCGATACAGTGGTAATTTTTGCAATGGCAGGTGGCAAGTTTGCGCGCGCTGGCGTGCTGGCGCCTTTGGCGTTGCTGACTTTCCTGATTGCGGCGGCGCTGGTTGTGATTGCGTCGATCATCCTCGACAAGATCATTGACAACGAGCCCAATGAGCAGGGATGTAAGTGTTGATCACTCAATAGTCAGCTGGTTTGATTGATGTTGCAGATGCAATGTCTCAAGTTCCTTGTCATATGAGCTGAAATGTCCGAGACTTGAGAGCCTGCAAGTTGTGCGATCTCATCATCGTTGCTCCTAGTTCACATACTTTGCGGTGTGCTATGTCATGGAAAATACAGTTTTCTTTTGCTGTTCTGCTTTTGGATACTAATTCCAGCGGAAAAGAGCCTACTCGAGTTGATTATGCGAGTTTGCATGCGCACACGGATTTCCATGGCTTGAGATAATGGGAGGCATTTAAGCACCTGCAACCTATTTGTCTACCTGGGGCATACCTGAGGTATGCATTTTTTGAAAGCTGGGGCTTATGTTGTACTAGAATCGTCCTTTGTTCATCATCTGTGTCCTTTCGTGTAGTTGATGGTTGCAGATAAGTAGCACCGACTCTATGTAGCCGCTTCAACGCAGGCTTCCAGTCTACTATCCATGCCTTAGCTCGTAACTGTTTGTTTCTATCGTTGCCTTGATCAATAGTCAAGGCAACCAGCAAAGGGTTATGAAGAGTGAGCAAAAAGGTACATTTCGGCATTTTTCATTTGTTTCTCAACCTCATTACTCTCACGTTTGCCTTTTGCAGCTGGCTATAACCGTGTGAGCCCTGCTCTCCAGTGGCTCATGATCCTAGCGTGCGCAGCCGCTTTCACTGCTGCATGGACAACCTTCTGGCACACCAAGACCTACCGCGCCAGCACTCGTTACACCAGTGGCTCTCACTCATGGCTGGCATTCTTCCTTACCTGCATTCCCGCCGGGTACGTGATCTAATCTGGCCTTTTGAGTTGATTTGGGAGTTTACTTTGTCGTTTGTGCACTCGTCTGCTTTCCTAGCAACGAATATGCAGTTCACATGAGACTGACTAACTTACGTACATGATTTTTCTTACACCAATATACCAAAGAGGTATATACATACTTAACCGTTTCTTTCACAAGCACGTTTCCTTGAAAAGTACGTTTCGTTTCCACTTATACTTGGGCTAATTCTGTGTGAATAAGTTGATGGCAGAAGAGTTGCATATATCTTGGTCTCACAACATCAGCAAGAAGCAGAAGACATAGGGGTTGGACCTGTTGACATAGGGGTTGGACCTGTTGAATACCGTTTGACGAAAATCTGTTCCATTGCAGGTTGGCATTCAAGGCAATCACCATCGGAGGGTTGGACGCCTTGAATGTAAGACTCCTTTCCCAGACTGTTGCTTCCCAAAACTGTTGCCTCTTCGATGTTACAAGAATGTACCGCAAAGCATCATAGTCAAATCTTACCGACACAAACTGCTCGTTCAAAACAGGCTGTACAAATCTTCGAACATGAATCTGTGCATTCTTTTTAACAGCAAATCGGATATGCCACAAAAAACGGAATTGTGAACTTGAATTGTGCACAAAATCCGGCGATAACTCTTGAAAAAATTTCCAAACCTCCCAATCTGATCGGAGGAAAGCGTGACACTGTCTAGGGGATAATTGTTCATTGCAAACTTTCCCTGAAAAACCGCTTTCTACGTGCAGTGGGTGGCCATCATCCTGACCTGGAGCATGTGGCTGTGCCTGCTCCTCCTCGCTTTGTTCCTGCACGGACCTTTGAACGATCCTGAGCCCCAGCACTACCATCACCACCGTTCTCATGACCACACCCTGCCCGCCGGAACCGTTGAAGAGAAGGGTCTGCCCTACAACACCTCGCCCGCTGGAGCTGTCGGTTACAACAGGAGCGCAAACAGCGTAGTGTAAATGAGAGAGTTGAAATCTGCTCGCATTTGGTAGGGGAGAGACGCACGCGTAGGCTGTGAACAAGTGTTGTATTGTACGTTGTAAAGTATTTTGGACTGGTGCGTAGTGAAACAGTGACTGTGGTGCCGCAACTGGCATCGGAACATTGAAAGGATCTGAACATTCAGCAGAGTTTGAACGTGACTTCGAGCCGGTGAACAGTGTACTTTTCCCATTTAGTAAGACGAACGTCAACACATCCAACATCCAAATGCATTTTCACAACTCATCTGACCCCTTATATGAGCTTCTACAACGTACCTGTTTATTTCCAATTTCGATATTTGTTTGATGCTTTCTGTAAAAACTGGATACTTAGAAGGTGATCAACAATGCAAAGGTTGATGAATGGCATATTAACAGATGAAATTATTCGGATTTATTACAACTTGAATTATCCTAACACGAAAACAGACTTATTGCTAATTTATTCGATAAATGAATTGGATCGAGAAGAGTGTAAGCAGCAGCAAAACTGAATTATCAAAATTTGTCACGAATAAAACTTGGAGGGATACGTTCAAAACAGGAAGAAATGTTAACAACGTAACTCAATTACCTGTTATACCATTCGATCGACTATGTGATAATGTAATCGATCAAAACATCTCGTCGATAACCCGAATATATATGAAATACTTTCAATTTAACCTACGGCAGGTTCGCCACGCACATAAAAATGCCTAACAATTATGCCCTTGAAAGCGCAGAAATGTGTCGAGGCATAAAACTATTACAGAGTAATTGAACTGACGTGTCAACATACAGCTGTAACCCTCATAAACACTTCTATGTTGCAAATACCCTCCAGTTGAAAGGTGCACGTCTCGTGACAATCGTCTCTCCGTTCAAGATGGACTGCTGGAAACTTGTCCAGAACTCACTGCCTTACTACTGATTGCTGCCGATTATATAACGAGCTATCCCCTCATTGAATTGCGGCTTCGTCTCACCGTCACCCTGCCTTTTCCAACCCATGCGCCATACACCTTAGTGAAGACACGGTTAGAATAAGCCATGCAGAAATCGTAAATTAAACTTGCGCGGCTCTTTTGCGAGCCGCCTTGAACAAGCCTGAGAACAAGCAAGAAATCGTCGGAAACTTTCTCAGAGCTCTTTCGCAAGCCGCCATCAGCTCCGCTTGATTGTCTTGGAGAGGGCCAAAAGGGGCTACATGCAGGCTGGATGTTACTTTCGTCCCGAGCTAGTCGATCCACCTGGAGTTCCACCTCGGTTTGCTTTTGAATGATAGTAGACTCCCTGCATGATATGCCGGAACGCGTCAACCTAGGGAGCCTGCCTGACTACGAAAAGCTGGAAAGGTGACAATTCCTATCACACATCTAAGCGGGGCCGCAGTCTGACGTGAATCTTTAGTGCTTAAGAGCCTCGTGCCTCCCTCGTGCTGGCAGGTTGCCAGGCCCCGTCGTGAACCATGCGAGATTTACGAACAGTCCCATTGGAACAGTATGCATGCTTCGATTGGAACGTAGGCGGGCCGCGTTGTAATTTTGAGGCCTTAGTATCGTGCGGGTCATGCATGTAAATCATTAAGTGCAATAAGGTGCGAACATTGTTCTTTATGACGCAAGCGAAGACGCCGTCAACCAGGCGCTTTGCATGCGGGCCGCAGCTTAATCGGCAACATGAGGCCCGATCAAAAAAATGCTCGTGTCGGGCGGCCGGCTTCGAGTCCTCGATCTGCATGCATGCAATTGGAAGCGCCGGGGGCCGAACTTGGAGGGCTTGCAGAATATTGCAAAATATTAACTTACATACCTGCTTACCGACAAGAGGCACGCGCGCTGCACCGTACTAGCTCCATGCATGCTTGGTAAATGTGCATGGCAGCTAGCGGCCACCCATGCCATGCAATTTGCATATCCAGTTTCAGGGTCTGCTGCATTCGATAGAGTTGCGAGTTCATGTCGGTTTCTGTGAGTATATAAATAAGTTAGATTGGAATGGGGTACCTTGCTTTCCACCATGGACATGCATGGTGGCTTCTATAGCACAGGTTGAAACAAGTTATACCTTACATGACCATAACGACTGAGCTACCATCAAAAGTCTACTCTTTATTCTATGTATGTAATATTTGCAGGCCGCGGACACAACATGCTTGTTCTTTATTTCAACCTACAGCAACACGCTGAGCCGGTGCGCCTCAAAAGCACCTTACTCGGCTTTCGAAATCGAAGGTCTCCGTAGGCTTGACCAATTCCCCTCTGTCGCGCTTATCGTCTCAACAATGTTCTTAAATTCGGCATAGCTGATCTTCCCATCTGCATCCAAATCTCCCTCCTCGAAGATATCATCGACCGACCCCTTTATCCCCAGCTCCTTCCGGATCTCTTCCGGTTCCAGGTATCCGTTTTGGTCCTTATCCAGATACTCGAACGCTTTCCGCACACGCCGCTCGAACGCTTTAGCGTCCGCCTCCTCTAGTTGGTGAACATGCATCGCCGCCGACACAAACTCTCGGAAGTCAATCACGCCGTTCTTATCCGTGTCCAACTGCAGAGTACGGCACAGCAGCGACGTCAGCAAAGCGATGCTGTAGTGCCAGCCTGACGTCACGCGCATGGAAGCGCAGTCCGACTAGAACATGTTTCAAGCAGCTTCGGGTTCCATAACACTCGGTCGTCCCAGAGAAAAGGCGCGGATGTGAAGAGAGACAGAGGCCTCCAAGAACTTCAGTCAGGGATTGGGAAAGTGGTCTTGAGATGTTTGGCGAGGCTACAGGGCAACACCCAAATACAATCTCGACCGGAAGGGCCACAAACGCAAGCTGAGCGGCGACCAAGCAAAGTGCACTTCGTCAACACAAGTCTCTGAGTATTCTGAGGTTGCCGCCTGTAAGACGAGACTATTGGTCTTTGCTGTCTTCGCTGAGACAGCGAAAGGCTGAGCGGAATGCGCTTGATAAGGACGTCGGTGTGACCGCATCTTTCAGAGCCGCAACGAAATACGAGTAAGCACGTCGACTAGTGCCGCACAACCCGCACATAGTGGCCGAAGTTTTGAATCGAGATGAGCGAAGAAACACTTTGGCGCTCACCCCCGTAAGCCGATCGAGCAGTGTGGAGTCTTTCCGCTGAAGGATCTTGTAGGGCTTGTTTTTCACTAGCACCTGAAAAAGGAGACTTACAGTGAGCAAACGCAAACGAAAATTCTCGTATCGGAACAAAAGCACAGTATCTTCTCCTCGGAAGCCCTCTCTCAAGTAGAGATGCGCAAGCTGCATTGGAGCCTTTAGCACGGGCAAGCCTTGCGTTTGCAAAAGCGGACTCTGAAGCCGGATCATGAAGGGTCAATCGGCGTTATCAGGTTTCAAAAAACAACCTTCATAAGAGAAGATACGCTCGTACCAACATTCAGCAGCAGCCAACGACCCTGAGATAGATGATGCTACGCTACACGTTTCATCAGCGAAGTGGCTTTGGAGTCTGCACGAGCATCTCAGCACGTTGCAGAAGCCCAACGACTTGATAACACGAACAGACGCAGACAAGTAGCAGCGAATCCGTGACTCAAGAGCACGAGCAGTAGCAATGCAGGGATCCACCTAAGTACAGTTGCGAAACAAACACGCGTGGATGCAAGCCAGTGGCTTAGACACCCGAGCAGAAGTAACATAGGGCAGCACTCACTGGCTACAACGTGACCAGAAACAGACACGCTGCGATGAGCCAATGTGCTGGATAAACGAGCACAAGTGAACACGTGGCAGCAAGCCAGTGCTTCCAAAAACGAGGAGAACAAACACGTGGCGGCAGCCAATCGACTCACCTTTTTCAGCTCCTCTATCGTGATGGTCCCCCGCTGCTCTAGATCGATCGCTTCGAATTGGTCCTTCAAGTCCACCAACTCATCGTCTTCCAAAGTTGTCGCCAGCGCCTGCAAAAAGTCCGGGTTAGGAGTTACTTCAGGTAACGAAAAGATAGGTCAGGTCGCACATGGCTTCTTCTGCCATCATTCTTGAACCACTTTTCGGTTGAATCGGCTTACGTCTGCAATACAAGCTAAAGGGCGCTAAAGACAAAGCGGTCCTTTTGCATTTGTCCGCCAGCGGCTGCGACAAGAGGTCAGCGTGTTCATCGGGACAAAAACGTTGACCACTATCCAGGCAACATCAATTTAGTGTTGACTACGAGCTTTCCAACTGACGGCACGGGACCGAAGGAACTCATAGAATCAAGCTCTGAGTGTCAGCCAAGTTGATGACAAAACGACGGCGATCGTGGGCAACAAACAACCGTTCCGCCATCTAATCCAAAACTGGAAGGTTTTCCTCGCGAACTTTGGAGGAAGAAAGGATTTGGAAAGGGGCGACGCCTGACCCGCATGGCGAGCTGCTTGAGCCGGCTGTAGCGCACAAAGGAGCGCAGATTGCTCAGCACGGAGATGTCCAGCGGAATGTCGCTCGCCTTGCCGTTCACGCGCACCCACGGATGTGCTGCAGGGGAAAAATGAAGTCGTGTTAAGAACGACGATAACGCAGCTTTTCGGGATCCGGAACAGAGCGTTATAAAGTTCACTGCAAACGACAACCCCGAGTGAGGGCATGCTTTGAAACTCCAACTGACACTATTGAGTTGTCAACAGTCGCGCTGCGCCAGATGATTGTATAATGGGAGGCAGGATCTGAAAACCGGTCGAGGTCCGGACATGAGAAGAATGCATCGTCTTCAGTGGTGCTAAGAAAACCTCTGCCGAGTTCTCAGGTTACAGGCAACTTGCCCTGGTTTTAAGCTGTCAGCTTGTTACTGATTCATCTAGGATTTAGGTCGGTGCCTTGGAGGCATCAAAAGTCCAAGTCTGTGGGATAATTGCTGCAATGTCAGGAGGTAATTCAAACGCTGGACGAGAGACTGTGGACTTCTATGATTCAGGACCAAAAGCTGTGCAACTTCAAAGCGACAGTGCTTCTGTGCAGCTCAGCCTTAGCGCTACGGAGGAGAGATCAAAGCCGTAACGACGTGTTCTTTTATCAGACTCGACCTGCTAAAAGCGAACTCGACGAAGCAGGCGGTAAGATCGGCGAGGTCTGGTTGCCCCTTGAAGCAGCAAGTGGCGAATGTCGCCAGAAGCGGAGCAATCCCTATTGTCGAGAACAACTCAGTACTCAAACTGCCGGACCCAAACGTCCAAATGATCACATGCTTCACTTAAATGAAACGTCACTGCAGGCGAGCAGGAGCGTCCTCCACCGAGGTGTAAACAAAGACTCCAGAAGGAATTGTCAAGCTGATGTAGCATGCCTCGAATGGGACAACTCTGGATGCAGGACTGGAACCCTTGTTACCTAGTCCTGTTACCAGCGACCGGGGCGCATTTCATACCGTCCCGCCAACGTCGTCCAGCCGTATACAAAGGTGATATAACCAGCGCGGCTCTCTCTGAAAAGGCGAAAGACTCAAATGTAAGTAAAGCAGAGACCGGGTTCACTCACAGAGCGCCTGCGCGGCGGTGAGGCGCGCCTTGGGGTCCTTTTTGAGCAGCTTCTTGACGAACTGGATGGCCAGCGGGGACACCTGCGGCCACGGGTGGTCGCGGAAGTCGGGCTTTCCCTTGAGCACCTGAATAAAGGAACGAGATGCAAAAGCAGGGTTAAAAGAGGGATTAGTCACTCACGAGTCGGACGCTCTCTTGGGTTGCTTAAACGCGATCAACAGCAAATGGAGGAAGCAAACGGCAGTGTCAGCAGGACTTCGGGCTTGCCATTCCGAACCTGAAGAAACGGGCGAGGCGCATAATCCGCGTGAAATACAGGATCGCTGAATCAGGAACCCAACGCTCTTTCGATTGTTAGTGAACGCGGTCAACAAGACTTGGAGGAAGCAAAGGTCGGTCAGCAGCAACTCGGGCTTGCCCTTGAGCGCCTGAAGGAAGGGGCGAGATGCAGGATCAGCAACAAACACAAGGTTATCAACTTTTGAACGCATCGCTTTCTCGGCTGATAGCGGACCAAATCAAAGGAAGCAAACACCGGAGATTTGGGCCTGCCCGTCATACCCGGAGCGACGGAACAACACCAGGTTTTAAACGGGCAGAATCGCGTGTTGCGAGGAGCGGTTTTGCGCACTTCGCATGCGTCCAAGCGACGCGACTTAGACACAAACCGTCAACGCATTGGGACGTCAAAGCAGCCATTATCAGGGGTGCTAAAATTCGGAGTTCTGAAGGATGAACTCCAGCTTTCGAATATTATGTAGCATGTTAAATAGCGCCGTAATAAGACTCCAGGTTCCGGATGTTGCGTAGAGCCATGATTCCTCCAAGACTTTCGCTGACCAGCGCCGCACAGGTAGGACCTGACTGTTGTAAACACCATCCTTGACTGTGCGCTTGCCGTCATCTTCAGCATCTCCAGAGTGTTTCGATCTCCGGAGGATGAAACCGACCGGCCATTCTAACCCGTCTCCTTAACGGGTCTTCCCGGTTACTCATGCCCTTGCTGGAAATGCATAATTGAGAGCTTTTCAAACTTCAGCTGCAGCGAGCAAAGGCCCGAAAAAGGCGCACCTCCTTGAAGATGCCGTCTTCCGTCCTGTCCCAGAAGGGTCGCCGCCCGCACAGCAGAATGTACGTAATGACCCCGACGCTCCACACGTCCGCCTCCGGCCCCGACTTGCGCTTGAGCACCTCGGGGGCAACGTAGTAGGCGCTTCCCACCACGTTGCTGAACTTTTTGCCTGGCACAAAGAGGAGAAGAGAGAGTCAGCGTCTGGCAAATGATTTCTTTCGGAACCCGTGAGAGGAAAATGCGGATTCCTAGAAGCCTCTTGGCGGACCCCCTTCGCTGCCCAGCCTCTGAATCGAATGTGGAACTCGATATCCTCACCCAATCTGAACCGTCGATTGGGGGGATAATAACCAGGGAGAACGTCGCTGAAAGCCCACGTTCTCCATCAAACCATTCCGTCAGCGCTACACGACACCTGCTAGAGGCAGCTTTCTAGCTCCTTCACACAGAAGCTTTTCCAAGTAGTGGGCAGCACCTAGTAATGGACAGGCCCCCAGCTTGGTAGTCCAAACGATTGGTGGGGCGGCGTACTTCAGAACTGGCACGTTGCTGAAGGTTGTGCTCAGAGAAAGACAACAGTAGAAGCAAGTTTCTCAGGGTCTTCGAGTTTTACAAGTTTTAGAAACGGAAGAGAGAAGATAAGGGCTCGCTCATCGTGGGAAGACTTTGGGGAAGAGGACAGGTCAGTTTCTCGACTCCGCCAGCGTGTCCTCTGACTTCCTTCGAGTGGCCCCAGGAGCGAGAGCTCACAAAACGAAACGGATATCGTTCGGCGCAGATGATGGAGAGCCTCCAAACAGCGAGTCGGAGTCGCGGTAAGCTACTTAAGAAACTTCGCTGAGTTCGGAACTAGAGAAGGCCCAAAAAAGGTCAGAGGAATCCGCAGATGCCAACGGCGGACTCACCCGGCTTGTAAAATTCGGACAGCCCAAAATCGACGGCCTTGAGAGGCGCGTCTTCCGCCTTCGATTTGAAAAGAAAGTTCTGCAGAGCGAAGCACGACGGGTGAGTAGCAAAAGAAGCGTGCTTTAAGGAGATTCTAAGGACTCGGACCCCAGCAAAACGCAACGCATAAATGAAGCGGGAAGAAGCGGGAAGAGGGTCCGGGGCGTGGAACGGATACAAAGGCGGAGTGTTCAATCTTTGTGCGAGCGAATGTAAACACGCATTATTAGCGGGTGCAGGGGTTATCTGCAGCTTGTTGCGGCTTGCAATTGCGGCTTGCTTCTGGAAGCGGGCACTCCCGTTTTTGCCACGAGGTCTCCTTCAACCTTTGCAGAGACAGAATCTATAACCCAACTTTTACAGGTCTGGTCACTGGTGTTTGAGATAGGATCTCTCACCTCAGGCTTCAAGTCCCTGTAAACAAAAGACGTCAGCGGGCGTCAGCAAGAGGAAGAGACACCACCTTCTTGTAATAATGCAGAAACTCTCGTTTCCGAGCATACTCCTGATCCTCTCTTGCTAGGCGCACGTCAACCCCAGCACAGAAGATCCGTCAAAACACTGTGTCTTTCTTGACTTCCATAAGTCGTCAGCAAAAGCGCTTCACTATCTGCCCCACAATTCTCCAGACGTGAATTTGGGCGCACTTGCGTCTATTGTACGCTCACTTATCTCAGAAACAGTTTCTGAAACACTGAAGTCCAGTTATGATCCACGCGGGGCAGCCGTAAGTGACGAGAGCAGAATTGGCAGGACAATGCGACTGTTGCGGAGAGGTGAGATGCTAAAATGTCGGAAGTCTCACCTATGCACAACGCCAAAGAGGTGACACCGTGCCACCACGTTCAGCATCTGGCGCACCACCATGGCGGCATCCTTCTCACTGTAGTGCCGGCCGCGCCTGGACACACCAAAATGACACCAGAATTATCTGGACGTCCTGAAGGTTGATCATGGCGGTGACTACACAAGTGCTTCGTCTGTTACAAGCGAAGTGTTTCAATAGACGGTTTAGTGGTTTCTGGTTAACCCGTCCGACAGAACCTGGTCAATGATGGAGGGGGCTGCCTTCATCGGCTCTTCTTGATGAAGGAAAAGTGCTAGAGACTCAAGGAAAAAGACGAAGTCCAACCCACGGAAAGCTTTCAACAAATCCTACTAGACTGCCAGAACGGATTGACGGCCAATGAAATGATTTGTTATTCGCAATCGCAACAAAGCTATTCACTCGGCAACAAAGCTATTCACTCGGCCGTGTACCTCGCATATGGAAAAACAAGCATCGCTGCCTCTGGCTTTTGGCAGCGCGCATTTCTTCAGTACAAGAATTCTGCCTGCGCACCCAAAAGACTGCATTCCGCCACCGTCAAAGATTTCAAGTTCGCGTGACCCGAACCTCAACGCAGAACAGCAGTTGAGCATGCTTGACTGCGGAGAGCCTGCGATTCGATGACACCGCAGCGGCCACGGCCCCACGAAACATATCACTTACTTTGCCAGTATTCTGTCGAGCAACTCGCCCCCCTCGCACAACCTGCGCCAATGAGGGAAAACAAGGTCACACCTTGGGTAGCACGGAGCAAGTTGGATGCACAAGAATCTTCTCTGATGAAGGTTTGAGGACTGTAGATCACAGTACCAGGAATCACTTGTCAAAGAGTATCGCTCGGCGCTCCTTCCAACAGCAAGGTGGCAAGCAGAAGTCTGAAGATTCTCCTTCTTGGACTTTCACAGGCCTTGCAGATGGCAGCAATTGGTGTGTGAGATCTGCCAAGATGGGGTCAGTTTCTTCTCCGGACACTTCCGGACATCTATCCTGGCCTACAAAAGGGTCTGCGCAAAGCGCCCTCCAGCCAAGAGCGGCTGCAAAGAGCGCGCGGAGCTCACTCCATGACAATGAAAACCCGCTCCGCGTCCTCAAATGCGTCGATGTACTGTACCACATTCTCGTGGCCCTTGAGAAGGCTTAGAATCTGGACCTCGCGCTTCGTGTCCTCTACGTCCACAGGCGTGGTGAGCTGCGGGGCAAAGGGGCCATTTTAACGTTTAGGGTTTCCACGAGGGTTTGTATTCTGGGTTGCGGATAAGCGGGGTGCGAAGATGGGAAGAGAAGCCCCCTTGATGGTCTGGCATCTCTGGCAGGTTGGCATGGTAAAACGCTGAGACGAGTTTCGGAAGGACTGCACACAACAGCTGTTTCATAAACACTGATACGCTTCTATGACATAGGGCAAGAGCATCTGAAATGTTGAAGCGTCGGCGCCTAGAAACCGAAAGCTCACTCGATCAAGAAGGGTGTGTCCCGGTCGGAGAAATTACATTAAGCTGGCGCACATACCCGGCAATGACTCCTCATGTCAACAACAAGTGCATCTCAGAAATTCAATTTTGGTAAGTTTTGCCACACTCAAGTGTGCTAAGTTCAGAACGTTCTTGTGAGTACCAAAAACGGGCACACCGCTCACCGTCTTCTTGAGGATCATCTTCACGGCCACCTGTTCCTGCGTCTCCAAATTCCTGGCGGCGTATGTGACTCCAAATTGCCCCCGCCCCAGTTCCTTCCCCCGCACATAATGCGCTTCAAAGTTGCGCTTGTACCCAAACTCAACATTTATGGGGAGCGCCTGGGGGGCCTTCTTCAGGTTGGCGACATGGGCGGTCACGCCTGACACCGCATCTTCGTGGCTCAGGCACTGGCCCATTGCGACAGCCGCCCAGTGTCAAGCGGCCTGGTGGCCGCCTGTTTTCGGTTCTTGACGGTTCGGGCTTTCTTGCTGAAAATCCTTTGCCTCAGGAATCAGCCACAATGCTGACACCTAAAAACTTTTCGACGCGTAGTTGTTGATTCCCACGCTAAAACTTCTCTAAGTCTCCTGTCAGAGATCAACCCTCCAAATTGAAGAATTCACTAGCTTCGTTTAGACACGATTCCCCGCCCAAAGCGTTAAACAGAGCTAATTCACCAACTTCCGGAGCTAGTTTACCAACTCTGGGCTCCAATGTCTTCCCCAAACTTTGCCTCTACTGTCGCATTCTCCTTCTGGGGGAATACAGGTCGTCAAGCGAACATAAAATGTGACCGGTCCTGCAGCAAGCGAGGCTGGTCAGGCTTGATTGACAACTGACCTCGCTATGTATGGCTCCATGAGTCAAAATCTGGTACACTTTGGAAGCTCAGCTTTCCGAAGCTGAAACATTCCCAAGCTGAAACAAAGTACTGCATTGCTAACCTAATGTTTCAATCTAAATTCGTACATTCAAGTGCATTAAACAAACATAGGTTTCAGATCGGTCCCAAGCAGTAGCCTCTTTCCATGGAGCTGCACTCTTACGGAGCACAAGGAGGCAGAGCTAAGAACTTTGCACAGAGGTATCTGGCTAGACGGCAGGCATCTTTACACTGAAAGTCACGTGTCCTGAGCGAATTTTACCCCAAAGAATTTTTCTAGCTGCTGTTGCGTGGTGATCATCAAGGGAGAGGTTGCAAAAATGCAGCTGTGAGAAGTCTCAGAAGATACTAACAATCTCCTAAGATTGGGGAAGACCAGCTCAAGAAAAGTTGAGGCCCAGATGTAAATCAGTGTCAACTTATGTCCATTGCTAGACAGGCAAGTAAGCGAAGGGAGCCAAGCACTCACCACAAATGCTGCACCTTCAACAGTACGGTTCCTCGACAGGTCAACGCTGCCGCAGCGGCCAAAGCAGAAGTCAACCTCTCGTGACTGAAAATGTGCCCTCTCAGATAACACAAAAAGCACCTGACCCTTCAATACAATAAGAAAAGTTTCCCCAACAGGCGTGCCACACTATATCAGGAAATCTGAGCGCTTAACCTCTGCAGAGCATTGAACTCTCCTCCCAACATGCTAGTGTAGAAGTTGGCTCCACACAGCAACTAATAAAACATTGTTTGAACAATGAAAATAGGTACCCCCTTATTAAGGCTACAGCACTGATCAGCTAGGAAGGACGGCCGTAAACTCCATGATGGCACCATTGGCATGGCCCTCGAATGTTCAGCTGTGGAGGAAGCAGCTGCGAAGCCCTGCATGTGGAGAGGGGTGCGTACTACACGCGTCTGGGCTGTGCTTCACTTCACAGTCACTGCTGCTGACGTCATCCACACGGACCGGAAGATGAGTGCCTTGAAAGTAGGGAGCCCCCCCGGCAAATAATTTTTGCTAACAGACTCGCATGCAACTTGTGCTTCTCCTTACACCTGAAGGCTGACACCCACGAGAAGTCCACGTGGCTCTTCGATCAAATGTGGGCCTGTACGTACTGCAAGTTCAACTTGCCTACCGCGGACCCTAGAGGCTAGTCCTACTGCTTAAATCTGCTAATAGACGTAATAGCAATGTCGCTGATTCGCCAGCTAAGTACTACTACCTTTGACGAGCTTGGAGTCACCTCTCAGGATCTCTGCGTCGATCACGTCTTAGCTTGGAAAAGCGAAAATCTTGTCAGAGCGCAGCCTGCTTGAATGCTGATGAAGCTTGCCGATCGCGTGCAACGTGCTGCAAATCAGAAGAGTGGTTGCTGGGGGCCCTCAGTGCAGGGCCATCCTTAGAGAGCCTGAAAGATTGAAGAGCGGCACCTACGGAGGTAGCAAGGAGATAGCCGCATGAGCCTCATGCTTGGTTGAATTCGATTGAGGGACTTCAGACAGCCGAAATGCAGACCCAATGCAGCAGATTTCAGCGCATATCAGATTCAATTGACTTTTAAAGGTATATAGGTATATGGATTTGAGTCATATGATGTTTCAGCCGACGCGGGCAGCTAGGGTCATGGCATAGTAACCTCTCATGGCGTTTCTGATGCATAATTCTCAGTCTCTTAAGTACCCCTTTCAGATCCTAGAATTGGTGCGTATCGTGCTCTCGTGCTCGGCATTGAATATGGTTTGACATGTTGGGCACAGTGCATGCATGACCAATATCTCGGAGGCTCAGACGAGGCTGATGCATTTTACAATTACGTCCATATCCGATAATCCAACGTTCTCGTGCCGACGGCGCGGTTTACCGCCTGCGCAAGGTTCACGAATCGAAGCTTCTCAACGATTCATAGGCTTCAATCCGATGTACATCATTTCGTGAAGCTTGCAGGCGGCCCTTAGATCTGTTGTTTGTGTCCTGTGCACCTTTGCACCATGGTCTACTGAGTGACTCAGCGCAGATCGAAGCAAAAGTTTGGCACAGTCCGGATTTTTCTGGGCGAGTCACAGTCGCGTCGCGCCAGCGGCCAATGGCTGCTCAGTGACTGGTCCTTGAGTCGTCCGAAAACTTCGTTGCTTCACAGGCCATATATAGTGGGCTTTGGCACTGCATTTTGAACGGATGAACGGTCGGCAACTGAATGTCGGTCATGTCGACGTTGGAGCCGTTCGAGGAGTAAATTGCTGATCGGCAACAGGATCTGACAACAATGGTTGAGGACGAGAGGAGGGCCGATCATCCGTTCAAAGTTGTCAACAATCGCGTTCATGGTTCATAGTCGACTCAGAGGGCAAGGGATTCATATATACAATTTATCGTTACCTTTGAAATGAGTGGCCCCTTGCGAAGACCCCTCTACGAGAGTCTCTGCAAAAGATAAAGGTTGATGGACGACTAAGCTTGGCATCCTTTGAAGTCTTGCATCTCTTGAAGCGTACCTGCGCAACTGGATCCAAGAAAGACAAAATTAGTGCCTCAAATTCCGGTTCCTGCCAGATTTCGACTCCCCCACGATTGTAGCGACTCCTCAAAATTGACCAGGCATTAAGAAATAAGCATCGACGAGCAACTTGTAAACGGTTTGAACAGACGACTGCTTGCCGACCTGAAAACACTTGCTAGACAATTATAGAATTCCAGGAAAATCTCCATTTCATACTCGAACATCGTCTCCTGAACATCTCCCCACACTTGCAAAGATAGCCTCAGCGCAAGATTCGAGGTCTCCGTTCAGTCTCGTGGCTAACATTCAAAAGCTTGCCGATTACACAATCCAGTCAATAAGGTCAGATGCAGGATCGCCAACGCTGCTGATCGCACCACGTACCATGTTACGGAAAGAAGTGACCCTCAGAATTCAAACATGGTTCAACGACAATCAAAAACCTGAGTCCGTTGGAGCATTCAGTGGAACTTAACCTCAGCCGCAGACCACCGTGCCTCCAACCTAAAAGACTCTCACCTCAGATCTCACTGTTAATCGTATTCCGGCCCGTAACTCATGCTTTCCCACCATGAACACTCGACCTTGCTGGTCGGCTGTCCTCTGTCCCCTTCCCTTCTCCAGTCAGCCCCTGCATAAACTTCGCCTTCCCCCCAGGGGTGTTGCCCTCTTGGGTGACGTCATTCAAGCCCCCAACCTCGCCACCAGAAAGATTGCGGAAACCCCCCCCCTGCTTTCCGTCGTCGCCCTCCGTCAACTCCTGCACTTCCCCCGTCTCCCCCCCTCGGATACCACTGAAAATGCCCCCCTCATTTCCCTTGTCTGCGCCATCGTTCTCTTTACCTACCAGGTCTTTGACGCCCCCCGTCTGGCCGCCGGTGATTCCGCTGAACAGGCCCCCCTCATTCTGCTTTTTCTTCTCAGTAAGATCGTTGAACCCCCCAGTGCGCCCACCCGTTAGACCGTCAAAAATACCACCCTTAGAACCGGACTCCTCGCTTTGACGTTGCTGGTCCATTTTTCTGAGAAGCGATGAACAGAGATTGTCAGACTATAGGGGCCAAAACAACAAGAAAAAAAGACGTACAGTAGTTGGGTTGGGCGGATCACATATCAAAATCAATGGGAGATAAAGAGAGCTGTTGCACCAATCAAGTTTGGTAGCTCGATGGCGGCAATCCATTGTACTACAATCTGCTGCCGACCAAATGTGCAGAGAAACTTGTAACTAGGCAGGTCCTTAGAAGATGTCAGAGCTGCTTAGCTGGTGTGGAACCTGGCATTAATGGCAGGCCCCCTGTACTAAACCCTTTCGACAGCACACTCAAAAGAGGCATAGATTTAAAGCTTCAACACAGCTCTTGAATATGGATAAGAATCGAACCAAACCACCAAGTGGTCAGCTGCATGCACACAGAAAACGGTGATGTGGCATGCTGGCACGCTTGCACAGCTGCAGGAGAACAGGTAATCTGTGCCTTCGAGTGGATTATGCTTATTCACCAATGGTCGCTCCACAAACTTAGCTGAAGGTATCATCACAAGTGCCATGACATAACGTCTGTAATGAACAAATAATCGGCTGGCCACGTTAGCGGCACTGCATGCAATCAAAACCTCCTCGCTTCACCCTTCAAGCAGCTTGCTGCTGAAAGGTAGAATCTATGCAGCTCACCTTCCAAGCCTTCCCTTCCGAGTTGCTGAGGGAGCCGGCTAGCAACAAAGCTCAGCTGCTCAGATAGCGGTAGCCTGTTATGGCCGCTGGCGTCTGAAACTTCAACGCGGATTGAAGCCGGGTGCTTTGCCCAGCGCTTTCCAAACCTTGTCAATCAGATTGGTTGACTTGTGCCATCTGCAGTGACATGTGGCCGGGTGACATGTGCAGCTTTCTCCGCAGGATTTGTCCACAGCAGACCAGCAGCCAGTACGATACGGTATCCCTGAAGTTGATGTTGGGGCAGATGCGCTCTCGCACTCATGCACAATCGACTCTTTCAAGTCCGAGCCGGGACTCAATGCGCCTCGGCCGGCCGGCCTGGCCAGATGGCATCTGCATGCACATGAACGGCACGCCGCACGGTCACGCATGTGGCTGGCCGCGGGCCGGGCCCGCCAAACCCCCCTCGTTGCACGATAAAAACCTCAAACCGGTCGATCCGGCTGTGGCCTACCGGTCGGGTCTTGGCCACGTAGGTCGGAGCGATCTAGCTGTGCACGTGAACTGCACGCCCGGGCCGCACGCGGAAGCAGGCGCCCATTGTTGCCGGCCGGGCAACATGAGATTGAAGCCTCCGGAGTCCGCAGCCCGGGGGCCGATACTTGGTAACTCCGGGGTGACTTAAGATTCACGAGTCCCGGCCAAACAAACTAAAAACCCTAACCCACATTATCACCCGCTCCGCACCCGAACCCACCCTAACCACCATGCTAACCCCACCCGTCCCCCGGGTGCCTATCTTAAGTCACCCCGCTGTTAAGTCACTCTGTAGTTACCAGAGTCGGGGGCCGCTGAGGCACGCCGACGTAAATCCCGTTCTGACACGGGCCATGTGGCCCTCGTACCAGTTGGCAGTCGTGGAGATCCGTGGCAGCCCATGATTTAATTACCGGAACGGGCAATTGATCGGAGCGTGCACATGCAATGCAGTGAGGCTGTGGGCTGACGTCACCGTCAACTCCTGTGCGCCGGGTCGGCGCCGACCAGCTAGCGGCGGGTGCTGCCGCCGAAGCAACTGCATGTGCACATGGGCTTCCTGTTTTGGCAGTTGTTAACAGTATTTCCAGAGGTCAGTACCGTACCGCCAAGGGAAATCACACTAAAATAATTATTTTGAGGCCTGTGTGAAAAAGCTGAAACTCAATGGGTCCCCGACTGTGAAAAGGTGAAAGCTTAAAATCGACGAAAAACGGTGATTTTGGCGACTTTCACTGGGGAAAAGGGTGAAAAAAGCTCTTGTGTGAAATGAAGAAAAATATGTTCAGGGTGTCGGGTGAAACCTCAGGATGACCAAAATTAAGTTTTTACACCAACAGTAGTGTGATTTCCCTTGGCGGTACGGTACATAGACAGGTCTACCGTCTGTAATATGACACAGAATGCGGCACAGCATGATGGATTGCATAAAGTGGGGTTTCCTATTGGTTAAGAGGTCACCTTCTCTCCCGGGGCTCGTGCAAGGAAGTAGGTAGTCCAGAGAAACTCAGAAAGTCCAGAGAAACTCCTTGAGGAAGAGGGTGTCGATCAGTCTAGCTCCATGTCCGGCACCTTTCGAACACACTTGCAAAACGGTTTCTGTGGAGTTGGGCCAAAGCTCAGCAATTGAGAGCCCCTTAGCAATGAGAGATTTCTAGTTGGACAGCTACACTTCACCTGTATCTAGGCGGAATTCATCACCCATTGCTCCTGTGCAAGCAGCACACCATATTGCCACATGTTCACGCAACTTGTCACGTATGCAGTCCTGCCACAACAACAGCCGCGCCTCGTAAGCAAAAGACAATTACGTATAGAGACATAGCTCCTTTTGTGGGGGATGGTGGCACAGGGCCACGCTTCTCAAAGGAACTGAGCAGACATGATTGCTGCTGGCCCCCACACCGAGCTGGGTTTGTCAAGCCAAAATGGTGGGTGCTTGGACAGCGGGGAATCTCCCCTGCTTTTGAAGCCGCAGGAGAGCCTCACTCCGACATCGCAGCTGGGAGGGGTGTCTCTACTGGGGGGGGAGCTGAACAGGTTGAGCATCCAGTCATTGGGGGAACATGAGCGAGGGGACGGCGCAGTGAGTGCGAAGGAATCCTGAATTGCTCACTATTTGCAGTACATGGATGATGCTATTGCCTTTAGGATATGCCAGAATGTGTGAGCAAGGAGACAAGAAACAGCCCATGGTTCATTCAGCACCGATGCATCGTTGGAAACAAAGCCGACTGGCGAAGAGGGATCAGAGCATCATGATGTCAAAGAGCATGGTTCAGCAGTCCTACTTGGGCTCTCAATGATGGATTTTACACTTCTGAGTGTGGCTCTACTTTGCACTTTGCTTTGCGGGCACAATATGGAGCAAGTTCGTTCAAGTGGAGCTCAACTTTGGCCTTTCAACTTTTATCCATGAGTCAATGCTAGCAGCCCCTGTGGGCAAGGGGCTGGGTTAAGCTGGGGTGCAATACTGTCCTTAACCGTGTTTCAAGCAAAGCAGTGTATTCTTCAACCCCAAGGCAATGTAAGGCTAAGCAGCTTAAGGTTAAACAAACCCACTGATTCTCACCATCCTTGCCCCCAAAAGCCCCTGGTTTCAAGACTTTCAAATTCTAGTGTTAAGCGATGAATTGAGGGGGAAATTACGTTACTTATGCAAGACCAAAGGTTCAGTCCAAGCTTGCCGCAGCTTTATGATTTTGAGCAAGCCCTCTGTTCTCTTTCCGTCTGCTCATTACCAATCTTTGTGTGCAGGAGGTCTGCAAAGAGCAAGAAGCACAGCGACTGGCTGAGCCCAACGGTAGCGCTGCTGCTGCTGCGTGCGGCAAAGCCGGCAGGAAGGAGGCGGGGACCGCAAGGCTCGAGTGGGCTCTATCTCCTCGGCAGCACAACGGCAAGCTGGAAAACAGCAAGGCAAGCCTTTTGATCTGGATGATTCAGCTTGGTCAGAAAATTGGTTAAGCTCGGACATGAGTTACACAGTAAGTAGAGCTTGTTTTAAATCTATGGTTAGCTTGGCTTCACTTTAGAAATGTGAAGTGACTTTGAGTCAGACGACTACCGCATTGTTCTTTCGACAGCTGGCGTCCAGTTCGCTGCTCCCTAAAGTCCATATACAAGTTTTTCGCCTTTTACCTCATGCATGCAATGATGGGTAAGGGGTTTGAACCCAGGTGTTGTGATGCGACACTTCGAAAGGTAGGACCTTCTGAGACACCGGCAGGCTGTCAAGCGAAAAGAGATTGTTGGGCTCAGATCTATGTGCATCTAAGTGGAGCTTCTTACTGGATTTCTGCTGCACTCTTTTAGAGACAGGGCATTGCAGGGGACCCAACATTGACCCTGGTAACAACATCTGCTTGGGTTCTGGTGTGCTAGAGAAGCAGCGCACAAAAACAACCTCGACGAATCTACTGATGTAGACACTTGCGTTGCTCCTCGATCAGGTTGTCAGGGTTCTCTCAGGGCAAGCTTACCCACAAAATCAGGAGCTGTCTCAAGCCGCACAGCATCTGCCCCGCTGACAGTCTGCATTAGAAGCTGCGCACCTCATGAGTCCAAAGCACGAGGTTGCCAGTATTGGCAGTAGATCAAGCTTAGATCATAGTCGTATACTCGATGCAAAGACCTGAAAGCACCCATCATAAAGCATCCCTCCGCATTCGTCCGCGCCGATTTGACGGTGCGACTTTGCTGTTGCAGGGCTGTAAGAGGGCTAGCGTGCCGCAGGAATTCGATCCGTCCAAAGAGAACGTACAGCAAAAGCAGACGCTGCAAAAGGCCGCCATGCAGCCTGCCACGTGCCCATTCTCCGGGGAGCAGGTGAGAAGCCAACACAGAATCTACCAGTTTGCAGAGGGCGTTTTGATTGCGTTTGCCCGTCAGAACGCCAAGTTTCATACGAAGAATCTGCTCGAAAATTGGACTGACCCCTTCTCATAAGAAGAGGATATTAGGGAGATCGAATCGCATTATAAAGAACCTACCTGCCAATTCTTCATCCGAAGAATCTGCTGGACAAACGGACTCATCTTTTCCCAGATACAGCGCAATGCGGGCATGCTGCACGTTTTGGTACCTTTTTAACTGTTCAACTTAGAGCTTAAGTAGGACCAATGTTAGGAACACGTTACGACCCGACTAAGCTATATTATGTCTGCGTTACCGGTATACTTGAGCTAGTGGTCGGGTAAATTTGCCTGCAATTAACTCAGACTAACCTAGACGAGATGTAACGCAGGCCTAACTTAGTTTACTTTGATTCGTAACGTTGGTCTTACATTTGTCCTATCAACGATTTGAGTTAGCCCTAAATAGGTACCCGAAACGTGCACCATGCCTGCAATGTGCTGTAAGAGGCTATCAAGCAGGTCTGATTGCTTTCAGAGGACTACCTTCTCTCAAGGACCCCATCAACGCTCAACTTTGATATTGAGGCCACAAAACTTAAGAGACACCCTACGGCTGATGCAGGACGGCAAGCGACGCAGCCCACAGAAGGTGCTGGATGCGGTGGTGGGCAATTTGCAGCAGCGGAGTGCGGGCCATATGCCGGCGGCGCCAGCGGGCTGCGGTTTTCATTACAGGCCTGTTGCTAAGGAACAGGTCAGCGGTTGGCTCGTACAAATTCATTAATGAGATTTGGCATGCCTCTTCAAAGTATCATCCGAGATGCTTGGCGTTCGATAAGACATTCAAAGCTACGCGTCAACAATAACAGAGTCCAGAACTTCAACAAGTTGGAACCCGAACCAAGAGGGACGGGAGTGTGCGGTTCGAAGGAATAATTTTGTCAAGCTTGAAGCTTTTGAGCGTGGAATTCTGCTCTGGTGTGGGTAGTCGAGAGCACTTATACAGGTCAAACGATTGTAGCCCTTCGGTCATCAATAATCCAGCGACAACGGCGCACATGAGAATCTCTCAAGCATGGCGACACATCCACTCTTCTATTGTACTCGACGACCGCAAAAAGAGATACCCACACTTGATCCTTTCCGACGACGGCAAACCGGCTTGACCAGGTGTTGTCTAAGGAAGGAGCCTCTGTACTTATTGAGATAGCACAAATCGGCGTCTTTATGCTAACCTAGCCTCCCGTCTCACTGCGAATCGAACTCTCCCTCCAGCTTCTAGGCTCGCTGAACGAGAGGCTCGTTTCTTAGTCGGCTTTTTCATGTTGCAGAAAGCGTCCAGGCTTTGCATCCTTTGTCAAGACGCGAAAGGGAAGCGTCGCTAGATAATGCCCGGTCGTCCTCTTTCAAGGACTACGAGACCCAGCACCTTTCTCATGAATAGCATTGCGCACGTCAAAGCATATCTCTTAAACGTCTGCCTGCTGCTCACAAATGCTCCAACTGTTGAGGGCTAGTCGAAGCCCGCCCCTCTAACAAGTTGCAAATTTTCAAGGTTGCGTGCTACTTTCCCCTTTCAAAGTAATTGTCAGTTCCTCTGCTTGACGCGCCCTCGTGCGGCGCCGCCCCGGCTTTCGACCGCGGATTGCTCGAGCTCATTCGCGAGCCTTATAGGGTTCTCCGGAAAACAATCAGAGCTTATCACTTGCGAGTGGTCTCGTTTTCCGGTTCCTTCTTCTCCTTTCCGAGTATGATTCAATCTCGCTTCGCAGGACGCGCCCTCGTCGCCGACATTCGACCGCGAGTTGCCCGAGCTTACAAGCAAACTCCAGCTCAACCTCCGAAAAGCAATCAGAGCCCATTGTTCGCGAACTATCTCGTTTTGCGGCTTTACTTTCTCCTCTCCGAGTCTGATCGATCATCTCCTCGCAGGACCCTCTCTCGTCGCCGACGTTCGACCGCGAGTTGCACAAGCTCATAAGCGGACTCTAAATAAGTTGCTCCAGAAACCTTCAGAGCCCACTATCGTTACGTTCCCCTTTCCGATTATCGTTTCTTTGCAGGACCCTCCCTCATCGCCGACGTTCGACCGCGAGTTGCACGAGCTCCTCGACGCGGCGCCGGACGGGATTGTGATCATGAAACTAGACGGGCGGATCGAGCTCGCGAATCTGCAGCTGCGCACGTCGTTTGGATACGAAGAGAAAGAGCTGCTGGGGCAGGAAATCGAGATCCTGATTCCGGAACGGAGCCACACGTACCACCGCGCGAAGCGGCAGGAGTACGTGCAGTCCCCGCAGAACCGGCCCATGGGCGAAGGAACGGAACTCTCCGGGTACGGAACGGAAAGTATTGTTAGGCTTTTTGTTGATGGAGATCGATCCCGGGCCCTATCAAAACAGATTTCTAAATCCAGGGTTGATATGTACCGCACCCGTAACTACCCCGAACCCCCGAAACAACCGTACCCGTCCGCAGGGCATGACCTATAAACATAGCCGTGGTTTGAACGTTAACGGAAATGATCATGCGCGCACGCCTCACGTTGACACCGCGCCTTGCTTGCTTCTCACGAACCACTGCAGCAGTGTCGAGAGCGCCATACTTACAAAACGTCCAATTTCCTGTGTTGAGCATGCTTCTGAACGTTTGAGTTTAGATTGGAGAGCATGTGGGCATGAGGCGGCTGGCCCAGTCGACCGGAACGGATTTCGATGCGCAGGTGGCGTGACCGGTATTCATAATGCACGTGATGTCTGGAACATAGAACAAACATGCAAGCGTCCCAAGCTTCAGGGTGCATATGATATTCCGGTCGTCTGTCTGCAGGCGGCGGAAGAACGGAACGGAGCTGCCGGTGGAGATCAGTCTGAGCCCGCTCAAGTTCAAGGACCGGCGCTACGTCATCGCGATCGTGCGCGACATCACCAGCCGCAAAATCACGGAGTCCGCTCTCACGTAAGGGAGGGCACATCGGGCTGTGAATCGGACGAAAGATGTGATCCGTAAGCTTTCACGAGGCGAAAGAAACTTGTCTGGATGACGTTCGCCCGTTGAAATCCTGCCAACTGGTGGCCGGTTGTGTTTGTTGGAGTGACAGCACAGTTGCGCGGTTCGCGCTCATTTGAGGGCTATTCAGGGGGCCAACGAAAGGGGTGACCTGTAAGATTGTGCTCGCGACGGCCGCCTGAGAACCTGCCGAACCGTTTCGGTCTTTATTTCTCGACTGTAGTGCTCAACTGGTGCCGTGCCTTTCCAGCCAATCCGTTTTTGAGAGTCTGGCAAAGACAAAGATCCCTTGTGTCGGCTCTGTGTCGACTCTTGAAGTGCGACGTTCTGATTTTTCGACAGACTTCTTCAGTTCCAAGGGACTCTTCACAGTCTCGTTTGCCAAACGTACATTCGCGAACCCTCTTCAATCCGTAGCATCAGAACGCCCCTCTCGTGCGCTCACCCTTCTGTTCCTGCCTCCCCGCAGCGCGTCGCAGGCCAAGTCGCAGTTTCTGAGCAACATGAGCCACGAGATCCGCACGCCGCTCAACGGCGTCATCGGCATGGCGGAGCTGCTGCAGCTGACGCCGCTCGATGCGCAGCAGGAGGAGTACGTGCGCGCCATCCAACGGTCCAGGTGAGTCTCCATCTCCGATCAAGTTGAGCCAGGTTGAGTACACACAACAATTGGGAGGACGCACAAACTTGAAACTCAGCTACAAACTGACGTGCTCCGCACCCACGTTTACCGTGAACCACCCAAAGTACCCAAACCAAACCCCAACTTTTCCCGGGCACTGTCACCACAAACTACACCCCCGTTCTCAAATCTGCTTCATAGGACTTCCGTCAGCAGATTGTACTTTTCTTTATGTAGCATCTGGTTCGAACACACCAGAACGTCCGCTCCCTATGGAACTTCTGCTAGAACGGCTTACTAGAACAGGGGGTTGGTTTTCTAGTGTCTATCAACCTGGCTGTATTCCAAACCTGAAAGCAATACTACTGCAATCCAGCGAGTCGCTGCTGCTACTGATCAACGACATTCTGGACGTGACCAAGATCGAGGCGGGCAAGTACGAGATCCGCCCCGCGCCCTGCGACCTCGCCACCTTGCTCGAGGACGTGCGCTCGTACCTCGCGGCCGTGCTCGCCACGGACCCCGACCGTGACGTCACCTTTGAGGTGAGGGAACGTCACTTTCATAGCCAGCCACGTCATGGTCTCTTTGAGTTTGGAGCGTGATCTTGATTGCTGCGTGTTTGCACTTGGGCAGCAGGCCGAGAGCTGTCATGAGAAATTCGAGGCGTCTCTAGCGAAGCGCAAATAGGTCAGCGATATCGAGACTCATCAGGACTGTAACCCGAAGCCAGGCCCCGCCTCTGATCTGGCAGCTTCAAAATCAGACACTCAAGCCGAATTTCTCGGAGCCAACTGGAACATGCTGAATGTAAGCGGGATGAGACAAGCCAAGTGTAGCCTTCAAGGGATTGCTAGTCAACAGCAGCGCATCTGAGCAGATAGACAAGTAAGTCAATGGCTTATGGGCATTCAAGAGGGAATAGAATAGACTTCTCAACCAGGTTACAAACACAAGTGCGCAGCGTGAGCCCGCCGCTACTGCAAAGGAATTGACAAATACCACTCTGCAAATCTGCGGTGGAGCTCGTTATCGACACCAAAACCCTGGAATGGGGCTGACGTAGCCCTACAATCAACACATACCACCCTCGACATCTGCGAGAGCGTAGAACCACTCGAAAATCTGGGATGGGTGTAAGCTTAATATCGTCCGAGAAAGGTTTCGTAACACGTCACCCCCGCCTTAACCACCCTAACCCGTCTCCTAACCCCCGGTTATCAGGTGCAATCGGTGGGGCCGTTCCCGGTGGTGGCGGACAAGAACCGGCTGCGGCAGGTGCTGTTCAACCTGGCGAGCAACGCCGTCAAGTTTACGCGCGCGGGCTGCATCCGCGTCACCATGGAAGTCCTGGCGGAAACCCCCGAGAGCGCGCGCGTCAAGATCGCGGTCAGCGATACGGGAATTGGGATCAAGAAGAGCGACTGGGGGCGCATCTTCCGGACGTTCTCCCAGCTGGATTCCGCGGACAACCGCGAGTACAGCGGAACCGGACTCGGGCTGGTGATCTGCAAGAGTCTGGTGGAGATGATGGGCGGCGAGATCGGGTTCGAGAGCGCGGCCGGCCGCGGCTCGACGTTCTGGTTCACGTCGCTCGCGAGCCGCGACCCCAAAGCCCTGAAACCCGCGCGCGAGGCGGACGAGCCGGAGCGCGTCGGCGCGCCGCCGCGCGGCCGCGGGTTGGAGATCCTCGTCGTCGAAGACAACGCGATCAACCTGAAGATCATTACGAAGATGCTCGAGGGAATGAACATGCACGTCGACGTGGCGATCAACGGGATCCAAGGCGTGGAGGCGGCGAAAAGAAAGGAGTACGATCTGATCTTCATGGATCTGAACATGCCCAAAATGGACGGTTACCAGACGACGCGCGAGGTGCGCAAGAGCGGCGCGGAGTGCCCCATCATCGCATTCACCGCGAGCGTGTTCGAAGAGGACGTCGTGCGCTGCATCGAAGCGGGCATGGACGACCACCTGGGTAAGGAAAAACGACGGCGGCAGATCGTCTCTAGGTTGCTAACCTCTTAGCAAAGCGTTGTGCGCTATATCAAAGGGTGCCTAGTCGACCATCTGAGTCAGCAGGACCGCGGCGGCAATCTGAAATTGTTTGCCTCAAACTTGCCACTTCAAGTTTCGGTTTCAGAGCGTGGTTGGCAATCTTGAGCCGTCGATCGGACATTCCAAGATCCAAACATTCGTAACTTTCCGATAACAAGTTTGGCGCAAGGATCTCTAGGTTCAGCTTTAGTAAGCCCCACTCTTTTGACGCGGGCTTGACGATCTATCACCTCTGTGGGATAGAAACGACGGCTGCTCCTCTTTCTGCCCTCGTACTGGTTTGTTCTCCGAATAGCCAACTCCGACGATCATCTCCGAAAGGAAACGACAGTGTCGTTTGTTAGTTTTCTCTTGCTTAAGTCAAGTACGGAACCGGGCAAAGACAACCAAAACAACGTCGCCTGCTTCTCTTTGATTTGACGTCTGATCACCCCATCCTTTTTAGAGCGGCCAGACAAGTCGGCAATTCTGAAGTCAGGAACTAACCGCATCGGTGCCAAGCCTCGTGGTCTCTTGTATCAAAGTCCCGCAACCTGGACTTGATCCTCGACCACATTGATTTCCAGTTTCCGTCTAACAAAACTCCGCTGTCAGACACATATGCCAAGTTTCTTGAAACGGATGGCTCTACAAAATGGCCCCCAATTTACAGGCCGGGTGGCTTGCGTATCGCGTTTAAAAATTAGCTCATGTAGCAAACTAGCAACTCAACGTCTACCAACCCAATCGCGCGAGATTGGCGTCCCTGTATTCAATATTTTAAGTTGAAACTGTACATCAAGCAGGGTCCCATCGATCTTCCCACCCGAAACAAGCTTCTTGGATTGAGTATCAAGGCGGCGGTGGGCTTGGAATATGAATGCAACAAGCGGGAGTGGCCGAGTTGCAGAGCATTCTCAGGACCATTCTTGTGACGGTACCGCTTTACTTGACGTAATCCTTCGACGTTCTTGCAATCGGGAGTGTCAGCGCATTGACAGCCAGCGCGACGGCTGCTTTCTCTGCAAGCGAAGAGGAAGAATAAGAAGCGGTGGTAACTGATAAGCCTCAGCTTAGACGCACCTAATCTCAGCCCCAAAACCGCGCACCTCTACCCACCCTTATCCCCCAAAACCTCACCCGTCCTAGTGCGCTTACCTTATCTTTTTCGTCTCTTCCAAACTGAAGGATCTTGAGTTGTTTCTCCTCTTTGCTCGCAGGCAAGCCCATGACGACGCTCGCCCTGAAGGCCATCTTGAACAAGTGGCTGCCCAAGAGCCCCTAGACCCTCCACGTGGCAGCCGCAAGCGTAGTTACGCGCAGCCGTGTTGTGTGACTCGGGGCTACTTACTGGTAACGGGACAAACTGATCGATGCGCGCGAATGAAGGGCACGCAGCAGTGTAACAAACTAACCTTGCCGGGTCGGGTTATCTTGTGAGTTAAGTAGTCAAAAGCTGGTTATATTGTGGGTTAATTGGTCAAAAGCTGGTTATATTGTGGGTTGAGTAGTCAAAAGCTGGTTATCTTGTGGGTTACAAGTCGATTATCTTGAGGGTTAATTAGTCAAAAGCACCTCTGTGGTCTAGTAGCCAAAAGCAGTGCGTGTACAAATTCTGATGTGTAATACAAAGAAGGCGTTTCAGCATAAAGGTCTGGGGCGTAAAGAAACTTAGGTTGCTTATGGGATGGATATGGACGGTGCTTGGAGGAACCGAGTCGGCAAGGCGCCTTAAGCGAGCCGCTGTAGTTGGAGGTTGTCTCTGCAATCAGCTTAAATGGCTCTATCAAGAGCCATCCCTCCTTGGAAGGAAGGTGAAACATACATTAGGTGGGCATCTCTCATTGTCGTCAAAATGCGGTGGTCTTGCGGTGCGGGCGGCCGCGCTTGGCTGCCCTTGGTACTAAACCTAGACTTGGCTTAACGCAGTTTAATGCTTTACTTGACGCTTATTCTCTGTGCTTTGCTAGCTAGCTGTGTAAACCGGCTTTTATCTTTTAAGAGTTGGCCCTTCCCCAAGCTGGTTTTCAATATACTTCGTTTTTCATTCACTTTGGATTTGGGTATGAGCCGCCATTGTGTTGTGAAGGAACTTTTTGATTTTAACAAGTATGGCCGCGCGCTGAAGCTGTTTGCACAAGTAGCGGGATCCCGGACTTCGACTCTGCGTATACAAGGCTCTGCAGACGTAGACGTCGTTTGATGCCATGCCAATGTGCGTGTAGCCGTAGGCTTTAAGCAAGGGTCGATCTTCTTGGACCGCGTGTAGACGAGCGTATATGGACCGTGAACGTAAATCTCCCCGCGTCCCTGCTTAATCATGCAATTTTTTGTGAGAGGGTGGGACTGTCTTCATAAGGCGCTGCTCTTACGAACCACTCAAGCTTGTTCCATTCAATCTATGACGGTCGCGGTCGCGGGCGGCCCGCCTTTGGGAAGAAGTATTGCGCGTGGAGTTAGCTCAAGATCAGGCACTGTGTTGTGCCAATGATGGGCGACCGTTATGCTGAAGTCTGATTGAATTAGCATTAAGCCAGCCACTGCAAATGCGCAGGCTAAGTTTGCACACAGCCTGCCGTACGGATCGGCTTATTTATTGCAAAAAGCCATTTGCAAAGAGAAAAAAAAAAATTCTCTTTGTCAAAATCAAATGGGCATCTCGTCCGTAACATCGATACCACTTTATACTTGCAACGCCATGGCCACGTGCAAATATGCAGCCTACTTCGCGGGCTTGTCCGGCATATGTGGCACTTATAAATCGTTGAAGTTGATACAGTAGGCCGATGCGGCGCCCGCGGCAGCATGACCCGGTCGACGCGCTGCTTGAGATCACTATCTGTAGGATCTGCATGGATACAGTGACGCTAACTTCACTTCCGAACTTTGATGATTTCAGAACGTGCGCCGCATCCTGTGAATTGGACCAAAGGTTCAGAGGATGAACATCATTGCATACAAACAATTCACAGAAGTAGGGTAGGTAACATCCGGGTTGGCAGCTACTGTTACAAGAAAGATCTTTCTGCGCAACTGTCAGAGCGCCGTGTCAACCATCTGCAGTACGTATACTCACGTGTGGGCATCCGCGAAAGTCCGAGACACGAAACAATATGTTCGGCCACATCATGCAGAGATAGTCCGACACTGCTCTTGTGCCGAGTATAACTCCACTCCAAGAACTCAGCCCAACCTTTCGGCAGCATTTACTGCTTCACGAGATGTAGAGCTGGATTACTGACCTACGGACCCATCTAATATAGCATTGCTCAACTGCGCTAACTTGTTCAAGCGGAGCATCAGATCGTGCCCGCTTTCGTCGAGCACCTCGGACACCCTCCTCCGCTGAGCAGGGCCTCCGGGTGTCTCCAGACTCTCTTCCTCCTTATGTGGCGGCGTGGTAATCCCCGGGTCATTCAAACCAACGCCGCCCGTCTCTTTCATGTTAAGCGGCCGCTTGCCCCCCAGGAACAACGACTCCAACTCCCTATCCTTTTCAGAGCCCTCTTCAGAGCTCTCAGCAAAGCTCTCTTTAAGGCCTCCGTCAAGCCCCGGGCTACCCACCTGCTTGCTCATCGCTACACCTGCTGCAACTGTCAAAAGCGACTTCTTCGCCGGCCAGCCATATTCGCCGGGGGATCCCCCCCGGGTTCCGCCCACAGCGCCGTTCCGCTCGCTTTCAACGAGCGGCTTCCGCTCGCTGCGCGGGGCCGGCGTGCGCACCACCTCCGCGTGCAGCCCCCCCTCCCCGATGCCGCGCTTCCGCGCGTGCGCGTCCCGCTCTAGTTTGCGCAGCTGTGCCAGTAGCACGCTGCGCTCGCGCCGCACGCTGCGCAGGTCCGCGTCCTGCCGCTCCAACCGACACTCCAGCTCGCTGCGGGGAAGGCACCGGCCATTTCAGTACATGCCACGGCTTCGCAGTAGGTCTCTAAAGTGACCAGGGATCTGCTTCACATAGCCTCAGAATATATATCTGTTCAAGCTGATTATGAGGTAAAGTTCTGAGCAGCGAGTCGTGGTAGGCCCTCAGCTTTGGCACGCAAGACCTCAAGGCCAAAAAGTTGAATTCCGGCACGGCTTCTGTGCACTTCGTGTCGCACTCACACCCAGAATTTCTGCAATCGCGGACGTTTCACGGGCGAAAAGGCTGGGTGGTCTACTCAAGCCTTCAGATCGGCTTCAGCTTTATGCTTCGCTCATGGATCTCTGAGCCAAGAGGCGATCGGTTGCAGGCTTGCGGGCTGACAGCCTCCTCAACCTCACGTCTTAAAACGCGGCAAGGTCGCCCATGCATTTACAAGTCAGGAAATTGTTCGACAAAGAGACTGAGCCTAAGGAACATAGCGCCCCACCTGATGCGCGCATCCCGCTCGTGCGTCTTCTGCTCCTTGACCTGCGCCGCCTGCCGCTCCAGCTGCAATGCCATGGTGTGCGCTCAATCAGAAACACAAACCTGCAATTGTTTGGCGAGAAGACGAAGCCGAGGCAGCTTCCATGGCTTCGTGCAATGTCCTTTGAACCTTTTTTCTGCTTCTTTACCTCCTTAACCAGTGCCAAACCTTGGCAACGCGCCGTGACAAGGCCCGGGCTTCGCTCGGCTTATGGCGAGGGTAGCTCTAGGTTCATTCAAAAAGAAACGAAGTGGAGGCTATTTTCTTAAAATAGTCCAAGCGATATGTACGCCGGCCACGCAGCAAATACTTGTAGCCGGCCACACAAAGTGGCAGAGATCTGGACATTCTGCTGCAACGTGAGCGTGAAGCTGTATATTACTCAGACCAGCACAGCCGCCAACGGCAAAGTCCATGAAAGCACTGTCTTTGTTCCTCGGAACACTCTAAAGGATCCTCGTCCATGTCTGAGTCGCCTTAGGAGGAACCCCGAATGTCTTTGTTGAATGCCCCAGATGGCAGTGGCGTTTAAAGCCCCGAAAGGCGACAACTTGCCCGTAACTTCACTGGGGGGATACTCTTTCACCTGACACTTTAGACCGTCACTCTGCAAATTCGACGGCTGTGCATAGTTTAACATAGATCAACTGCACGCCTTTATCCACAACTCCGGGTGACACTCACGTAGTAACACAAGTCCGCTAGGATACCTCTCAGGCACTCCCCGCCTCACCTGCCTCAGGTTCACCGCCGCTTTCGCATTCTCCCTCTCGAGCGCCGCCACGCGAGCCCGCAGTGCCGCAGACTCGGTTTCGTGCGCCTCTGCCGCGGCCGCCAGATCGGCACGTGCCTGCTCCTCAGCGCGCCGCAGTTCACGCGCTAACGCCTTCTTGCTGGACGACTCGAGGTCACGCACCCGGGCCAGCGCAGGGGCAGACGACGAATAACGTCATCAGCATGTAGAGAGATTGCATTCCGTGCGCACGCACTGCCTCCAAGGAAGGATGGCAGAGTATAGGAGCTCAAACACAGCCGGACACAAACGCTTGAAAATTGAGGATCTTTGGGGCTCAAGCTGCGGGAGATGAGGGGTTGGACAAAAACGTTCGACAAACTTATCACCAGGGGAGAGTTCTTCTGGCAGCTTAAGCGAGGCTGCAGGGGCCTCCTCGTTGCGGAGCGAAAGAACAGTGCTGCCCAACGAGCCCCGGCGGTCTCACCTGCAGTTGCTCCACGGTCTCACCCTCCCGTGCCAGGCTGGCCCTCGCGGACGCCAGCAACTCCTGCCACAACCCGACGTCACCCGTGGGTCAAGAACGGGCCATTGACGTCAGCCCCTTAGTGAACTTTAAAGAAGGTGTTTGCCAGCATGGCTCGGGCGCCTTGAGATCCTCATACAAACATCAACAGTTGATGATAAGGCGATTCAAACCGTGCATCTAAGCCATTCGTTGCAGTATCCAAACCGCTGATTCCACCTTTGGGCGCAGGCCAGATGTCCCCGCATACAATATCTCGGCGAGCGGACCGTCCTCAAAAACTGATGAAAATCTGCTTCGGAACAGCACCTCGCCTCTTCACCTCACCTCCAAGTTGGCTGCTCGTTCTGCTGCCGTGTCGGCCCTTTCTCTGCACCCCGTCAACTGCGCCTCCAGTTCTTCGCGTCTGGCTGTCAATGACGTCAGCTCGGCACCGCCTGCGTCAAAGGAAAGAGGGTTTTGTCAAAGCGGATTGCACGACCCAGCGCCGGATGGGACACAAAAAAGTGCTCGTTCCTGCTTAAGTTTTCACTGAAAGACTTGGGGATCGGTCTCAGTCTAAACAACTAGATTTGTGGCTTCTCTTTTGAGCAAGACCAGTTCTGTGATCGAGACGCCAACGCATGTCCACCAAAGTCCGACGGCAACTTCATGAAACCAGCGCCCGTCTTGAGATACCTGTTTCTCCACTCTGTCCCTTTCGTTCTTCTACTTGAACTTGGGGCTGCTCTTATTAGGCGCCGCCTCACCTTCCAGCTGCCGCACCCGCCCCACCAGCATGGCCCTCTCCCGCTGTAATCGCTCGACCTCCGCTTCGAGTTCCGACTCCCCTTCAATGCTTCTCCGCGCGTCCCCTCGGCTCTGCTCTACCTGGCCCCGTTCAACCAGCGGCCACTCCGCTCTTTCAACCTTTCTGCCAGTGACTGTGCAGTCAGTGCGAGACATTTCGTTCTCTCGATTTTTGACTCCAGTCATTCTCCCTGGATCCCGCCCGCTCGCCTCCCCTTCCGTCAACCGCATTGCACTGTCCCCTATCCTCATCCTACATGGTTGAACCTCAGTCACCGCCTGCCCTTCTTTATTATGTTGCAAATGGCTCTGCCCGCTACTCCCTACGGCTAACACTCCTTGCAAACTGAACTCCGACCGGTTGACACTCGGCCCTTCTGTACCCGCGTTTCCCGCTTCCCGCCCCCTCCCTTCCCGTTTCCCCCGCCCCAACTCCCGCCCGAATACCAGCCGCTCCTCCGCAAACCGCAACCGCCGCGCAAATCCGTCCAGCAGTCTCTCACTCTCCGCCAGTTTCTGCAGTCCCGCGTCCTCTTTCCGCTGCCACTGCTGCACCGCCGTCCAAAGCAAACGTATCGCGCTGTCAGCCTGGGTGAGGGCGGCTTTTGCGGTAGCATGCTCTTTTTGCAAGGTGGAGAGGGACTGCGCGCCGCGCTCGGCAGCGTCTCGCTGGATCTGCAGCTCCGCCGTCAGGCTGATGGCGCGCTGCTCCAGGACCTGCAACGGAGGGAAAGGCGGCTGACGTCATCAGCCTTTGAAGACCAGTTGGCTAGCTTTGGAAGAGGAAAGCAGAGCGACACAGTGACGTAGGAAGAGGAGCACAACGACCGTAACAAGCTAAAAAGGAAAAGAATAAACCGGTTGAATAGAGACTGGGATTGTGTGACGACTTCAGGCTTGTTGAAGATATGAACTTGAACTCTGGCAGTGGCACTGATGCTCTAAGTGGCTGGGAGGACTGTCAAAAACTGTCAAAACAATCACTCGTTCTTCGCGCTTCATATGTTCAAGCCGGTTCTGACATCTGAAGGCTTTCAAAATCACCGAGACGTGAACGACGGCAGTCTGACGACGGCAGTCTGAAGCAACTTCTTAAAGAGAGAATTGGGAACAGTTTATGAGTTGGCTTCGACTTTACCCTAAACTCGTCCAGCTTCAAGACCTTCTCCCACCACACCGTCTGCAAGAACCAATCACAATCTTTCGCTTCCGATTCAGAGTTCGACATTGTGGGCTTCCCTCACCTTGCACCTGGTGTTCTTCTCTTCCCGCAGCCCCCTCTCTGTGTCCAACTCCCGGCCAACCTTCGCTGCCTCCCGAACCACCTCCCACTCCCGCTCCTTGCTTTCCAGCACCAACGCATACACCTCTTCCCGCCACCGCCCCAGGAGCGCCTTCACATACTGAATGCCCCCCACCGTTTTCTCATCTTCACCCCCCACATCATCGTCCCCACGGCAACCGCCAATGTCTGCTTGACTGGGGTCCTTCTCAGATGGACCACCCGCCGCATCTTGCCGTTCCGAAGACTCGCTTTGTTTACCCATGTTTCTATTTTCCAAGTCGGGCTCCCGTCCTGGTTTATCCTCTTTCAGCGCACCCCCCCCTCGTTGCGCCTTCCTGAGGACCCCCTCCTCCTGGATGCTCACGATCTCTTTCAGGGCGGCCACCTGTACCCGCAACAAATCCACCTCGCTCGCCGCTGGCCCCCCAGGCACCCCTCGTTGATCCCCCCGTAACTCCACCCCTCCGCCAGAGGGGAGCGCCGTTTCCGCTTTAGCCTCTGCCAGCTGTAAGGTAAGCTGGGCAATCTGTTCGACCTGCCTCTTAATAGTTGCTTTCAGCTCCGTGACCTCACGCTGAGCCCTTTCCAAAGGTTCCGAATCTGCCGTGTTGTGGGCCCCGCTTTCTGGCCCCTTCAAATTCTCTCTTCCACAGCCGTAGTAGTGCCGCAGGTTTTCGCTGGCAGCCTGAGGAAGGGACAAAAGACCCGCTAAGACTTACAAGTAGAGTGGAATAGGAAGTTGGACTGTGACGTTATCGGTGAGATTCGACGCATCTTACTCATGCCGAGTCCCGTTACTTCTAAAATAGCGGTTTTAGGAGGTTTTCCGATTTGAAAAGGATTGCAGCAGAAGAGTTGATTGAAACCTTGCCACTTGAAACAGAGCAGTGCTATGAATGATCGATTTCTCCTCAAGCAAAAATGTGCAGTAGCAATGACAGTCTTAACACCATATATCTATGGAATGGTTGTTTGGCGGGGCACACAATATGCACACCATAGACACAAGACGAATTGAAGCAATTGTCACAGACTGTAAGTAAAAAGCGGGGGGGGCCAAAGAGATGGAAAGCAGATAAGGGAAGAAGTGTTCCTTCGAGGGGGCAAGGGGCAAGGAAGAGGAGAATGGGAAGATGACAAGGAAAAGAGAAGAGAAAGGCGACTTGGAAAAGCATCACTGAGGCACGGTTCAATCATGACGACCCTGAGGCATCTTTTTGACGCTCACTTTTTCCTTGGCAAGCTCCTCTCTGCATTGCGCCAGCATTGCTCGCACTGCCCCTTCAGAGTCCCCGCTCGCCCCACAAGCTCCTACAATGATTTGAACTTCCCTTAACTTCGCCACCTCCGCCTGGAGCTGCACGTTGCTGCATTGAGCCGCCTCTAGTTCTTTCCGGATGGTGTTCGTCCACTGCCATGCGAGACTGGCAGCCTGCGTCCACTGCCCCAGGTCCATGCTGACATCACTCATTGGAGACTGAAACCGAGCACTAACCCCCCCTGCACCTGGTGGTTGAAGTTGACCCCCAATTCCTAGTTGGGAATTTACGGGCATGAGCTTAGCCAGAGGAAAGCCTTTTCTGCTGGGCTCTAGTGTCGAGCCCTGCGGTGCAGAAGGCTCTGGTGAAACTTGATCGTCTGATTGACTATCCCCTGACGAGGTGAGTCTCTTGTCTGCAGCTGCCATTTGGTTCATGGACTTCTCAGCTGCCAAAGATATGGCAGCTCTGCTGATGGCCTCTTCATAGACTGCAGCAGTCTCATCAAATGAAGTCCTCATCAATGGGGGCGCCCCATCTTCTTGATTTGTTCCTAAACGTGATTGAAGCGCGTGAGATTTACATTGAGAGGACTGCTTTCACCAGGATGCCAGTCAGTCAGGCTCAAAAGGTTGCCAGAGAGCACGGACGTCTCGGCAGACTCGCTGGCTGCATTGGGGCCTTCTTGTCCTGCAACCCCCAAATTTTCACTATCTTCAACAAGATACGCTGTGTGAGAGGGTTCCTCCTTCTCAGTGGGGGAATTGGAGCTCGTGCTGGCCCAGCCCCCTGCTCCAGCATTCTCCTCCATTGCAAGGCGCCCTAGCTGGCCTCGAGCAAGCAAGCTCCTCCAGCCTCCAGGCCACTCCAGGCTCCAGCGAATGCACTGTTCTGGCAAGGCCAACACCCCAGGCTGGTCCCCAGCTACAGTCTGATTGGATGGAATCCGTCGGTGAAAATGCGCCTGATAGATCATCGACGGCACCAATAAAGTCCTTCCTTCTCTCTAAAAGCTAATAGCGGTCCGATGAGATTGGCAGCGGTTCAACGGCAGACTCAGCACTCTGCTTGGCTGCCCTTGGCAAATTGCAGCCTGCAAACATTTGAATTGCATCTCAGAACACATTCTACAGGGCCTTCCCCCGTGTGGGTTGTTTGTTGTGGAAATGGGGCCGTGGTGCGAGGCCCTGTTCTATGGCGCGGCGCACTGCATTGGCGGGAGGCAATCGGTTCACAAGCTCGCTGGCTCAGACTCGCACTGCCAGTGCACTTCTCCTTCAAGCTGCTTTTGATCAGAGCGTTTTGTGCTGCGTTCCAGGAGCCTTTTCTGCTGCTGATGGCCGAAGCTACCGACGAGGCAGTGTGATTGAGTTGGAATACTTGACACTGATCAGAGCAACCTGCTGACGTGCATTGGTAGACTTGGAGCTGGAAGGCGGGCAGCCGGCATGGACGTCCTGAACATGCTGCGCTCCAAGGCCTCCTGGGGCTTTCGGAGCGGACGGTGTGAAATGCAAGAGCTGCAGGAGTTGCATGGAGTTCCTGGGCTCAAGCAGACGGTGGTTCCTGAAGATAGCAGTCTTAGTGATGCCAGCACGCTGGTGTCATATGGGGCCAGCGTAGAAAGAGAGCGCTCTCCGTTGGCCGACTGTGTTCCCAACCACCCTCGCTTCGGGGCAATGCATTTGCAATCCAATGACGACGCTAGCATGATGTCCGCAGATGTTGAGAGCTTGAGCAATTGCAGCAGTGGCCAAAAGGGGCCCCGTGCTGCACCGTCAGAGCTGGGGGGTGACAAAGAAGCGGAGAATGGAGAAAGGGGCCGAAGGGCAAAGGATGAAAGGGAACAGGAGGAAAATGGATTTGCGGATCCTAGTCAGCAGGAGTGGTCGGACGGTTTGTCAGATGATGCATCAGATGATGCCTTTAAGGAAGAAGAACCACTCAAGCTTCCAGTTCTTGATGAAAGCCCCAATGGTCTTTTCTCACTACGCATTGCAACCAACCTCCTGCCTAAAGACATGCACGCGCCTACTACTACATCAGTGCACGACGTCACACATGAAACACCGCTGGCGGGCATCAAAGCCGAACCTAGTTGTGGGGGCCACAGCGATGAGGAGCACGAGGTCGCCGACACAGCCTTTTCGCCCCCCCTAGCGCAAGCAATAGACCGGAATGATGCCTTTGTCGAACCCGCAGCATATCCAAGGATCCTCTCAATGTTGTCAACAGGGACTCCAGCTCAGGAAGAGAGGCAGGAGGAGGCACATGGGGATGGGGTAGTGAGAACAATCAGAGCCGCACAGTCTGACAACGAACATCAAGTCGATACTGACATGAGGGTGAGGGTTGGGAGCGCAGCTGACCACAGTGGTATGAGTCCTGAGATCAGGGGGGTGGAGAGCAGTCCTCAGGCAACACTGCGGCGGGAGCGGCTGAGGAAGCAGAAAGAAGCAGCGGAGAAGGTGCAGCAGGAGATGCAGGAGATGCAGGCGCTTATGGAGGCCCTGCTGGCTCAGGTGAGGGTGCAACTTCAGGTTTTTGACCGAAACCCACCCAGGAAAAGTTCCTGAAGCCTCGTACGAAAAATCCCTGTAAGTCTTCTAGACACTGCGCGCCTTGGAGGAGTGATCATGCAGCAAGTTGACTGGAAGTCGATCTATTCTGTGCGCCCATTCTTGTCAATCAAATATCGTAAACTTCATTATAGCTCCAACAAATATAGTTTTTGGCAGTTGCCTTGGAAAAGGATGCACGGCGCCTCCCTTTCAATTTGCCTTTGCGACCATCATTGGAGGGTCCCTTACGATCATCGTGGCAGAATTCTAGGTTGAAAACTTCCATCGGTATATGGTATAGACCTCTGCCCTTGTGGGTCCTGAGCTGTCCTTTCTTCTTACCACCTTCTACCAACAGATTGCTCCATTCTTGCTCAATCGACAACTTATTGTTGGCAAGAAGGTGGAACTACTGTGAAAAGGTGTCTGGTTGAACTTTGAGGGAAGCAACAGACTGATTCATTCTGATTGGCAGTGGTTCACTTCAGTCTGGTTTGGAATGGTTCATTCTTGTCTGATTGGCTGCTCATGTCCAGTTTCGAGACCATTTTGCAGAACCCCGCCCTTGTGCATCCTGAGCTTTCCTTCTTCTTTTAACCTCCACTGACTTCATTCTCCTCAAAAACCACAGTATCAACACGATTTTCCAATTCTTCTTCTTTTACCTGCAGAACCCCGCCCTCGTGCATTCTGAGCTGGCTGCCCCCCTGGAGCCCAGCGAGCTCGAGCGCCTGCGGGCGCGGTGCTCCCAGCAGGAGGAAGAGTTGTCCGCCTTCAGAGGAAAGCTGGAAGATATTCAGGTGGGAGTGGTCTCTTGACCAAAGGCAATTTGCAATATCAGCCTCCTAAACAGTAGCCGATCTGCACCTCTAAACGAACTAAGGGGTTGTTGAAAGTTGGACACGCTATCTTTGTCAGCAGTGGGTGTGTACAATGATGCTGTGCGCTGGCAGGCGACGCGGGTTATGCGAGCCTTAGGAGATGGTGCCAAGGTCAAGTACACAAGCCTCTCAACATGAGTTGTTTGTGGGCCTTGTATCCACTTGATCTACCAAACTTCGAAGCGCCCCCTCTGACATAAGTTGCAAGCCAGAAGCGGAGTCGCAGGGAATTGTCTCATGATATCGCTCCCAGGGTTTTCTTCTTTGGACTGGCTATTCCAAGAATTCTCGTTCTGGATCGGAAGTAGTGTGTGGGGACGCAAAGCAGACAGTTTCGGCCTGCTCTGATCCCCCTTGCTATGTTGGTATGAAGGCCCAACAGATTCGCAACCAAGGCACACAATCTATGCAAACTGTCCTCTAACCCAGTGCCTCATTCCATTCATCATACACACAGCCCCTTGTGGTGCATCTCTAAGCCTCTCCGGCGGCCTCCCCCGATCTGGCCAGCACTGCATACCACTCGCCAGGAACGAGGTCTTGAGGGCGGCGTCTTGCAGAGCGGACGGAGCTGCCAAAGCTCAGGCTAAGAATCCTTGTCACGCCTACCATCACAACCCGATCAAAGTGAAGCGCCCAGCTGCCAACCCAAAGTGGAAAGATGATTCAGATACTCCTGCGTGCAGGCGCTGTGCGGTGCGGCGCAGGATCGGTGCGCGTCGCTGGAGCAGGAGAACCAGCAGATGCAGACGCAGGTGGCCACCCTCAAGTGGCAGCTCAACCTGCAGGTAATGCGCACGACCAGCTTGGGGCGTCAAGCCGCCTGATTGCATTGTCAGCTTTCGACAGCCTCCAAAATTGCCAAGTGCTCTTTTTGTGCAAGGAATACCCCGCTCGTTTGAGCATGGTCTGTTCTTTGACGAGTCTGCAAAGATTTCTGGTCAGATGGTTTGATGCGTTTGTTGTCACTAAGACCGCTGTTCTTTGGGTTGATTTCAGAGGTTCTAGGACCCCTCGCACCAATCCGTTGGGAGGGAAACTCTTCTCCTGTTTGCCTAAGATCCTATGAAAAGACCTTGACAGGCAGCAGATGGGCTATGATAAGCTCTGCCACCCCACGAAGCCGAGTTTGCCCCGATACGTCTAACCCTCACATTCAACTCGTTGGAACTTGGCCCGCTCTCTGGCAGGCTCGCCATTGTTAAAAGTCGGAGGCAAACATTGGGGCCTCAGCGCTCCACAGCATGCGGCCAGACTGCCTGTCCCTGGCGGCTTGAATGAGAAAGCTAAGAACGAGCTTCAGTGGGGGTGCAAATAGCCATTGCTTTTTTGAGCCGGCCGGAACAACTGATACGGGTTCCTTGAATAGCCTCATATTGATTTTTCATATTCCTGAAGATCATTTACAGATCGATATAAACCGTTTCTTCGCTGCAGAGTCAGGCCGTTTGCTGTCTTTCTCCTTAGGTGACCTTTCAAACCTTTTGCCTTCATTTTGCGGGTGTGTCCACAAGATTTCCGTGTCCGCTCGGCTGCAGGAGGAGTTCCGCTTCCTGACCCCCCCGCCCCACCTGAGCTGCGAGGAGCGCGAGCTGTGGCGCAGGAAGCTGCTCCAGGACAGGCTGCTGCCGCCGCCCGACAAGGTGACGCCGTAACGCGGGGCGCCGCATCCCCTCTTTCGATGGTAGCTTTGACCCTGGTAGCAGCAAAGCGGGTAGTTGCGTATACAGAGTTGCAATCGAAACGATGAAGGGCTTTGTCGTTTGAGCCTCCTTGCCGGATCTTCCCTGAGCTATAAGGTCGAGAGCTGTCAGGTCGCCAGAGCTCGTCATCTATTTGTTCGAAGCCAGTACTCGTACCAGTAAATCTGGACGTCTTATTGTCCTACTTCGATGAGGTGCCAGCGGCCAGATCGGCAAACTAAAATCATTTCAGTGTCTGCCTCGACTTCTAAGCTTTCGTATCTTTTCGCACTTTTCCGCTCGAGACTGAAGTATCTATATTGTATTAAGCGTCTCTTCAAGAAAAGCATCGGCAGGCACAGAAAGTAAGGTGTGTTTCTGCCAACCCACTTGTCACTGCACAAGCATTAGCAGACACTTTCAAGTGCTTGAATTCGTCCGGTAATCTGCGCCCTTACATAAAGGTTTCTGTCCGACCCGCTTGAACTCTTCTGTCGGCCTGCTCGATGGCAAGGCAATAAAGTTGCTTACCTTTCAAGAAATTATTGCAGCTACAATTCGAGTCGGACGGGCTTGCTGTCGACCTCCCAGTACACTGGAAACGCATTTCACCCTTCCTCACGGCTCTTGCTTTTCCTTTGTACCAGGCGACAGTGACTGCCCGCAAGCTGGCACTAGATGAGCCCCAGGGGGTGCACTCCGACCCCGCATCCCGACCCCCCCGTTCCGTGACCCCAGACGCTAGCGCTGCATACCTGGCGGCTGTCGCGGACGCTCGCAGGAATCCGACGCCCGAGAAACTCGCGTTTGCTGCAAAGGCGAGGGGCGACCTGGGGTGGCTGCTGGGGGGGCGCACAGCCAAGGCGCAAGGCGGGCCGTTTGTTGGGGGGGGAAGCGAGGGTGACTTGGAGGGTTTCTCGAAAGTGCACACGAGATCGTCGTCTCCAGACTGCGAGGCCCAGTCGCCCCGCAGCTTGATTCGGAACCTGTCCGCAAGCGCTGAGTATGCAATGAGAGAGCCCAACGTGAGAGCGCCCGTTTCGGTTGATGAGCCTGGTGTTGAGGAGAGCGTCAGAGGCTTACGGGCGAGTCTTCACACCCCACTCGCCCGTGACGCAGCAACCCTCGGGACGCCAGTGGCGCAATCGCCGCTTTTATCCTTGGAGTCTCCACTTGAGTAATCTAAAACGCAGTATGATTGCTCGTCACTGTTCACTGGCGCACAGCTGTACTCTAAGACAGATCACAGCCTAGAAACAATTTCAAACTGTACGACAGGGTGTTGCATAAAAAGGACGGCAGGCAGGAACAGGAGGACATTGAATGAACGGGGGTCTGGTCGAACTACCAACACCTTGCGCCCTGCTTCATGGGAGTGGATCGATTGTCATTTTGACCGGCCCATGAATTGTCTTCGTGATTCACAAAATCTGGGTGACGTTTACGGAGCTTCTTCTCGTCCTCCTGCCTGCTTATCAAGCAATTCTGGCCGCTCTCAGGCTGAATGGACTCGGCGATTTCCTTACCTGGTTGATGAGTAGGTTATGCAACATCAAACCTCAGAATGACCAAGCAGATGCCTCAGTTGCCAAGCGTGCAGAGTGCACACAAGACGGCCTGGAACGGTCAGGCCACCTTGCCATCATTCAGTGAATGCGGAGACTCGATTCTTAGATGTACTCAAGCACTGGCTTTCCGATACTAAATGTGGATACAAAGTGTGCATCTGAATTGTGTGACTTTTTAATCCCGCTTGGTAAATTGAGGCTGGGTTCTCGCTGGGTTGTTATGCAATTGCGTCCTCAATGCAGGCGCCATTAGGGAGTGAGGCATGATTCAATAAATCACTATGTCAGAACCACATCATCAAGACATGGTGTGCATAATAACTCGAAGATCACACCGATTCACTGCAGATCCAGACATAACATCAAGGATCTCCGAGTCGGCATGTTTCAGCATTGTTGTCGAGATTTTGCACATAGCTCCTGCCCAAATTATCCGACCATGGTGATTGCGGATGTGTTTGGCGTCCCGACTCCTGACGCATCAGAATCATTCCTATGCGGTATCCCAATGCAGGCTCGTCTACCTTGCAAGGGAAGAATCGACTTAACAGTAGTATTAGTAGTAGAGATCCAGAAAGAGCGCTCATGAAAGCAAGTCATGAGTAATCAATCCAACTTAGGCAGCTACACGATCGACGGCTCTGGCGCATGGCCTGTAAACACCTTCAACTTTGAACCGTAGATCCAAGATATTTCGCGGCAATAAAGCTTGATATATCTGCAAATCAAAACTTCCCCTTACGACTTTAGCAATTATCCGCCACTGAAATTCAAGAAGAGTTCAAACTTTACAAAAGCCTTGTGACGCGACGCTTCCGGAGTTCTTGCTGTGCGTCTTGAATGTTCCTCACAGCAGGTCCAGAATGCTCTTCTGACATCCCTGAACTTCAACAGGTCAAGGTCAAGGATTTGGAAGGGAGCGGTTCCTCTTTCCTTCCGAAGTTCTTGAACCCCTGTCCTGACTCCTGACTCTCGAGGCTGATCCTAGAAGCGACTTGGGAATTTTCACCCTGGGCACTTCTAATATTTAGCCTCAGCATTTCTAGCTACTTGACGCACTGAGTGACCGTTTGACGGAAAGCTTCCATTTAGAGCTGGTAAAGGCAACAGCGAACAATGGCTTCCGCGGCGGCAATGTCCGCCACAGCCTGCTCCAGAATTTTCTCATCCACGTTGGTGTCCTGCAAGGCCTGCAATGACAGGCTGTTGATGGAGAGCCCCGCCATGCCTGGCATGCAACTGCACAGGCGCCATTCTCAAAATGCAGGTCAGCGGCAAAGCTGTGGGATATTGCCAAGCCTGTATTAGCTCCTCTGTTGTCAAACTCAAGTGTGGTTGAACAGCCAGGGTTACTGTCTTTCATACAAACTTGGTAAAAGGCCCGCAATTAAGATGTGAGCTCACAAGGTTTCAAAGGCAATTCTATCTGACATTCTAGGGCTTTGGAAGGGTTACGTTTGGGCATATTTAGATGCCATTCTTCGACACTTCTGTTAGAAGTTGAGTTGATATAATCTCGCTCACTCCATTCCTTCCTGTTCTGGAAGTGAGTGCCAATTATGTTTCAGAACCCTAAGCAGAGTTTCTGGAGGGCAACCGAAATCCAAGCGTTTGGAAATTTGTAATGAGCTGGGCTTTCTGATCTCTATCTTGGTCCATATCTCTTTCATATGATTTTGAGTATGGTGCTCCAACTGTGACTTGCAGAATGCTGGCTGGCTTTCTAATCGTCTCAGCTCCGAATGCACAGTTTTGTGAGATGTTGCATCCTAAAGATAATACACTTGTCAGCAATGTTGGCGCCCGTCCTGCTTCGGGCGCTCTGCAATACCTAACTTTGCTGGTCTATTCCATGATCCAATTTGCACCTGGTATTCTATGCTCAGTCAACCACCAGGTTCTTGTTGAAATCACTTGCCTCCGGCAATTCCTGGTGGCACAGGGCTGCTTTTGCACATGTGCACCTTATTGCTGTTCTTGGAAAGGATAAGCTCCGAGGCTTGAACAAGCCCTTACATTCTGATTTCTCACCTGTGGAGTATGGTCACAGATACATTGCAGTGCCCTTGGACACAAACTTTCAAACTCAAGACTCTCCGTCTGCATTTTCTCGGACCCAAATCTGGATGTTGTTGACGAACTTTGGCAGCCAGTGCCCGAAGTTGTACTTTTGACAGATCAGCGGATGCATAGTGTGACATCTCAACAAATCTTCTAGGTCCCTCTTGGCACTCCCCACTCTTCAATTGACTATTTAGATTGGTTCAGTTTGTATGTCCAGTCATTGATCCTGGGGGATCAAAGCGAAGGGGCCACCGGGAGTCCACCGGGAGTCTCGTCTTTCTCTCACAGGTTTTCAGACCACTTAAGGTTGCTTGCATCCCAGTTCACAGCTTACCAATCTTCAACAAGAAAGGTTTTCTGCAGGTTGTTGATATTCTTTTGTTGATTCCTGCAGGGCTTCCAGCAATCTTCCGGTATGGCAGCACAAACTCCCGGCAAGGATACCGGCGTGCCATTGAAGCAACAGTCGCGTCGCCCAGCAAGTCGGCTGCCACGCTCATCAGCCCCACGGGCACCACAGAGTGAGCGCGTAATGATAGTCTGTTTTCTCGACACGGCAGAATGCGTAGGCTGGATTGTTTACTTGATCACCAGAGTTTTATCATTTGGTGGCTTTTCAAACGTGGTCCTTATCTGCTGATAAGTCGATCACCGGAGTTTTATCATTTGGTGGCTTTTCAAACGTGGTCCTTATCTGCTGATAAGTCGATGATATCTGCGGGGCTGGGGCAATGTCTCTTGGATCTCCTTACCTCGCCTTCCGCTCATACATCTCGAGCAAGAAGACTGGCCCGGCCTTGTCGTTGGACCCCTTGTTTTGCTTATAGCCACAAGGGCATCAACCGCTTTCGTTTTGTACCCCCAGTTCTGGTCTTAAAGCCAAGCCCATGCATTTATTTTGTTGCCAGGCTGTTTCCACTTTGCTGCTTTTCAATGTTTTCAAACTAGTTGAGAATCGTCTCGGTTGGGAGCGTCTCATGGTCTCATCTCCTGCCAACTGGATTATTGTTGCTTACGAGCACATGCCAAACTTGGCAGTAATGAACTATGATGGAAATATCAATGGGTGAAGGGTCCTTTACAGAGGCTGCTTGCCGATGAAGCAGTCTGGTGCACTTAATTATCTTCTGTATTTGATGTCCTTGTCTGCTTCTTGGATTGGCTAGATTTGAAGCAAGAGTTAGACGGCCGTCCGCCAGAGTCTGAGGTACGCTTTATTCAACCACTTTCAAGAAAAGGCCAGTAAGCGGACAAACTTTGAATCTCTTCTTTTAACTGCCCTCACACTTTGTGTTGTCAAAAGGTGCCTAAGTCTAATGACAGTTTCTGTTGTGCCTGCAGGTATCCCCTTCCCTCATGGTCAAAGTTTGAGAGCGGGGAATGTGCTGTCTTCTGGGAAACCACCTTCGGGCGGCCCCCAGCTTCGGTGAGCTTCCCGGACTTATCTTTGGTAATCTGCTAGTCTTCATGCTAATCTCTGGATTCGAAAAGCCTGTTTGAGTTTGATTCATGGTTGGGCGATTTTTGTGGGGCAACTCTTGCTGTTTTCGTTGTTGTCCTTTCATTTCCTCAAGGAACTGTTTCCTGTACTTGTCCGCTAGTCCTTTCTTGAAATGAGATGTCTGCTTGTGTTGCTCTTACTGTCTTTCAATCTTGCATGCCGGCACAAGCTTCTGGGTCGTTCGTGATGAGCCTTTCCGATTCAAGCCCAAACAACTTGGAATATTGGCCCTCCACGCTACTTTTCCTGGACATCACAAGCAGCTCCTGAACACCCCTTCAAGGTTATGGAAAGTCACTTCCACCCACAGGAAGCGTAACCTGCCAGGAAAACCCCAATTTTTTTTTTCAGAGAAAGCCGAGTTCCCTCAGTGAATCCCCGCTGGCCTTTTCTTCGGCCTCTCGCTGAAGGCCCACTCAAACGCTCAAGCCGCGGATAATCTGGAGGCAGTTGTCGATCTTTTTGCCAAACTCGACCTCTCAGCGGAATCGTATATGTGGATATGTTTTCTGGATGTTAGTCTGCCCATGTTTCCGCTGTTCAGTGAGCTGTTACGAAAAGCCGCTGAGATCCTCTTCAATGCTCATTTTGCGTCACACAAAACGAGCTGGCAATCCGCTCTGCAGTGAGCCGTCATGAAAAGCTGCTGAGATCCTCAACGAATTGACAAGGGCGTGGCAGCATCCTACTGCTCCAATCTTCCTGTCAAGCAGAAGCCTCACTCTGCAGCAAACTCTTTTGTGCATTCCAGGGAGAGCCGCTGAAGATTTACTTCAACGCACGCGGCGCAACCGAGTTGAATATCGTGGACGACTACGTTGCGTTCAACGGGGGCTTCAATCAGCCCATCATGTGCGGGGGGACTCCGAGGTCGATGACCAAGAACGAGCGCGGCCCGCACTGCGACCCGTTCTACAGCATCCGGATCAATGTGCCCGTGCACGGTAAGGGTGGTGTTCAGTGTTGGAGGATTGTAGGCTTCTAGGGTTTCTTGTTGTTGCTCTGGAGGTTGAGGTCTCTTTGCTATGGTGAGAGAACAAGTTGATCGAGTTGTTACGCAGGTTTCGTCAGATCAACATGGGCTGAAGGCTCCTTGGTCAGTGTTCAAAGTGGTACAGCATTGGATTTGTGTGCCGATACTTGGCGAGCTCGCTTGCGTTCGGCACTAGGTTCTGAAGGGATTGAAATTTTCTACCAAGATACTTGGACAAGCCTGGATAGTGCAACAGAAGATCAGTAAAATTTTGAACATGCTTTCCCTTGTTCGCCACGTCTGTATGTAGATTCCTTGGTTTAGCTTCTTAAGCTATGTCTTTTCATATCGTGTAATTTGAGTTGAGCACATCGGTTTCCCAGGTCGTTGATGGCCTGCAGTTTTCGGGCAGTCACAGAATATCTGCTCTCGGAATTTTCTTTTCATGATTGAGAAGGCGTAAGCAGCGGTGAAGGAGCTTTGGTATCCTGTTCAGCTCCGTAAGCCCTCGTCAACAGTTTAGGCTCTTGTCGGGGCCACTGGTTCCTGTTGTGGACTACAGGTGTTGAGCAGGGGGCAAAGTTCTATGTTTATACTCAAATCTGAATGGAGTCTACCACAGGGGTCGTGGGGTCACGTCATGCAAGACGGCATCCACTTTCTGTCCGAGTCTTCTGTTAACGACGTGGAGACGGAAGCATCGTGACATTCAGTCTTTCGATTTCTTTCTTGTCATCCTGGTTGCACGCTTGAGAGTTGTCCTCGATTCTCTTGCCTTCCTTTTTGCCTGCATCAGGCGTCGTGAGGGTAACATTATCTTAACTTTACACAGATTGTTCTACTTACCGCGTATTCTTGCAAATCGTGCCAGCTCTTAGTCTTGCAAAACGCGCCAGCTCTTATCGATCGCCCTTACGAGTCCTTTCGGAATGTAATTGTTGTCGACCTGGCAAACCTCCCACTCAACCACCGCTTCCAACTCCTTCAATCTTTTGGCTCGCTTCTTTTTAAACGCTCTTCTTTCTGAGTCCCTAAGACTTTGGTACTGATCTAATCCTTTCTCCTGCAGCGCAAACGCTCGAGTTCTCGTTCACCGACGGCAAGGAGTGGCACGGGTCGTACAAGCTGTCGTTCGAGATGCCCACGCGGTTTAGAAACCAGCCCCAGTCCTTCTTTGACCAGGTAAGCGGCGTTCCACAATACTTGTAACCATCTCAGGCACACTTCGGCACTCTTGATTCCTTTTAGTCTGTAGGACTCGTCCTTTAAAATGGTTTTCCGGGTTGAAGCGACTTTCAATGACAGGGGTGTTAAAGGTGCAGACAGTAATCGACCTTTCCCCTTTCGACAGAGACTTTTGAAGTAGGATCGGAGAAGTTGACGAAAGTGGGGTTAAGAAGTGGCCAGGTTTGGAAATAGCCTTGACGCTTGTCTGTGCAGGGCTTGGCTGCGGAGCTGTCTGCGGAAGACGGGTGCGAGACCGCCATCTTCCCGGACTCTGTCATCATCCAGGACCGCTGCATGATGCCGGGCGGGATGGGGCTCGAGGGGGTGGGCGCTGCTCTCTCACACTTCGCTTGTCATCTGCATTCACCTGTGTTTCATAACGTCGTCCTCGTTTTCTCTTCATCTTCTTCGCCTCACTTGTACTCTTGCATTGCTTTTGCTTCTTCCCCTTCTGTCTTTGTGTCTAATGATCCTTCGGGGCTTGCGTACTTTCCTCGGCAGATACTGTACTTGTTGTGCCTCACTTTTCACTGTTGCGGCTACTTATTGGGAGCTGTTAGGGCGGCGTCTTTCATTGTTTCTTCTGTTCGACCTCTACCAACCGGTCCTGGCGTCGAAGTCGTTTGGTAAGAGTGTAAATGTTTCTCACGTCAAGGAGATCGACTTTCCCGGGAGCATGAGGATCGGCGACGATTCTGCCCACCAGCTCTAGTTTTCTGTCCTGAACCTGAATTCTGCACAGCAATTCTGTTCGTAAGACGCGCTGTCAAGTGCTGACTTTGAAAACCACAAATTCTTGAAATATGGTCGAAGGCAGCAAAACTCGTCGGGTTATAGGGTTTGGAGGCGTTTGCCAGCTTTAGCTAAGGGAGCTCCCCATATGGGATTTAGCAGAGCTTTTCAAACTCCATTACTAGCGCTTTGGCCTGCTTTGCATGAATGGCGTGTTGCCCTTCGCTTTGCAGGGAGACAGGTGCATGCTGGATATCAACCCGGGTTGCATGGACCCTGCCTCGCCTTTCTATGACCCTCTGGCCAACGTTGATGACGGCTCGTGCGACCTGGACGGCTTCTAAGCGGCCTAGAAGCGGTGGGCATGTTTGAAAACTGGATTGGGCTGTTTGTATAGTGGTGGGCGCGAGCGGTGGCCTTGAAATCGTCCTCACAGCGGTCCAGGAAATCAGGTTGATGTTGATGCTAACGCTCCAAAGGACCTCTACAAGTACGGGTGGCTCAAAGAGAAAGCACTTGGGGGCCCACCTTGGCAGTCGTCAGATGATCCCTCACACAGGTCTTCTCATAGGAAGCCTAGGAGCGTCATATTCTAGGACCCATTCATTCAATTGATAAGTAAGTTCACGTCAAGTGGCTTGGAGATCTGCTAGCTCGTACAAGATTGTGGGACGTACGGCACCATACGTCGGGCAACACAAGCAGTCCTCTTTGCATATAATATTCGTGTCAATGGTCATCATCGTTACTGTATGTTGCCATCAATTCGGAGCTCCTGATTGCTTGGGACAATCCGGTCTAGCTCAGCCTAATTGCCAGTGCAGCGGCGAACTTACAAGAGGCTAGCAGTCCGCATGGTCCTTGGAAGGTTTTTGTGGGACAAGTGGCATTGAGATGACTAGATCGATCATTGGTTCTACAATTGCACACCGACAGGTGATGCAGCGCTTGCCGAGCAGCGAACTTGACGGAATTTCAACAGTATACAGGCGATACTTCATATAGTTATTGTCATTGTTGGATCAACGTCGTTTCGGAGCCGTGATCGGCTAAGTCGACGATTGTCCTATAACATGCTAGCTCTTTATTGCTCCAATAGCAGATGTAAGATTTACCTCGGCAGCGCTTGCCGAGCAGCGAACTTGATGGAATTTCAAGAGTATACAAGCGATGCTTCATATAGTTATTGTTACTGTTGGATCAACGTCGTTTCGGAGCCGTGATCGGCTAAGTCGACGATTGTCCTATAACATGCTAGCTATAGCTCTTTATTGCTCCAAAAGCAGATGTAAGATTTACCTACTGCAAACTTGTCCTATAGATTGTGTAAAGCTTTCAACTCCTAATCTCCCCTATCTCCGAGTACGAATTAAAGGAATGATCATACGAATGTTGCTATAAGCCGAGCACTCAAAAACAGTGTCTTTCCGAAACCGTCCATTGCGACCTTCAGACAAGGCAGGTCCCTCAATCCCTTTCCGGTTCAGAGCAAGCTATATCACGGGTTCAAGTTTGATCATGCTTAAGCACATGATCATGTCGCGTATGTCAAATCAACCTGAGCGCGCACTATGCATCATGGTGAGCTTTGCGCAATCAATGATTTCTGATCTATTTGATCGATGGCGCATTAAAGTTCAATTTTTCTGAGTTGCCGTGCATATGACTCGTGTCATGCTCACATTGAAAAGAAGCTTGACCGGTGTCACTAATGTCATGCGGTTGATGTTTCAGGAGATCGGTCCCTCGAACGCATCGCTCACTCCAATCCTCTCACGGCCCACGCCCTTTCATAGTATATATCAAGCAACAGTGCTTGTTGACAAGCTGCATCTGGATGAGCTACGAGCTGCCACTAGCACCTCGGGCCCCCCGTTTCGCGTCCCAATTGCTCTCGGCGTTGCAATTTGCGGCTGCATAATGTGGGAGCCCGCACGCATCTTCGGATGCTCAAAAGGCTCGCGTCTGCTACGATCCAACAGAGGTGACCTGAGGGATGGCTTCGGAATGATGCACAACCAAGGCCGGAGCGCAGGCCAACTGGTCGACGATTTGTTGCATAGGTAAAGCGAGGGCGACGCGGCCCCTTGGAGGGTATTTAAAGAGTGCAAACGGGATCGCCGTTCCGAATCGGGAGCCACAAGCGCTGGATATGGAACCTGTTTGCGAGCGTCGGAGAGTATGCAACGAACTCAAGAGCCGACCTTGTGAAACCGCACGAAAATAGAGAGCTGAGTGTGAATTAAGGCGCGCCTCTTGCCCGGAACGTCAAAAGACTCACATGCAAGCCTTCACACTCCCTTGCCCGGCAAGGTCTGCAACCACAGCAACGCTATGCTCGTATCATCACCACTGTCGTACACACCTTTCGTGTACCCAGCTAGCGGTACACGCTAGTTTTATTTCACCACGGATTAACTAGGCATGTTGTATGATAGGGAACTCGCACAACGGCAAGCAGGTATATACTATACTTCGGTAGGTAATGTACGAAAGGCCGCGCTCGTAGAGCCTTGTACGTTGTACACTACGACCACAATTTGTTTTAGCCCAATAAGCATGAATCCGACTGTTTAGACATAAGATGCGAACTTAGTGGACGCAGTCGATACTGATTTTGCTGACAACCAACCAAACAGTCAGTACTTTAGTGCTACCTCTCTCTAGTATACATGCCCAAACCGGTTTGGGATGCGCATAACTGTACTGACATGGTGCAAAACATTTCCAAGATTTTAGGTTGACAACTGATTCGTCATTCTCGCCACATCAACGCCATGGAGAGCGTTGTTAGAAAACAAGGGAAGTGTTTATTGGTCACTTTGTGCAAACTGGATTCAACTTTCAGCTTTGATATGGTGGTACACCACTCAACGTTTCTCTACCTTCAGCTTTTTCACTCCTGTTCTCTAGACTTACACAACGTTTCAACTCTCTCCGTCACTTGTGGTATAAGTATAATCGACTCTCGGCCTCGCTGGCTTTAATTTATACTGAAAAGACTTTTCAACTGAGAAACCATTAGCCTTTGGACGCCACGGCAGGTGCGGATAAGTAACTTCTGAGCATCAATTTGCCGATTTCCATTAGTCCAGGCTTCCTTACAGGGTTTCAAGTCCTCGTTTAAATACTGAAAAGAAAAAGTTGGCTACACGAAATTTTCCCCACTGGCAGCCTTCTAAGCCTTGACCAAGGTGCTGCAGCAAAGACAAAACGACAGAAATATCTCAGTTCGAGTTCATCTGCAGTCTTCTGCAAACGGCTGCGACATGTTACAAAGCAGACATGATGCACAAGCAACTTGCTCTTTTCACACGTGTAATGAAACATCCGGAAGGAGCTATCCTCGAAAATTATGCATTCTCGACAATCCAATTAGCAGGTATCCCCGCCTTCGAATCCTTCCCAAACTCAGCCACCACAAGTGTTCGCTGGATACAGACAGTGCCGGGAGTAGAGACGCGCTCACCTGTTGTAGAGGGCGAAGGTGGCGTTGTGGGCAGCGACGTAGTCGTACGGGTGCTTGATGTTGTTCTTCACAATGGCGTTGATGGTCTTGCTCAGACTCTGCAGCACGCAAGATGGGAAATCAGACTCGCCTCGACGAAAAGGCAGAATATCCAGCTCAACTCGTTATATACATCGCGTCAGTCGGTCAGCCCAAGGGTCGGCTACTGAGGATGGTCCCGAGTAGGCCGGCTACTGGCACAGAGATTGTCAGCACTACGGAAAGGCCAACAGAAGACACCGAATGTCGTCGTCCCGGACGCCTCAGAAGACATGCTGGATCACGATAAGACAACGTTGTGGAGAAGTTCACGTATGCTTCTGAGGATATGCAGCCGTACTAAGGAAGCTCTTTTGATCGGCCGCAATGACAGGCGTTCGAGGAGGATCACATCGAGACTGAGCTTCTGCCGCAACGTGCGCGCGCGCTCACGTTGAGGGTGGCCCGGACGGGGAGCCCGTTGGCGCTGGTGTTCATCTGGCGGATCATGGCGAGGCCCTGGTTGTCCAGGTACTTGGCGACGTAGTTGTTGTCGTCAGCGTACACCTTGCTGGGGGAGTAGACCGCGAACGACGTGATGGCCGCCGAGATGAGCGCCGCCACCAAGATCGTCAGAATCCACCCGCCGAACGTCTGCAAAAAGAGGGAGCACAAACTCGCGGGTCAGCACAGATAACAAGGGACATTCTAGAAGGTCAGAAACAAGGTGCAAAGTGTGGAAGGTTGGGAGGGGCAGAACTGGACGCGTCCAAAGAAAGATGGAAACAGTACAGGAGACAACATCGGACCAAAGCTCAAGCTTTGATGGAGAATCACTGTTCGTTCCAGATGTTGCAACTGAAATAGTTCGACCGAGAACTCTTCTCTCCCAAAAGAACTTAGCGGAATCGACCTTTGAAGACAAAACAGGCATGTGCCGCGAAGCAAGAGCGGTGCAGCCCGTACCCTGAACATGACCCTCCAGTTGACGCCCTTGGAACCCTCGAACAGCCCCATCGCGATGATGGCTCCCGTCAGCACCTGCGTCGTCGACACGGGCAGGCCTGCGCAAGCAACCAAGACAACCCGGGGTGAGCGCGGGGCGCACGACAGTCGACCAGGCGCAAAGGGCGCGGTTTTGTTGCAGGAAGTCTTCAAACGAAATACCCAAGGCGGAGGTGACCACCCCGTGTCTCCGCGGGGAAGGGCCACCCAGGATGAGAGGAACGAGCGTTGAGAAACACGGAAGCAAAGTCATCGGCAGATCCCCTAGAAAGGACGTGATCAGAGGCCGGAGCCTAAGAAGGAGACGGGTGGGAGGTCGCACCATAACGCGAGGAGAGGATGACAATGGCGGCGGTGGACAACTCGCAGCAGAAGCCGCGCGAGTTGGTCAGCTTGACGGACTTGACGCCGAACACCTGCATGATCTTGTACCCGTACGTCGCGAGGCCAACCACGATACCCGCACCACCTGCAGTGAGACAAGCACGGCAATCAGCAAAGAGCTTGTGGCTTCAGTGCACAGAGCCTTTCATGACAAGGAGTTTTCATATTAGCGGAAAAGTACATACCAAGCAGGAACAACCGTGTCGAACATGAGAATCTGATTCGAAGGCCGCGAGTGTGCGACGAGCTGAGCAGGCCCTGACCATACGCCAGAATCCACTTCTCGACGCTGGACTTGGAGGGGACCTTGCTCGTGTTCCTGCAAGTACAGTCAGAACATGAGAAGAGGGACAATCTGTAGAGAGTAGAGGTGGAGGGGAGAGGGCGACAGGACCGGCACTGGACATTAAGGTCCCACGGTCTTAGGACGAAACACGAAGCACGAGAATCTGAAAGGAAACTTCTTGCCGAAGGCTGACGTGGGCTGTGAAAACCTCACAGCTGCGCATCATTCACTAACGAAGCAAGCTGAACGCCTCACTCGAGGACACAAGCTGACTCGAGGCAGCTTGAGAAGCGCCCTGAGGAAAGGATTTCTTTGTTGAGCTCACCAGATGGTGTAGATGGCGGAGTAGGGGCCCATGGCGTTGGCAACGTCGTTGGAGCCGTGCGCGAAGGACATGACCATGGCGGAGAAAACCTGCGCAAGCACGTGCCGAGGATGAGGACGGCCGCAGCAAAAAAGATACCGAGCAAGTGCAGTGCACGTCCGACTGACTGACACGAGAGATTCACCGGATACAAAGCACCCAAACTAGTGAGCTTCCCAACGCAGTCACAAGCCCAATACAAACTGGCGTTGCAGTTTCAAATTTTGACACCCTGATGAAACGCCCGGCACAGTTACGGGCATGTCTGGTGCGCGTGCCGTTACCTGGAGGTAGCGGAAGAGGCGCTCCGTCTTGAAGTCGAACACCTCGGCGCCCTCCCACATCTCGGCCACGTGGTCGTCCTTGGCGATGGCGTCGTGGATGTCGTAGTTGGCGCCGTACATGACAGTGCGCACCAGCGAGTTGCCGAAGATGACCTTGCCCGCACCCGTCTCCGCGAACTTGTTCACGCCCATCTTCTCCATTGAACGGTTCCACATCGTGTTCTTCGCTGCTCGAGGAGACAAGGCGGGAGCGTCGTTGAAAGCACTGCTTATGCCGACATTCTTTGAAACAGGTGTATTTCATGCTCGAAAGAAGCCAAGGTGCCGTGCGCGTCTGAAAAGCCTTGAAGCATGCACAGAACCATTTCGAAGTGGTAACATCCTGGCCACAAGCGCATGACACAGGTCTGGCTGCCCCTCACCATCCGCGGCAGCCTCCACATCCGCCAGTGCGCGCAGGCGGGCGGCCTCCTTGGGGTCCAGCTCGCCAGCCTCGATCTTAGCCTCCTCCAGCTTGCGCGCCTCGTTCACGCTGCAAAGATAAGCAAGGGGGGCTAAGGAGAGGGAGAGGAGGAACGTCAAAAGTGCTTCGAACCACTGACAAATCTGATAAAACGAAAAAAATCTGGTATTGATGCTAGGAAATCTTCACGAAACGAGGCTTAGTGCCAACCAATCTCACCACTTCCCGACAGAAAATCTCACTTGTGATCCCAACCAGAAAAGAACTGCCACGAGTAAAAATGGCAGTTTTTCTTACAATCCCTTTAACACCTGTCCCAGTGGACGATATTGCTTCGCCTGCTTCGCCTAGACTGGGCGAACTCTCGTGACTACCTCTCAGGTTAGATGGCAGCTGTGGCTGCATGTGGCGGTGAGCAGAGCGTGCTCACCGGTTGTTCTCGTCGCTCTGCGCATGCACGGCCTTGTACAGGAAGGGCATGACGAGGACGATGGTGAGAAGTCCCATGCCGACAGCCACCACGACGCTGACCCACACCAGCTTGTCGTCGTGCACCTGCACACACAGCGCGCAACAAGTGTCAGCACGGAACACTTGAACCGCAGAAAATGGCAAACGCAGAAGGAGATAGTGGTCAAAGGCAGGCAACAAACAGCGGGGATGAACTTCTGTATCGTTTGTGTGATCTTCCTCCTGTAAATAACCTCCACACAGCAAGCTCAAAGCCAGGCTCTTCTCATGTCAATCCTTGAGCCTCAGGAAGGGCGGCCCTGGCAAGGTTGCAAGTGAAGACAAAGAGAGCGCGGGACTAAGGAGGCAAGGCGGGTGCATGCACACTGACCCTGTCCCAGCTGGCGTTCTTGTTGCCGGTCTGGATGATGAAGATGACCACCACGAAGAAGGTGCAGGCCACCAGGAGGGGGAAGAGCTGCAAGACACAAGCAGACACGCTGTCACCTACTTGCGTGGGTGCAAACAGCGCAGATACAGGGTAGAAACAAAGAGGGCAGATTTTAGGCTGACGCTATTAACTATTAACTAGACTGGGTGAAGAACTTTGCAGGCAGAGAAAAGGCTTGTTCGTTCATCTCTGCTTGAGGCTGCACAGCAACGACTGCACTGGAATCGCAACAGGCAGACCACGAAGGGGAGTTATCCTGCGAGATCTCGAGCTTGCTCACATAGAAGGCGCGGGTGAAGGAGTGAGGGGAGCGGAGGACAAAGGTGCGCAGCAGGCCGAACAGGATGGCCACTAGGGCGCCAGAGCACAGCGGAGAGATGACCCACTGCAGGGCACACAGACCAGGGTTAGCGCACAACCACAGACATGTGGCACCGCAGAGGGAAAGATGGACTTGGCTTCAGCAGACTTCAGGCAGAGAAGGTAGCGGATAACCAGACAGCATAAAAAACATACACGACACATAACCAGTCTCGAAGCAGATTCATGGCAATGACTGTTTTTTTAAGGTCTACTCAACGATGTTGCGCACAAGGTGGCAGCCACTTTCTCAACTCTAGTAGGCGCGAACCAACCAGCACCCCAACGAGTTGTGGGGGGGTGTTGCAGAAACTGAGATAGTAGCAGTGGCAGTGCCGTACCTGGAGGAAGATGATGCTCATGCCCTTGAGGTAGGGGAAGTCGTTGTCGCGCGTCGCAGGGTTGATGTTCAACTTGCTCCACACCACAGCGTACCGCCCGCGGATCACCCACGCCATGCCAACCACAGCACCAACTGCGGCCAGCAGAGGGAAAACAGTTATTAAGCTTGGCAAGAATCCAGCGGCAGAGAACGTACCAAGCAAAGAATCCAGAGGCAAAGCACCTATCGAACAAAGGACGCCATTCATTATATGCAGTCAACAGGGATAGACTGAAATGTACATTCCTGGAAAAATCCTTGCTCTGATGAACGGATCCGCCAGACCAAACACTTCGTCTAAAGATGTTGTCCATGTTGTATTTTGGACTGGGAAGTGATTGTGCTCTCACGCTGCTAAGGCTGGCAAAGTACCTGTCGCACATGATAGGCCAGTGAAGAGAGACAATTGGTGTGCCGAAGCGGCGGCTGACCTGTGGTATGGGTAGTGGAGACGGGCAGCTCGAGGTGGCACGCGAAGTTGTCCCAGAAGGCAGCCGTGATCATCACCGCCAGCATGCCCATCATCAGCAGGTCTGCAACAGGGAAATGAGGAGTTATCACTCTCTGATCCTTCTTGATTTACAATGCTTTTCCGGAAACATCCAGGGGAGACTGCACTTATAGACTGACAGGCAGACGGCCCGTGCACGACGTGGATACTGGAACCCTGGGGCACTACTTGCTTGGTGGGAAGCATACCTCTCATGAGCACTTCCATCTATCCCTATTCAAAAGGAAAGTGTGAGCCTAAAGCAAGGACGAGTACTTAAGCCAGACTTCCTAGAAGGAGGGGAGCTATTGGAAGGCCAGATTCTCTTAGCCTTATGCTGCCTTTCCTCCTCTGCCAGACGCATGTGCCAGCAGTTGCCTACCTGGGGTGTTTGTGAAGAGGGATACGTTGGCAATCTTGGAGCGGATGGCTGCACACAGAGTGAAGGGGCCAGTCAGCAGTGACGATATCAGGCAGTAAACAGCCACAGAATTAGGTGCAGATAAGCACAGCCATGCCCATTCTTAAGCAGAGGATAGTAACTGTCTAATCAGGGGCTCTCAAACTAGGAATGATTGAAAGTGCTTCCTTCTCAACAACACATAAGTTAGCGCTGTGTTCGTGCTTAACGAGCAGACCAAGATTCCCTTCATTGTGAATCACGCTATAATCGGCGTCTGCAAACCAGCTTGCAACAAGCCTCCCATGTTATACAGTGCAGAACAACCAATTGAACGGCTTTGTAGAGAGGAAGCACAATGGCTTGTTAACTGAGCCTTAGTGCAGCTTGACCCCAGAAGAAAAGGCCCAAGAGGCGCTTACTGTCAGTCACCCCCGCTCCGAGCAGCAGCGCCCCCAGGAACTCGCAAACAGCCGCCACCAGGAGCGCCTGGGGCATAGTCAGGGCCTTGGACCCCACAGACGTGGCAAAAGAGTTGGCCTACAAGCAGGGGGCAAAGGGAGCAAAAGCAGTTTAGAGAGAGGGTCCCATGAGGAAAGATACCAAAGTGCTGAGGGGACAGAGATCACACCCAAGGTACCGCGAACAAGAACATGCAAGAGGTTACCAAAGCTGGTCACTCCCAGTCCTATCCAGGATGCCTGACTGCTTTTCGGTCCCATATACATGCGGTGTTGCTCCAGGCAACTCTGAGAGAGAGACTGCTCTGGGACACTGTGTGACTATGCAAAGATGAGGAGTGAGAAGGAAACTTGCGAGAAGACCATACTCTGCGAAGGAAGTTACTCTTGCACAATCCTCTTGGCAACAGGGCGATGTTGCAGTACAAATACAGACTTGGCAGGTTAACTCACCAAGTCATTGGCTCCAATGCCAAAGGCGCAGATGAAACTGAAGATGGTAGCGATCACAAAGATCCATGTGTACTCCGTGTACTGCATCTTGGCGGCTGGCCCTCACAATAGGGGGAGGGGTAGTGGGAGCGGCAGCTGATAGGCTGGAGGAGAGCAGAAAACAAGACGAGTCAGAAGCAAGAGCCACTCCTATCCCACTAACCATCTGGAGTACTTGGAATGAGTGTTGCCCTCGGTGCAAACCTACCTGATACAGGAACTAGGACCAGGCTACATTGTGGTCTATGACCTGGACAAAGTGCTGGTGCAGTCTTGCAGATAACTCTCCCGCTCCTGTCTCCTGCCGCAGTTTTTTATCATCTGGGATGACAGTTCCACCTGATTGTGGCACCCTTCCAGCCTCTCAAGAACGAAAGTGAGTGGCACACTGTGAGGAACAAACAACACGTGCGGAACAGACCTGATGAGTAAAGGGGTAAATGTTACCTTACCTGCAGGGGCTGTGCAGAGGTGCGGCGGCGGCGGAAAGCTGGCTAGCTGCAGATGGCTAAGCAAACCGTGGAAAGGTGCCAGCTTCAGTGACTTGCAGGAATACCGTGCACTAAAGACGAGCTCGGTGGTAAGGAGTCTCGGTGCACTTAAAACTTGGAAGGCGAGCTTGAATGCGAAATGGCCTTGATTGCGCCGAGTCGTCAAACTTTATTGCTGCTGCCTTGTGGATCCAAGAAATGCTGAGAACTGCAGCAGGGAATCCGATCTTTGAATGCCAGCGAAGTTGTTACGAAGATGTTCTCCACTTCCCAGAGAGCGGCTTGGAGGGGATCTTTGATTGACGTCCTACATATGGGCTGCATACCGTCAGCCTGACTTGAGCTCCGCTTCGGTTTGTGTGGCCGTACCAGTTTCAGGTTGCTACCCAGTTATGGCATAGGATGTCGTCGACGGCATAATATATGCAGAGTAAGTGGTCTGACTCGGGAGGCATGTGTGAAATATGTGGTCATCCCCTGTGAAATTTCACTGCAAAGATGAAGTCATTTTGATATCTCCGAATATATCATTTCTCTCATTTCATGCTGCGTCATGGGGTTAATGACTCAGAATGGAGGACCAAGAATTATCGTGCCGTTCTCAATCTTGGCTGCTTATGGGCATTGAAAACCCAGGAAGAGCTCAAGTGCTAGGAGGTTATGCCCAGAACACATGCCAATTTCCAGCCTGGTACAAGCGGTCAGGTCCGCCAAATGTGTGACCTTCGTCAGCATTTACGTTGATACATATGGTCATAGCGAGCCCTCTGCTATGTCTCTCTGCTTGGCTTTTGAATCTTTATCGGGACCCACCTGCCATTGTCAGACAGAGGCTGCGCGCATTCCCACTCCACCGCTAGGCTCACCTCCCGGCATGCCGCATACCTACTACCGGTACATACTAAAGGTACTAAGCCAGTACTAGGTAGCTTGATCGACTCCTGACGACTCAGCCGGCTGGGACCCAACTTGCGAGGAGGGAGTGTTAAATGCCCGGCCAGGGCCCTCGGGGCATGTGAAGCAATATCTGGCATACGGCAATGCCCTCTCCGGGACGAAAGCGCAATCCCATCGGCCATGCGATTGCAGTGATGATGCCGAGCATTGCCGACTCTGAAGTAAGTGGCGGTACCCACCACCTCGATCTGGTTCAGACCACGGCATCTAGGTCAAGACCTCGTGTGGATCTTCACCGTTTGCAAGCACTGACCTAATGCTCAAAAACCACATGCTTATAATGGACCAACCGACTCCCTACCAGGCCACCGCGCAAGGTACTCCAGTCCTTTTGATCGAGACCGACGGTGCCCGGAGGAGAAATTCAAAACTCGGCAGGATATCCGGATTCTGATGCCAAGCTTCTCACCATATGTACGGTTAGCTGTCTGACATCGTGTCACGGTACTCGAGGTAGGTAAACGAACTGGTACCGTCGGTGGGATCCGGCCAGGCCGAAAGGAATCTTTTGCCACCAGCCTGGAAGGAATCTTTTTCACTATGTCGCCATTTTTGTGACAAGAACCCACTCCTACCAAAGGGGCCAGTAGGATGTCCCGGGAAGATGGATGACTAGCGACTCTCAGAATCACCCAACCTTGGAAGATGTGCAGAAACACAATTTGGACCCTCTAAAGGACCCGAGCAAAATTGGTATTGGACGTTTTCTAGTGTTGGCTTTCAGAGGGAGACAAATCCGGCAAATTCGCTAAAGGGACTTGACAGCCACAGTGTCGGGACTCGGGAGGATTAATTGATTATAGAGTTAGACGGTATAATCAAAGGCTCACGATAAACGGAGCCAAATAAATGCGCGAGCGAATTGCTCGCGACATCAATTCCTATCTACAGGTCCCCGGTACTGCACCCCGTGCGTACCGCGCCAGCTGTTGCCAACACGACGCCACGCCCAGTGCACTTCCCCAGCTGTCCCGCCAGCGCGACCGCGAGCATCCATTGCATGCACGCGCAAATCAAGGCGGGATCGGCCGACGTCGCATCAGCCAGGCGAAGATTGAAGACCTAGCGAGCATAACGTAGTGCAGATTGCAATGTAGTGAATGACTAAGGGCAAGGGCCCCATTTGTAGCTCATTCACAAATTCTCTTGCAAGCGAAATTGCTTGCGCAGTGACTTTTTCCCTCAAGACGCTCGGTCGCCACCATGTCTAAGATACCTCGCCCGGATATTTCCCCAACAGCCTTTCAGGACGGGGATGAGGTGCTCGACTATGGGTCGGACAATGACCCGGAGAGCATCGAGGTTCCTCTGGTGCGACACGACTCGGAGCGCCAAGCTGCTGCCGGTGGGGCCATCCAAGCAGGAGCCCAGCACACCGGACGCACCGATTCGGCATGCACGAGGTGCTGAGGAGTCGACTCTCCCCCGGTTGGGGGGGAGAGGTCGCCCGCGCATGCGCGCCTTGATTCCACTTGGTGAGGACAATCCTCCAGCGAGTGGCCCCGTCAATCTTGGCATGCATGCAAGGGGGGGTCCCCCCATGGTATCTCGCGGGGGTGTATCGTTCAATGCTCGTATTCCCGGATTGGGTCAGGTTGTGTCCGATACTCGCCCTTCCCCTGCATCGGTCGAAGATTCGACCCTCATGCTTCAGTTGGCTCAGGCCCAGGCTCAGTTGGCAGCCAAGGAGGCCGAGCTTCGACAGCTTAGGGGGGCAGCCCAGCGTCACACTGCGTTGCCTAACCCCCCCGTTTCGTTATGGGAGCCCCCTGAGGGCCCCCCCCTTTCTCGCCCGTCCGTATTGGACCGGCTTGAGCCGCGCCCCTCGGCTTTCGACCGCCTCAGCGCGCCACCCCCCAGCATGCCCACCAACGCCACCATGGGACGTCAGCCCGGTATGGACCGGGCCATGCATGACTTCTTCATGGCGGGGGGCGAATCTTGGCAGGGGCCGCGCACGGGGCAGCCACCCAGGGGCTCCTTCGATCCGTCTGCGCCCTTGGGCGCAGACCCAGGTACCATGTTTCCTGGCTCGGTTGCTCCCCCAATTCGTTTCAGACCCCCACGGGCTCTCTTGGTTGATGATTTTCTCCCTCGGTTCCTGTTGGATTCTCCCGGTTACTCTGATTTTGGGTCACAACAGTTAACTGTTGACCCAGATACTCATGCCATTTTGGTTGTTCCCGACACCAGAGACGGGAAGCCCCGACCGTCTAAAACCCGCTGCCCGAATTTGGCAGTGTGGATACAGGCTAACACGACGATCGGAGATCAGTTGATTGAGGCAGGGGCTACGAACCGGTTCGAATATCAGCGTCACACAGGTCATATCCTTCGGTTAGCTCAGAAGTGGCCCTTCTCTGTGGTCCGAGATTTGGACCGGGAGGTTCGCTATCGTCAGTGGGAGGAGAATGATGCATTTGGCATAATTGACCCAATTATTCTTGCGTCACATGCATCCACTGCAGTTGCCGCGTCATCGAAGGGCGCTTCGAGCATTTCGAGCGCCCACGACGATTCATTTCGGGGCGGGCCACCCCACCGGGCGCCTCGCTTGAGCCGTGCGTCGCCCTCTTCTTCCCCGGCGTCTTTCACCTGGGGCGTCGACAAGTGGCCCCGGAAGTACTGCTTTAACTGGCAGAGCAACAAGCCCTGCTCTACCGACCCCTGCCATTGGCCCCACACCCACGTGTGCCGCTGGTGCGGCGACCCCAACCGCTCTCCCGAGCATGGCAACGCCTGCAACCAGCGCCCTCAGAAGGAGTAATCCCGGTGCATGGCGAGTCATTCTTCCCCCCGACCACGTCGCTTGGGTTGACTCGCTGTTACCTTTTCGACCGTTAAAAGTCGAAAAGTGGGATAGGTGGTTAGGCGCAGACTTAGATAGGGACTTTCTATTATATCTCGTCGAACACGGATTGTGTCTTTTAGACGAGTCGGTTCGAATTGAACCGTACAGATGTCGAAATTATAGTTCGGTGACGCAGTTTAGATCCCAGGTCTTGTCCGCATTGGAACCAGACTTGATTAATCACCGGATTTTTCGCCCCCCGATTGGGATTTTCGTCGAACTTCGTGCATGCGATCGGTGCAGTCCCGAAAACTGTGGATTCCGTACGAGTTATTCATGACCTGAGCCGCCTGATTGGCCGGTCCCTTAATGATCACATGACGCAGGTCGGTTTCAAATTTCAGACATTAGACGACGCCATCGAATTGATGGCGCCAGGGTGCTATATGGCGAAGGTAGATATCGAGGGGGCTTATCGACATGTACCAATCGACCCCCTCGATTGGGATAAGCTTGCTTTCATGCACCCAGACGGCTACGAAGTTTTCGACGGATTTTTGGCTTTTGGAGCGAATTTTGCGTGCGAAGTGTTCAACCGCATTGGTTTGGCTGTTAAACGGATTATGGCACGCCTGGGGATTCGCTGTATCGTACAGTACGTTGATGACTTTTTGATTGTCGCATCTTCTGAAAGCGATGCATGGCGCGCATATTTTGCGCTTCGTGCATTGCTCCGTTCTTTAGGCCCATTTGCGGTGAATATGAAGGTGCATAAGTCGGTTCCTCCTGCTCAGATTTGCACCTTCTTGGGTATTTGCTTAGATTCGGTGCGCATGGAAGCCCGTTTGGACGACGCCAAATTGGCGTCCACCATAGATTTACTGCAGCGCGCATTGCGCAAAAAGGCGATTAAACGCAGAGACTTAGAAAGCATAGCGGGCAAACTGAATTGGATTGCCCAGGTCGTTTACGGGGGTCGGACCTTTCTTCGTCGAATCATTGATTCACTGAATTCACAGTGTCCGGCACCCCTCTCATTTTATCCAAATCTCGGGGGGCCTTCGTCAGGATTTAGAATGGTACCGGGATTTTTTGCCTACTTTTAACGGTTGCACCGCGTTGGTTTCAGCCAGGCCACTTTCCCCGTTACAATTTTCTACTGACGCGTCTTCGTCGTATGGGTATGGGGCTTTCTTACAGGGCGGATATGTGTCTTTGTCATTTCAGGCTGCCGCCCGGTTATATCCGGACGCCCCCCCTCCTTCGGCTCCTATTCATGTTCACGAAGTATTTGCGCTGTTAATTGCATGTCGCACTTGGCCCGATGCATTATCGGGGCTTTTTCTCTGCTGTCGCATTGACAACCGGGTCGTCGTTTCAGCTGTTAACAAGGGTACAGCCAAGGGGGAGTTCGGGCCTTTGATGATGGGTTATCTTCGTGAGTTGTTTTGGTTATCGGCGACTTTTGATTTTCGATTGACTGCCCGGTACATTTCCTCGAAGGATAATATTCTGTCTGACGCATTAAGTCGAAATGACTGGGCCGTTTTTAACATGCAGCTTCGTCGATACATTGTCGACCGTGCCGGAGCGCTGCATAATTGAGTGCTTCTCTGCATCATTTTCCGTGCAGCGCGCGTGTCAGAGTACCAGGCCACGTTGGACGCGCACACCCACGTGTACCTGACGCAGTGGTTGGCGCAATCCAGTGACGTGGCGTACAGTTCGTATGTACGCTACTGGGTACAATTCTGCGCGTACTTTGGAGTACCGGCCATCAACCCGTCGGAATTCGACTTATGCCGGTACGTATCCTATCTGGCGCTTACTTGCGCTTATAAAACAATCAAAAATTACCTACAGGGTGTGCGCATTGTGCACCGGGAGCTGAATCTTCCTAACCCGGTCCAGGATAAATTTAACCTGGACCGGTGCCTGCGCGGAATTCGTAGGGTGAAAGGCGACTCGGTTAACCGCAAATTCGCGGTCACCCCTGGGATGCTTGCCCGGTTTGCAGGCTTGATGGATTTTTCAGTATCGGCCGAATTGGCCATCTTTTCTGCGATGCTTGTTGCCTTTTTTGGAACTTTTCGAAAGGGCAACGTCACGATTGATGCTCGGCAGTTGTCAGAAAATGTGACCTTTTTTCGCCGTTGCGACATGCACCTCGCGCCCGACGATTCAGTGGCCTGGGTCGTCGTACGGCAGACAAAAACTATTCAATATTTTGAGCGCGAATTGCGCATTCCGTTGGTCGCAATCCCGGGCTCCGATTTGTGCCCGGTTCGCGCGTTGCGGCGTCTGTTCGCCGCGGTACCCGCCCCACCGGTCGCCCACGCGTTCAGCTACATGTCTCCGCGCGGCGCCCGGCTTCATCTCACGCACCAGGTGTTCGTCGCGCGCTTCAAATCTTTGGTGAGCCAAATTGGCCTGAACGCGGCTTTATATTCTGGCCATAGTTTTCGACGGGGGGGGGCGACATTTGCGTTTTCACTTGGCGTCCCTGCCGAGTTGATTCAGCTTCAGGGTGACTGGCGCTCTGACGCATACTTGATATATTTAGTCATTTCGTCTCGGCAGAAATCTCAGGTCACGTCGTCCATGTCCGCCGCCATTTTAAACGGTTGCTTGGGGTAGGCTTAGGGGTGCATATTGCGCCCCTTTCGCTTTGAGGCATTGGACAGAGCTTAGAAATTAACCTAGTGTAGTTAGTCGAATTGACTCAAATATCATCTAGGTTAATTACGCGGCTCAGCCCACGATTTCCACCAAGCCCCGTCCCACTCATCTCATCCAGTCAGTATGATGTTGTTGTGTCATATGATTCATGCGTAGTGCAATCCATGAGTTAATTGATTATAGAGTTAGACGGTATAATCAAAGGCTCACGATAAACGGAGCCAAATAAATGCGCGAGCGAATTGCTCGCGACATCAATTCCTATCTACAGGTCCCCAGGTACTGCACCCCGTGCGTATCGCGCCAGCTGTTGCCAACACGACGCCACGCCCAGTGCACTTCCCCCAGCTGTCCCGCCAGCGCGACCGCGAGCATCCATTGCATGCACGCGCAAATCAAGGCGGGATCGGCCGACGTCGCATCAGCCAGGCGAAGATTGAAGACCGGGCGAGCATAACGTAGTGCAGATTGCAATGTAGTGAATGACTAAGAGATCACAAAATCTGGAATATTAGGTACCACAGTAGTACCTAGATGGTTCTTATGTGTTAGTTCCCCGGCCGGGGCCTGTGATGGGTACTTTCAAATGCCCTGTGTTGTCATCCATTGCGATACCTCTGGGTCCCGGGGTAGGTTACTGGTACCTAAAATCCATTTTAACCGTAGTACAGCAGTATATCGGCTGCCCTACACCGGACCATCACCTCAGTGCTAATTCAAGGACACAGGGAGTCCTGACACGACAATTGAAGTGTCAAATATCCGCGGCAAGTTTTCCGTAGGTACCTAACCCGCTTCATCCTGCAGACTGCAGATAACCCGCTTCATCCCGTTCTGAGGCCGTTCTGTTGGGCGGCACTGTAACATTCCGTTACCGGTATACCGTTGAGCGGACTGAGTGCAGTTTTCCCTAGGACTACTACTAGTGCCTACGGGAAATTGGCTTTCCGACGCGAACGGCTTGAAGTTTAACGGTAGGTATGACTACCCTACTACGTAAGCACAGAAGCTCGTAAGTTAGAGTACTAGAGAGTCACTGGTCGACCGGGGGCCGGGACAGCCGGGAGTTGTTGAGGCAATCCGAAACCGTCTAGCACCTATCAGTGGTCCTGCATCTCGAATACTCTCAGTCTGCCAGGGCCGCATCCGACGATGCCAATCTGGCCAATGCCGCATGTGAGCACTCAGTGGTGCGGGCCGCGGCATGCCTCTAAGTTGAGTCTGGCATTGCCATATTTCAAAATCAAGTCATGAAGCCTGATAGAGAGATGAATCGATAAAGCATCATCATGTACCTTAGATCCATGCAAGTTGACTTCAGCGGCAAGTATTGACGCGCTATAATACGCGTGACGTCTATGAGTTGACTTGGAGCGGGCCGCCGCCTCAATCATGATGCGATCAACCGCAATATTATATCCAATGATGTACTTTTGGTAGTGACCGGGCAGTGACCATTTTCACTGTGGTGCTTGACTTCAGGTCCCGGCCCATGTGCTGTTACGATCCGTGTGGCATATCCATTCGGACGGCCTCGTATCAATTCTGTTCGGCAAGACTTATCCAATAGGGTAGTTGAATATCTGTTGTGAACCGCTGTTCTGAAGATTCTGAGCTACATTCATTTGTTGCCTCAGTCTACTAGTTGTCACCCGTACCCATGTGCACTACCGGACACGTGGTATATCTGGATGTACACGTATCAGTCGGCGCGCGCATTGGACGCGACGACTCACACGTGACACAAATGCATATCATTGGATGATGATGTATGACGGGATGACTCGACTCAGCTCTGTCTAGACTTAACAATGCGGCCAAGTCTCATGTACTGATTACTGTGTTCGACTAAGTACCTGATAGGAATGCCAACCTGGGTGTGTAGTACGTTCTGTACGTATTGAACCAGAAAGGATGGCCTTGAGGGAGAAGGTCAAGGAACAAGGTCACACTTCTGTGCTGATCTGAAGTAAGCAGTTTTTACGAGAGCGCAGCTGGTGAGCGAGACAAGGGCTTCCGCAAGTGCATTCTGATCCGCTATAGGGCCAGCGTAGCCTTATAGGCCTGTAGCGTATCACTGGTATCAGAGGTTTTTCTTTTTCCTTCTTCCTGAGGAAAGGGCCCCTTTTCCTTGCTTCCAGCTTAGAAAAAGCTCCTACTGCATGTCTGAGCACTCCGCTTCTGAAAGCGAGGGTGGGTCTGGTTGGTCTGCACCGCCTTCCCCCGGTGACGAGGAAGAGAAATGGTATAGGATTTCAAACTGCAACTGGGAGCAAACCCTCTCTGGTGGGTTTAGGGCCATCAGGCCAGAAGGGCCTCCCTCCTTCCCCGTCTGTGTATACCTGCTTATGTGGAATATCACTACCCACCAGCAGGAGATAGATACGTGTGCTGCGGTTAACAAGGAAGGTACGATCTTCGACGTGGAGTGGAAGCTGGGGCTGCATAGGTCGGGCGTCTGCTTGGGGAGGCTGGCCTGCCCGGTCAGCAGGGAGGACCTGATCTCTTGGGGAGAGGATCCGGACCAGCCGGGCCGGAACGACGGGGACAGGGTCTTCCGGAAGCCGGACCTTAGGGTGGCAGACCTCCAGGAGTACTTCATTGATAACCAGCTCTTTAGGATAGTCTGGTTGTAGATAGGAACATTCATACATTGTGTATAGCATACACATTGTAATTAGACCATTCCCCCATCCTGTTGTTTCTCTCTCACCCATGAGCGCTGGCAAAGATTTTGAGACTGCATTGTCCTCATTAATCTCGCGGGTTGCTCTTCTGGAGATTGAAACGGGGGTAAAGAAAAAGGCCCAGTCTTTCTCTGTTGGGTCTGTCTCGGTTCGTATCGCTGCTGGTCATGAGAGTTCTGTTGCTGTTTACGTCACGCCTATGCAATTGCGTTCAGCTTCTGTTGAAGCATCTGTACAAACACAGCCAGCTTCTGAGGCGATGGCACCTTCTGCTGCTGTTACCGCTTTCCTGACTGAGTGGGCTTCTGCTGATGGTGAAGATGCTCGCATT